TGTGAAGGATTTTCGTGGCAAGTTGGGTATTTTTAACCCAGTACGAGAAGAGGATGTGGGCCATGCCAGCATTCCAAGCGGCAATTTCAGCTGATAATCCGCGGCTCATAGCAACGCCCATTGTTCTCAGTGCAATGAGTCAGTGTATTTGTCAGCGAAAATAAAATTTATAACTGCAGTTGCCAGCTGTAAGAGAGAACAAGCGCGGGAGAGTAAGCAACTCAAACTCTCTTGTGATCGCGACACAGCGTTGCCAGATCAGCTCTTGATAAAAGCTGGAAATTTACTTATGTTGTTGACTCTAGTTGCACAAGCTGTTATAAACTCAGATAACTTTGTACTCATCGGGTAATGATAATGGGCCAAGTAAACACGACAGAAAACCTTCTCGACTATCAAAACTGAGTACTAGTAGGGGGGTCAGGCGCGAATCACAAGACAAGTTACAGGCAATGACATAAGAATTGCGTCACAAATGGGTTGAAATTAGTAGTGAGGTGTAGCCCAAACTTGGCTCTCCTAAACGGCAGCGCGTGCTCGCTGCTATTTTTCTCATAGAAAGCCAAAAGTTCTTGCGAAACTTGCTTGGAAGCTTGCTATCTTATCTTGGCCAAGTCAATTGGTAAATAAGCCACTTATCAGCGGGGGTAACTGCGAATGAGTGGCTATGATAAGCCACTGAAAACGATCGTCAGCTAGCCATGTGATGCGAGTTAAAACTCGATTGATCATGCAGTTAACGATTTGGACATGTGATTACCAAAGCCTGACAATAGAGCGTTAAAGGTTTTCGGCTTATTTGGCTATTTGTAAATAGTGCAAAAGATACCATTTCGAATTTAAGCCATGTTTAATTTTTTTTTTTTTAAGCATGTGCCCTCTACTTTTACTACCAAATATAAGGTATGCCACTTCTGGGACACAAGGAAAAAATATGTAATTTTTCGCTACAAAGCCGGGATTCTCACGTTTTCTATAAGGTTTCTAATCTATTGCTCTAACCAATAAGATAAAAAGAAAAAACTTTAATATGGCAACACTTCGGTCTTGTGACTGTTGCGAGAAAGGGAAAGCGCGCTTCATAAACTTCACTAAAAACAGTAACTGTTCTCGGACTCACACACACGCGCTCAATGCCACCAAGTGCGAGAATGCGCACCGCTCAAGAGAACAGGAGAGCGATTGGGCTCTCGCTCTGCTCAGCAGTGTGTGTGTGTGTATGAGTAATGCCGTTTTTAGCATGCTGAAAAGACAAAATTTCTTTTATTCAACTTGGCCACTGCGAAATAAGCGTAATTTAAATTGCTTATGCTACAAGTTGTAAATAAAAGGCGATATTTTCTATTTGAAAAGTGACTGCCTGTTTAAAGCATGTTACATTTTCCAATGGTCACGCGCAAACAAGCGGACCCACGTCCCTATACCATTTTTTCTACACTTGCCGCTTTTTCGCGTTACTACCACCTACAAAAAAAACGCACACCCACACGCTGGCTTCCGCTCTTCTTCTTCCTCCATTTACGCCACACAAAATGTTCGATTTTTCACAGCATGGGCATGGCATCCTTAATTCTAGGCTCGATTTTGAACTTACCCGAGAAGATGATGGCGGAGGCGGCGCCCATAACTCCGAAGAAGGGGCCATAGATTGGGTTGTCGCTGCTCACTTCAGAAGACATTTTGCTTTGTTTGTTGTGTGTTTTTTAAGCTACAAATGATCGAAAAAGGCGAGATTTTAGTTCGATTTTCAGCTGAATGCACTGTGGTTTTTGCTCGGCGTTTTGCACGGCCGAATGTTATGCGCGCTCGGTATATGTATGCGTCGAAACAAAGTATTTTTATTATATGTACAATATATGGACTATATACGTGGATATTTTACGCTGCTCTGCGACCAATGCTGCTGCGACGACGAAGTGCGAGTGACCGCTCACGAAATATACTTAAATATACTTTTTAATCGTGAACGAGTCGCAAATACCAAACTGGGAGAGAGAGAAAGAGAGAAGAAGAGCCACACGAGAGATCGAGCGAGAGGCCACTCGTCGGATATTGGCTTTTGCTAAAGAGTGATTTGTATGTGTCATGTTGTGTGTTTGTATGCGTGAGAGAGTGAGCGCATGACAGAACGGGCTCACATGAACAGAAAGTAAGTCCAATTGGCAATGACAACGGTCTGGAAAATTACACAGGCACACACAATCACATGGAAGTTGCTGAAAAACTTTTGTTTTCTTGAATATTGCTAAGTTTAACATTGACGTTTTTATAAGTCCTGAAGAGCCTTTCCTCGTGCTCGTTTCTCTTCCTCTGCACAAAACGCACACCGACAAACAATCCCATTGTCAGGGGCTTGCTTGTGTGTGTGTGTATGTCGTGGCAGAAAAAATTGTACCATTTTTCGGTGATTAAACTCGATTTGAATGAAAGTCGCCGCAGCAGCATGTTTTATCTCAGGCAAGACACTCTTCCGCTGGGCCTCACATGACCGCCTATCTTTCGACTGCTTTTTCACTCACGTGATTAGAAATCTAATTTAAAGCAATTCGCTGCTCTGTGGCTGGCCTCTTCGGGTTACTGCTGGTTGCTGCTTAAAAGCGCGGATCGGACACTGAACACCAGCGAGATACTCTGCTTTGCTTTTATAAACTTTAGTCACGGGGGCGGATTGGTGCAGGGCTGCAAAAAAATCGATGTTAACAACGATTTTAGATACATCGATTTCGCATTTAAGAATCGATTACTTAAGTGTTGCCAGGCGACAAAACGGCTTTTCCCAAAAATACGTTCCGTTAATTCTTTCAAGAATTTTCCCGAAAGTTATTCTTCTACCTTCCAGAATCGGTTTGCACCTCGAATTTTTTTTTATCTACATTTGTACAAAACGCAGTTCTACATGAAATGTATATAGAATACAAATGGAATTAGTGACTGGGTATAGCATAACTTGTATGACAGCCGCAGGGGAAATTCTGTACTTACATATGTAAAGAAACATTTGGTTAGCGCTCAAAAGTAAAAGAAATACAAAACAATTTCAAAATTAATACTTTTTAATACTCCTCTTAACTCTGTTTGTATTAATGTGTGTTTTTGACTAAATAAATAATTGCCAACTAAATAAATCATTTTTAATTTTTTTTAAGTGTAATTTTACTTACTTGGTTTTCTTTTATACATATTAACTTATGTTTTTATAAGTTTAACATCCAAAATAAATTTTAATAACAAACAAATTTAAATTATACCTGAACCGAAAAAATTAAAAATACATATTATTCCCTGTTCTCGGTATTCTGGTTCTTCCGTTATTTTCTGTTGGCTATCGCCCATAAACGACACGGTTTCCTTCACGCCTCATAACTATCTTAAAAATACGTCAAATTACCTTATACAGTAGAATCCTGTTATAACGACTCCGTTTATAGTGTCCGTCCGGGTATTGCGACGAAAACTCGATGGCTTGATTGGTCTCCAGACAGACTTTTACACTTATATCCTTTTGCTTAGTGCGTCTTCCGGGTATAACGACGAAAACTCGCCGGTCCCTTGGAAGTCGCTATAACCGGATTCTACTGTACATACATAATTAACAAAAACAATTTAGCATTTTTTATAGAGCTTTGATATTTAAAAAATTAATTATACTTTTATTAATTCTACAAGTCCTAAAACCCAAAATCATTCCCGAGGGATAAAAAAAAACGACGTGATAATTTTTTGCCATTATTAATATATACGTATATATTTTACTATGGCAGCTATATGATATAGTTATCCGATATATATACTGTATGTCTCCTTCTATGCGTTGCAAACTTCTGACTGAAATTATGATACCCTCTGCAAGCTTATAATAATGATATTATCGTTGTTTATTACACTGTGCGACAAAATTTAACGAAATGTTTGTTTAAGTTACTTTTTTGATTGTTTTCGGTTAAGATGCATAAATTATGCACAAAAATATCTATGCCACCTTCTAAGTGATAGGATTTCTTTTTTTATGATAAATTTTATGAAATTATTATTATGAAAATATTTAACACAAAATATTTTTTTTTTTTTTACTTCCAATAAACTATTATTTTTTTTAAAGTGAAATTTTTTTCTGATTTTTTTGGCTTTTTCAGAGGTATCCTCGCGTAACAAGTTCCATACGTAGTCGCCCAGAGTATAGAGCTGGGGGAAAAAAATTTTAAAGCATTGTGGTAAAAGCCTAACGGTATATTTGCTTAATACATTTTAATTAATAGATATTGAACTTGCATAAAACGCTTATAACGGTGAAAAAATATTTTCCCAATATGTGATTATAAGGCTGTGAAATATGCAAAAACACGCGTTTTTGGGACATTTGAGTGTGCGTAGAAGCTGATTGGCTATTGATATTAACAAATCCAAAAACTTATATTCTTATTTTGACTAGTAGAAGTGAAAAATAAGAAAAAATCAACTTAAACATTTTTTTGTCGCACAGTGTTATCAGACAAGCCTCATTTTTGGAACAAAGAGTTTTCTTGAATTTCAAATTAAATTTCATTAAAAACGGAATAGAAAATATAGAATTGAAAAAAAATAGAAAAAACGACATAACTTCGATGTTTATGTATTTTGTTTGAAATATGTATATAAGCTTCTTTTCTTGTATATAATATAATAATAAAAAGTTAATAAAAAAGGGTTGAATGTTTGGCGAATACTTCTTGGTTTTTCATCTTGATTAACTTAAAATTTGTGTATGAAAATATAACTACAAATTACTCAGTCGGGGAAAAAGACAGTTCTTCGCTGAGATCATGCGGAGGTCTTTATACGTATTCCGGCTGAATTCAATGTAAAAAATTTTTCATCTTAGCACGATTTTCGGTTTCTTATACATATTTTAAAAACCGGTTCAATGCAGAATCAAAGAAACATGTTATTGAAACTAAAGCATAACATGGGATCAAATGATAGCTCATCTTAGTAGATCCTATTGACATAAAAACATCTTTAAATACTTTTTATAACTATTTCAACATATTATTTTAAATTTTACAAATTAATATTACATAGTCTGTAGATTTACAATGCACAACTGGCGGCCCATCCTAGTATTTCTCCAGAGCTCGCGAAAGCAGTGCATTCATGTTGGTCAGCAGCATTCGAGGATCCTCCGCCAGTCCGGCGCCCACCATCGCGTTTGCGAAGAGCTGCTTTGCGATCAATTGTGCTAGCTCCTTGTCGCTCTCGCGCAGCTTGTTCAGCTTCTTGATGATGGCGTGCCTATTTGGGATTAGATCGGTTGTGAAAGTAATAGGCGCCAGGGAAAAAGCCCTACTTACTTTGGGTTGATCTCCAGCTCCGGCTGAAGAAGGGCAAATCGGTTTTGTTCCGGAACCTGGTGACTCTGTGTGCGGATAAAGTGGCGGGCGGCTGCCATCTCCTCCACGGTGATAACACAAGGGTGAGTGTCCAGCCGGGAAGTGGCCTTAACCTTGATTACCTGTCCCTTCAGCTCCTCCTCCAGCCAGGGAATAAGGTTGTCCAACTCCGAGCGCAGCAGGCTTCCCTCGCCAAAGTCGGTGGCCGTCGCTGTTTCCTTGGACTCTTCGCGCATCTCTTTCTCGACGGACACGAGTTTTTTGCTCTTGAACTTGCCCAGTTGCATGAGCACCAGCTCGTCGTACGGCTCATAACAGAAAAGCACCAGCTCGTTGCGCTTTTTCAGACTCTCGTAGTAGGGCGACGACTCGGCCAGGACGCGGTTGGGTGCTGCCAAGTAGTATATATTTTGCTGCTCAGCAGGAACCGCGTTGTAGTACTCCTCCAGTGACATGCGGCCACTGGAGGTCTCCGACTTGGAGGACTCAAATCGCAGTAACTTTGCAATTTCCTCCTTTTCGTTGGCATCGTTAGAAGTTACAATGCCCTCTTTCAGGAAAAGCCCGTAGTCGCGGTAAAAGGCTTCGTAATCCTCTGGCTGCTTCTTGGAGCGCTCTTGCAAGAAACGGATAACGCGGGTGGTAATCACGCTGGAAAGCTTGCGGATCAGACTGCTGTTTTGAAGCAGCTCGCGGCTCAGGTTAAGCGGAATGTCCTCAGAGTCGACGACCCCCTTCACGAAGCGTAGCCACTTAGGCAAAAGGTGCTCAGTCTTCGACTGTATAAGCACCTTGCGCGTATACAAGGCAACGCCGGTGTTTCCGTCCCGAGACATCTCGAATAACCCCGGTTTGCCCTCGGGAAAGTATAGCAGAGCGTGGATGCTCAAGGGCACATCGGCGTTGTAGTGCAGCGTGAAACGCGGAACATCAAAGCTATTGCTAATGAAGCGGTAGAAGTCGTGGTGCTGCTCCTTGCTGATGCTTTGCGGATCAAGCAGCCATAGAGGTTTGATCTCGTTGGCCTGCTTGCCGTTCAGCAATATGGGCGAGCCCACAAAGTTGCTGTACTTCTTGATCACGGCCTGGATCCGCTCCTCATCGGCGTACTCCCGGCATTCGGTCTTAAGGTGCAAAACAATCCGCGTGCCCAGCTCAACGTCCGGCACCTCTGCGATTTCATAGGACCCGCTGCCGTCTGTGGACCACTTTAAACCGGGGGCATTGGGCGTGGCCGCCCTCGTGTACACCTCCACCTTGTTGGCAACGATAAAGGACGAGTAGAAACCCACGCCGAACTGGCCGATGATGTTGGAGGAAGCCTGCGATGTGGCCGCCTGTTGGTCGCCCTTCATCTGCTCAAGGAATTGCTTGGAGCCGCTGCGCGCAATGGTGCCCAGGTTGTTGACCAGTTCCTCTTTGGTCATGCCAATCCCAGTGTCCTGGATGATCAGCTGCATCAAAGGCTTGTCGGTGGTGATGCGAATCTCCAGGGGCCGATCCTTGCCAGCCAGATTCTCGCCCCCAGCACTGAGCGAGGTATACCGGAACTTTTCAAGCGCATCGCTGGCATTGGAGATAAGCTCGCGGACGAACACCTCATGGTCTGAGTACAGGGATCGGGCCACGATATCGAGCAGCTGGCGGGTCTCCGCTTGGAACTCGTGCTTGTCCACCACCGACTCTGAGGCTTTCTTGGTCTCCGTGGAGAAGCGACAAAGCGAAAGCGCTGGAAATGGATCGTTGGATGTTATGTAAACTTTGAGTTATCTTTTGTCATCTAGAAGGCAACTCCAGAAGCTTACCGGCCGGCGATCGCAGTGATCCCAAGGCGAGATTAAGGGCTGCTGGGGCGGATCGCTGGCTTTTACTCAATAAAGCAAAGCGGCTGAAGCGGCATGCCTGGCCCAAGACCCCCATCGCTCGGACTGACATTTTTCCAATCTTTTTAGCTTTTGTTTTGGGCAACCGAAATGTTATCCAACTACAAAACGAAGCTTGTTTCAGCGCACATGTGTGCAATCGATAATAAATATTCGATGATTGCGGATATCGATTATAACGAAATCATAAATTGTTCTACATTTTACATTACATTACATTAAGTTCAATAAATTGGTTTTTCAGTATTTTATTACAAAAATGGATAGTCATTAAAACAAATAAAACAAACAAAAACAAATCATTTATTCCAACTACTCGGATCGAATAAATTTTTTCAGTTTGAATTCTTGTATGTATGACACAAATAAGATGAATATTGTAACAATAAAAAACAAGATATCAATAGTATTTCCTCGTAATGCTTTTAGTCATGCGAAACAGCGCTTTTGTTATTTTTTTTTTTTTTTTTTTTAGCAATTTTATGTTTAAGCTAAAAACATCGATATGCCAAACTAACTATCGATGTAAGTGCGCATGCTGGCAACCCTATTCGCGATTGCAACTCTGCTGTAGCGCGTCAGCGTCGCGTTGTAATTTTTGTTGAGTTTTTAAACTAATTTTAATTTGCAGTTGCGTGTCTTACTAACTAAAGTACCATGTGTTAAGTGTTCTCTATCCGCGAGACCAGGCAAATATAATCGATAATGAGCGCCTCCACAATCGACAGTGTGCGGGTGCTGCTGCAGTCGCTGCCCGCTGCCGCCGCGAACAGCGGCGTTCTACCGGGCGATCAGCAGACGCTGGTGAAGATTGCACCGGCGGGAACTCCACTGCGTGCCAGGAATCCTAGCCAGCTCCAGGTCATCCCGGAGAAGGTGGAGGAAAAGCCGGCGTCGCCACCGGAGGAATTTTGGAGGGATCTGCAGCAGTTCCACGAACGACGAGGGTGAGACGATGCCAGGCTACCCGGCTACTTTAAGTTATTAACCCACTTTTGCCTCTGCTCAAACAGCACTCCCTTGACGCAGCCGGCCAGGATTAGTGGCAAGCAGGTGGACCTGTATAAGCTGTATAATGAGGTCACCGAACGTGGTGGCTTTAACAAGGTGAACATGCGGGACGAGTGGGATGAAGTATACAGCGCTATGGAGACGCTCCGAGAGCGTTGCGTGAACGGGACCGCTGGCATCAAGCACATATACAGACGCTATCTGGACAAGTACGAGCGTCTCAACTTCTTTGGCGAGGATCCAGACAAGATGGAAGCATTAGAGGCAGCCATCGAGAATGCGGAAATGGGTGGAGGACGATCGCGGTCGCGCTTCTTGGCTGGTGCCGGCGGTGGGCTGGGCAGTATCTTTGGCTCGGCACATTCAACGCTGCCTGCCGTGCCAATGGCCTATAACCAACGCCAGCACTCTGTGAATGTGGAGCGAAGGCGTCAGTACAGAATGTCTACGCAACTTCACCGCCACAGCAGCTATGAAAAGCTTCTTCTGTCGCTACTGTCACCGCTGCCCAACGAGCAGGACTTCGCCATTAATGTGTGCACCCTGATGGCCAACGAGGTGCGGCACACTCTGCAGTTGTCCGAGTGTCCCAAACTGCTGGATGTCCTGCTGGCTCATCTAGGCGTCTATGCAGACTTTACCATACGAAAACTGTTCCAGCACAGCTATGCCGAGGTACGCCACCATTCGCAGCTCAGCTTCTGGCGCGACTTGCTTCACGACAGGCCGCAGATCCTTGAACTGTACACGGATGAGCAGGCCTGGTTGGACAACGGATTGATAAGCAAGGAGGATAGTGAGATTTCTGCTGCTCGCAGTGAACTGCTGGCGGCCTGCGATGAGTTGGACTTTCTAAACCTGCGGCGCAGCAACGGCACAGATGAGCGTATGGGACAGCGCGTGCTCCAGATTGTCCAGCTCGTTCGCGCTCTCAGTTTCCACCAGGAAAACCACGTGATCCTGGCCTCCAACCGCACATTGTGGCGGTATTTAGTTATGGGCGCTAACGTGCGATGGAGTAAGTAACGTTTTATTACCTTATAATTACATTTAAAACGAAATGTTTCGCTCTCTATAGACAACATCCACATCCAGGCGCTGGAGACGGCGGGAAACCTGGCTCATCAGTTTGAGCTGCTCGATCCGGCAACTGACGAGCTGTCGCGGAATCTGCTGGCCACCCTCTGCGAGGGAGTGGACTCCAACGACCGGGCGGTTATCATCAGTTGTCTGGAGATACTCTACAAGCTTTGTGGTCGGGAGGGAAATTCGCAACACATCAACCGTTGCCTTGGCTTGGACTTTTACCAACGTGCCATGCTGCTGCTCTCGCTCACGGACGTCATGCTGCTGATCTTCACCCTAGAGGCAGTATACGCTCTGAGTTCGCTAGGCGCTCGTCCCTGTTCGATGCTCATGCAAGTGCGGGGTCTTATGGACCAGTTGGTGGCCCTGATCACAGTGGAGGCACAGACGTATGGCGCTGACGGTTGCATTCTTATGCGGGTGGTGGAGGTTGTGCCGGGCAATATGATCGCCTCGCTGACTCAGAACATGCCCACCATGCCAGCTCCCGCAGCGGCCGCGTCGATCACAACGCTTCCGACATCCCTTCAGGTTGCTGTCAAGCCGCCATCCGTTTTGCCCACGCCCACTCCCGCCCAGACCCAGGTGCTCCTACCCCAGGGTGAGCAGCAATCTGTGGTAACAGTCCCGGTTACCGGACTGCCGGTGCCGAGTCTACCAACTGTCCATCTGCCAATGCCCAGCCTACCGCAGGTGCAATTGCCACCAATCGCTGCCACCGTGACTCTCCCAACTTTGCCGCCCGCCTCTCAGAGCTTCACCCACGAGGATGAACAGTATGCACTGGCCTGGCTGGGAGCTACTTACGAGCGGGCTGGCGTCGGCAATGATCTGCGCGTGGAGCAGGCGGAGCTGTACAGAATCTACTTGTCTCATTGTCAGAAGGCTGGCAAGCTTTCAGTGGTCAATCACATGCAGTTCCCTCGTTTGGTTCGGCTCATATTCAACCAATCTGTCGGACCGGTCATTGTTCGGCAAATGGATGGGACGGAGCTGCCAGGAACGTACTATGTAGGCATTCGAATGCGAGCCCAACCGCTGGCTATGCAACAAAGACCCGCTGCTAGTATTGTTTCTGTAAAGAAGGAAACTCCCATTCTGCCCAAGCCACCGGCGAGTGATCCTGTTCCATCGGAAATGGTGACTGAGGAAACGGCTTCGTCGACCGGCACACCGCCTCCAAGCTCCTCGCTGATCAAAAGCCTACTGGCCAACAAGGTCACAGAGCGCCAACAGAAGCAGAAGGCTCAGGCCCTGACACCGCAGCCTCCAGCCCTGGTGGCAACCACTGCTTCGTCCACGAATGCCACCCAACCCATCAAGGTAACCTCGACAGCCATCAGCGCCTTTGTGAACAATCCGCTCATGCAGCACACACCGGTGAAGGTGGGCCAGACCACCATTAAGCCGCTCCACCCCCAGATGGCCATCGAAAAGAAGTCAATTACGGACTCGGCTCCACCGCCTCTCGCCCCGCTGAGTGGGGCAAATGTGGTTACCAAGGACGCCAGTGGGCGCACACTCATCATCGCATCGGCTGCTGCCAAACGCAAATTGACCATCGACGAAGAACAGAGCAAGCGTCTGGCATTGGATGCCGCCGCTAGCAGTTCAAGCTCAAACGCTTCTTCTGCCGGCAAGGAAGAGGCGCAGGTGACTCCCTCAAAGAACGCAGCCAATCTTTATGCTGATCTGGCGGCATCGATCTTGGAGGATGAGGACTTGGACGACGTGCCACCGCTGGCCAAGTCAAGTCAAGAGCAACCCCAACTGCAGTCCCAGCCACAACAACAACAGCAACAGCAGCAGCAGCTCCAACTCATTCCGGCCAAAGTACAGCCGGCCCAGCGTCAGTTGGTCTTTCCCGCCAGTAGTGTGGTTTCTTCAGCCCCGCCGTCGCAACTCAAACTGGCCACGACGGCCACCATAAAGACGGATCAGGGATTGCAGACGGTGCCGGTGATTTTGCAGCCTAAGACTGCGATGGATACGACTCCTGCGCCGCAGACGCAGTACGTGCTGGCCACCAACCAGCAAGGTCAAACGTACTTGGTAGCCCAGCAAACGCAGCCGGCGAACCCACCGTCCACCCAATCGGCGCCACCCACCCTGCTGGTCACGCAAACGCCGCAACAACAGACCAAGACCATAATCATTCTGCAGCAGCCGGGAGGCGTCTCCGCCGCCAGTGTGGCGGGCACGCAGAAAATGATCATGACAACGGCGCAGGGCCAGCAAGTTTTAGTCACCACGACTACAGCGCCGCAACTGGCCCAGCCCCGTGCTTCAACACCCCAGCAACAGATATTTATCGCTCCTCAGCGACCGGTTCCGGCTTTGGGGGCTGGGCAAATGTCCCCATCATTGCTGTCGCAACTGAACCAGATCCCGGCAACCATTAAGCTGCACCAGCCACAACCGCAGCCTCAGCTTGTTTCGCCCCAATTGGCACCCCAGCAGCGCCTGGTGGCCACCAAGGCGGGCGCTGCTCTCCCTATTCCTCAGCTCCAGCAGCACCAGTCCATCATCCAGCAGCACATCATCTCCGGGCCCTCCACTCCGACCCCCGCTGCAGTTGGGCCGGGTGCAGGCGAAAAGAGACAGGTGCTCCTCGGTGGAATAAAGGACACAACGCTCATCACCCAGACCCCGGCCACGGCAGCCCCTCTGCAGCAGAGCCAGCTCAACTCGCAGACCATCATCACCACACAGCCGCCCACCAGCACGGCAACCGTTGGGGGCGTGGCTCTTCAGCAGCAACAGCACATCCGAACCGTGTTGGAGCAGCAGCAGCAGCATCATCCATCTATCATACAGCAGAAGATCACCATGCCGGCAGTAAGTTTTGAAATTTTTATTTTTAGTTGCTGTTATACTTTGCGAGATTTATAATTAATTTTATTAAGATATATTTTACCGAGTGATGCGTTAAGAGAGTATTTATGCTCATAGTTATACTAGTTGCAAGGGGTCTTAAGTGGCAATCCAGTGAAAATAGAAGCCCGAAATTAATTTTAACTATTTTTTAGGTTTCAGAAGCGAACAAGCCAAAAGTAGCGACCGTTGCACCTCCGGGAAGCCCTGCGAACACCGCACTCCTCGGCAAGAAGCCTTTGCAGCCGCAGCCTGTCCAAGTGCCAGGTCTAAAGCCATCGGTCACCCAAACAGTAGTGGCGACGCCGACAACAACCTGCGAGCCAGCGGTTGTGGCAGCAACCATCGAAGCAAAGCCAGCGGAGCCCCAGGTGGTGGCTCAGCCATCCGTCGCCCCAGCTGTGGTCACCACCGCTCCGAGCAGCAGTAGCCTGGTGGTCAGCCAAAGCGTCTATGCCGCACCTGCTCCAAATGGCAGTTCTGCACCCTCCGCTGTGCCCGTCGACGCGAACTGGTTGTACATCTGCGATTGGCGCAACTGTCCCCGCAGAAAGTTTAAATCCCTCAACGAGCTTAAGTACCACGTGTGCAATGTACACTGTCCGGACCACCTGGATTCAGACGCCGACATTTACTGTCAGTGGGGAAGTGGACCCACGTTTTGCGACAACAGGGCGCGCAAGCGCTACTCGCTGATGACGCATCTAATCGACCGTCATCTGACCATGGAGAACTTGCGCGCCAGTGTGCAACGTCGCTTGGCAACGGGCATTCATAATGTAGCGCCCACGCAGCCTCCGGTGACCATAGTTCGCAACGAGGGACACGCCCAACGACTGGCGGGAAGCGGTCCTGGTCCAACGGCGGTTCCGGCTGTAGGGACTCCTGTTGTGGGCAGCGCTGCAATGCAAGCTATGAACCGGCACACGACAGATTATACGAACTCTAAGGAGCTGTTGGATGAAAACGAGGGCCCCGTGACTAAAAGCATTCGACTGACGGCGGCGCTGATTATACGCAACCTGGTTACCTACTCGTCCACGGCCAAGAGGACGCTGAAGCGGTACGAACCCCACCTGGCCAATGTGGCCTTAAGCAATGTGGAGGCCAGCGGAGTGCTCTCACACATAATGTACGAGCTGAGCCAGTAGCTGAATCAGACGATGCCGCCGACCACAAAAAAATTATTATTAAACAGACCTGTAATAACGACACTATAAAATGTGAAAAACAACCCATATCCAATTCTTTTAAATTAAAGAACTTTTTTTCAACTTTCTTAAAACCACAAAGTTAAGGTAAGAATGATATAATAGTTTTCACTTTTTAAATTAAATATGTTTTGCAGACAATCAAAAATAAAAAAAAAACTCACTAGACTTAACTAGAATTTAAGTCTGAAGTTTGCAATGCGGTTAAGAACACATCGTCAACTCCATAAACTTTTTAAATCTAAAAAAAAGTCTTGAAAAGTCTTAATTCAAAGCATATTCTTAAAATGAAAGCTATAAGGTGTGCTGCATGGCATTGAATATGTTAAACATTTAATTTTCTCTGTTTTTCTGTAGCAGTAATCCTCAGTTTATGCATACCTACAGACTTTTTGCCATTGGAGGAACCATGGTATAATAAGTACAAGGTAGTCTCGTCGGCTTTTTTTTCCCCCTATCGACACTACAATTAGAGCGAGAGAGAGAGTGTTTTCCTATGGGTTCGGGTCGATAGGGGGAAAAAACCCGAACGATTTTGCAGCCGACGAGACTACCTTGCATAATTCTACCATGGGAGGAACGACCTATAAAAAATTAATAGAAAATGTAAAGTAAACAACCGGGACAATTTTGTGGAACAATTTAAAAAAAGTTACGCAAAAGCTTTTGTTGCCCAACATATGTTACTTGGATATTGCTGGCAAAACAGCAATACTTAATATGAGAGGACTGTCTTATGGCTGTCATGGGAAACAATTAAAAACATCGACGTAACTTCGGTTTTGAATATTTATTTAAAATTATGGATTATGTGATTAAAAATATTTTAAAAACGTTTTCGAACTGATAGAAAAGCAAGAAAGGAAGAAGCTAGCTTCGGCAAGCCGAAGCATATACACCCTTGCAGTCATCAAATATGTCAAATATGTCAAAATACATAAGGGCTAAGCAACATGGAAGCTATGTCGATTTTTCTATTCATTTTGCATATTTTCGACTATTGTTCATATGGCAGCTATATGATATCGTCGTTCGATTTTGATGATATTTGATTCGAAATTCAAGAGTCGTTAGAAAACTCTATATTCCAAAAATCATGATTGTCTGATGAAAAACAACGATGTTATAATTTTATTTCCGTTATTTTTATATAGATTTTTCGATCTTTCTTATGGCAGCTATATGTTATAATTGTCCGATTTCAATTAAATTTTTTTTTCGATTTAAGGGTTAAACTTCATATTTTGAAAATCATGCTCGTGGGATTAAAAACAACGCAATATAACTTTTTTTCCCATTATTTATACATGTATCGGGTGTTTTTTTAGAGGTATAGAACTTTAAGTTGCAATAAAACCACGATGGATTATTCGATTGACATGAATTTTTTTTATTCCAAAGATAATTTTGTGGCAATTCATTTTATATATGATTTCTGGCATATGACCGCCACGGCTGGCTCAGATGTAGTCCAATCTGGACGTCCAATTTTCGATGACTTTTTCCCAACATTTGCGGCCGTATATCGGCTATAACACGGCGAATGTTGTCTTCCAAATGGTCAAGCGTTTGTGGCTTATCCGCATAGACCAATGAATTTACATAGCCCCACAGAAAGTAGTCTAGCGGTGTTAAATCACAAGATCTTGGAGGCCAATTCACAGGTCCAAAACGTGAAATTAGGCGGTCACCAAACGTGTCTTTCAATAAATCGATCGACATCCGAGCCAGCCGTGGCTTTCATATGCCAGAAATTATATATAAAATGAATTGCCACAAGATTATCTTTCGAATAAAAAAAATTCATGTCAATCGAATAATCCATCGTGGTTTTATTGCAACTTAAAGTTCTATACCTCTAAAAAAAACACCCGATACATATATATTTTTCGATTCCTATGGCAGCTGTATGATAGAGTTATTCGATTTTGATAAAATTTAATCTGAAATTCAATAGTGGTTAGAGAACGCCATATGGAAGAAATCAAGTCGATCTGATCAAAAACAACTGAGAGACTAGTTTACGTAAAAACAGACTGACGGACAGACGTATTTCGATTCTGATCGTGATACTGATCAAGAATATATATACTTTAAGGGGTCTGAGGTGTCTCCTTCACTGCGTTGCAAACTTCTGACTGCAAACTTCTTTGCTCTGCAAGGGTATAAAAACTATTGCCATTGCGTTTACCTATATAACATAAGTTGCTTCAGACTAAAAACGATAAGTTTTTTAGTTGAAGGAAGCCTTAAGTTTGCTAAGTTAAAAATTATAACAAGAATTTAAGATCAACTTTGGTCTAGAATATTACGATTTTATTTTTTCTGACTTGAACAACTTACCTTAACAATCAGAGCATGTCTGAGATATACAAATGTTAACATAAAATCTCAGGTTATTAGGAGAAGTAATTCTTATTCGACTAACATATAGTATAAGAAGGAAACTATTATCTTTAAACCGCAGCTTTCCCGTTTTTCAAGAAATTTTCATCGTCCACGATTGTATATTTGTTACTTCTGTACGAATCCAGTTCAAAAATGTATTTCTTGCCGCAGTCCTTCATCAGCTTGTGGATTACTGGTTTAATGTTTTCGATCCCGGCGAGCCTTGCCAGTTCATTGTAGTACACAAACTAAAAGCACAGAGTTTTAGTAAAACACGAAAGTACTGTACTCTTCTGATATATCCGTTGTCTTTTAAGCACATTTCAAAAATTAAGAATTCTGGAATATAGCCCGTTATTGTAGACTTTATTTAAATAGACACGGAAATATCAAAACGGATTTTTTTGAATGCTATAGATAAATGAATCTAGATGAAATATCAGAAAAGATTGCATTTAAATGCATTCAAATTAAAATAATGGTAACGTATTTCTTCCTGATATAAGTTCCGGATATAGAAATAGACCACTGAATAATCACCTGTCTTTCGCCCATCTGATGTGCCTTCTTGTGGTTGTGGACTCCACAGCCCCACCGCTCTCCGATCTCCTGTTCCAGTTCGGCGATCATCTGCTCCCGCGAGGGGAACTCTCGCTGGCCCGTGAAAAACTTTAGCGTGAAGCGCACCTGCATGTCGAAAATGTGGGTGGGGATCACGTTAAAGGGCAGGCCCACGAAGGCCATGGTCGGGTGGTTGATGTTGATGCAGTGCTTCCACAGAGGCTGGACGAAGTTGTCTATCACCTGGACGCCCACATCAGTGCTGAGACAGGGGAACGTGTACTTGTAGCCGGTGCAGAACATCACGTGGTCGAATCTTTCCGTGCTTCCGTCCGTGAAAACGGCTCCATCCTTGGTGAAGCGCTTCACATCTGGTTTCTGTGTGACGTTGCCCATGAACCCTGTATTCGGCGTAGTGGACAGGTGGTGGCTCAGAAACACCCGCTTGGCGGCCAGGCGAACGTGGTTGGTGATGTCCATTCCGCTGGGACCCGCGCCAATGATCAATACGGTCTCGTCTGCAATATCGATAAGATTTAAAAATTAATTTGCACAATTTGTTTATTGTTTTTAAATAATTGTGTCAATTGTGAGCAAACAAATTATAGATCAAAATGTACACAATGCAATTTTTTACGATCAATTTTAGATTATTTCCATTTCCAAAATTTTGGCAAACTTCGTTGGGTTTTGAGGCACTGCGTATATGGCGTTTTTTGTATTTGATATCTCAATCGATATAATAAACGGCTTTCATTACTGTTTAATGGTTATACACCATTCTAAAACTGACATAGTAAAACTAACTAAATTGTATAAAATATGCAAAACTAAAACGCTTTTAATTGTTCTTATCAAATCCTTTTAGGAAAGCACTTCCTATCACTAGAGAAGCACGTGGAAAGCGCGTTCAAAATTAGCACAGAACCACAACACTTGTTATTATTTTGTCACCAGGCCGTCAACAATATTATCTGCTTTCGAGGGTGCTCCAATTTTTATGGGTAACAACAGAAGTGGGACTCTGGCCAGACGGCGATGGTTGTCAGGTCTAGAGATTTGGCCAGATTGATTTAGGACCAGGGCCACTGGTCTTCTTATCTCACCTTTAAACTTATCTGCCCTGCGATACAGGTGGCTGTGCATCTTCTTGCCCTCGAACAGATCGATTCCTTCAATGTTCGGTATGTCCGGTTCCGTGTAGTGCCCATTGCAGACGTACACGAAGTCGTAGTAGACGGGGTCGCAGGTGTCCGTGCTGTGGTCCCACACGTAGACCTGCAAGTGATCGAAGGAAGGCCACCGTAATATCCGTCAGTATTTCATCAGTCGCATTGCAAGATCCGTATAAGCGGGAAAAAACAGGTCGGAGTGATTGAGACACCGAATAACTGGTTCGAAAATAAGTGACGTCGCTACCAACCTCCCAGTCGTCCAAGCGAGGACGCACTCTTATCACCTCGTGCTGGAGCTTAATGTGCGACTTGAGCTTGAAGTGTTCCGCATAGGAGCGCAGGAATTGCAGAACCTGGTTGGAGGTGATGAAGGACTCGTCGATGTCGTCGGGGTACGAGTAGTCTGGATAGCCCATGACCTCCTTGGGCAGGTTGGTGCTAGAGAGAAAGTCATACAACGGACATCTTTATACACAATCAACTACTAAACACTTACCGTAGACCCTCGTACATGCTGCTGTGCACCTCGTCGTACTCGTTCTTGGGCATCTCCTCGGAGAAAATCCAGGTGCCTCCGATTTCGGTCCCGCGCTCATAGGCCACCGCATCCAGGCCTGCTTCCAGGGAGTTCTTCAGGGCGCACAGACCCGCTGTTCCCGCTGGAATTTGAAAAGCGCGCTCTAAAATTCTATCACCTTTGTTGTGCGGACTCGAATATTACCTCCGATTACGCAAACGCGGCGCTTTTGGTTTACTGGAGTTTTCATCATTTTTTAATTCGTATATGGTTGAGCGATTTTAAATCTGTTTGTCTCTTAAGTAACACTTTGTTTTGTCTCTGCGACTGGCCAACGACTGACCAAGGGGCTCGAGCTCCCGCTGATATAGAGCTGGGAAGGCATCGCGATGTGCGCTACAGTCGAGTAGTGTTGACTGTTGGCAAGCTGATAAGTTGATTTCCAGATACGGGTCTGAGGAGTACATGAGTAACTTTTGGGGGAAAGGGGACTCCGCTAGGCGGCCTCATCCACCGATTCAGTCTTATCATTCGCGACTGCCGGTGACATAACAGCGACGCTGGTGTTGGCACCGCTCGTTCTGTAAGCGTCTGGAATCCGCCGTCAACAATTCGGAATTACAGTATAGCCCCACTAACTGAAAATTCGTGAGCTTGATACTTAGTAATATTTTTCAACGGAAAAATATCTTTATTCAAAAGATTACAATAAATAATAAATCCATAACCATTGAAAAAAAGTCAAGATTAGATATTAATGGAAATTTGCAAAGATTTGCAAAATTGAGCTTAAAAATTGGCTAACGCCAAAACGTTAGTTCTAGGTTCTAGCTGGATTTATTTTTAGAATTGCGACTGTATACCGCAAACATCTGGCTGCTGTGCGATACAGGAATCGATCCCGAACTCATAAAAAACCCACTGATAACACTATCGAATCGGATTCGGCTAAGATTTATACATACGGGTGTATACCCCTTACCCGGAGTCACTGTGTCAATTCAGTTTAACAGCCTATTTAAGTTTTTAATTATCAGCTGCGCACACCATAACAACGATTACAACGAAAGTACTGAGTATCATCTGGGAATGGGAAATAATTAATTTTATTCAATTACAAAAACATTGCCGAGCACAACAATGTATCAGCCCACAATGAAGCCTATGGAAAATTCTTTGCTGGGGGTGTATATGGGGGTTGCCAGGGGAGAAATCATTCTCAGAAACGGGTGTGAGGAAGCCAACTAATACTTGAGTCTAAGGCTGTGATAACAGAATTTATTGTGTAGTGATCATCTGCTAAACAATCAAGCTTTGACAGCTCCTTGACAGCTCAATATGAATTTAATTAGTTCGCTGAGTGCTTTTACTGGACGGTTTTGGGCAATCGAACGGATTCGATTAAATTTTGGTGTTCATATTAGTTAACAAAAATAAATTACAGAAGTCCTTAAGTACTCTTAAGTATTAGGCAGAAGGTAAGTGAGGGGTTACTGCGTATACTGCGTGTACTGTGTTTGTAAAAAGTATTTAACAGATGGAAGGAATACTTGCGACCCCATAAAGTAAATACAGTCGACTCTCGTTAATTCAAACCTGCGATAATTCGAACCTCTCTATAATTCAAAGTTATCACGAGGTCCCTACGAAATCTCTTTATATTTCGAACTAAATCAATACATTTTCATACACTTGGTAATTCGAACGAAAAAATCATTGATATTTAACAAAACCACGCGTTAATTCGAACTCATCAGCGTCTAACACTCGACAATTCAAAGTTGCAGAGAAAAAATTTTGCGACAAGTTCAAACTTGCCTTTGTTTTTGTTTTGATTATGTAGTTTTTGACGCACACACTTCTTACGAATTGGTGTGTGTAGTTATTCAGTTACTGTTACTCTTTTGTTGGTATGCATATTAAAAGTTGGTGTTAGCTATGAGCCCTAGAAAGTATAAAGAACCTTTGGCAGAGGTGTCAGTTAAGGAAGCAAGATCCTCATTTGATACCTTACAAAGCTTATGTCTACAAAACGAAAGTGATGAAAAAGTATTTCATGCACTTTTTCTCTTAAAAAAAGTTATTGAGCAGTGAGAGCAGCAGAATTGTGCTGTAAGGCAAGCCAGTATAACAAAGTTCTTTCGAAAATTTCGAAATTTCGAACCATTTGATATTTCAAACACTCGATAATTCGAAATATTTCAAGAGTCCCTCGAGTTTCGAATTAACGAGAGTCGACTGTACATACATATGTATATTATTAAAAAGGATTGTCAGACGAATCTATAAAGCCATGTCTTTCTGTCTGTTTGTATGTATGAAAGTCGGAATTTCGGAAACGATAAAAGCTTTTTTACTAAATGTTTGTTCCGGAAATTTCATATACCTTTTAATAAGCAGCTAGAGTTTTCATGAATTTGTCACGCCTTTTTGACGCCCGGTATAAAAGAAACCTATGTTCAACAATTTTTTTTGCATTTAAAAATGAAATATTTTGTCAAAACTTTTTATTGTCTTAAAGATTACATATTTGACCTGGGATTACTGCATTTTTTAATGAAACATTTTAATTGGTCCGCCATCGTGACGTTATTCGGGAAATAGGTGTGCTGGCGATGTCAGCACAACTTCTAGAGGGATTATCGGAAGTGAAAACAAAGAAATACGCTTAGATAAGACTAAAAACTTTAGCGTGGGCGAAGTAAAATAAATTATAAAAATTGAAATTTTGGCAGTGATTTTTATAAAAAAAAATTAAAAATTTTGCGACATTTTTTATATTGTAAATAGTTTCAATTGGAAAAAAAAATTTTATTTAAAAGGATACAAATCACAAAAGATTTTGGTCTTTTCGAGACAAAGAAAAATTTGTGAATAAAGGCAACAGTACATTTGCATAAGTAATAAACTTGGAAGCCTATTTTTTAACTAAGGTAATTTTCATTCGGGGCCTTAATTAACTAATTTCATCTTATGTTTAAAAAAAATTTAAAAAAAATTACGCAAACTATTTGGTAAAATGTAATAAATAAAAATAAATAAAAAAAATTGGTAAAATAAAATTGAATTAAGCGGCATGATCGCCAAAGTTCCCCCGCAAATGGTATCTGAAAAGTTTTTTGGTTTTTGGAGCTTTGGTAAAGCTTTTCTATCGAAATTCGATAGAACTTTAAACACAATTAGAAATCGCGAAAACGTCAATAAATCGATATCAGAAATGCACTTAGTTGGTTTTAAAGATTTCTGAACTTCATTTTTAAGTTTTATACCAAAAAAAATGTTTGTAACACGAATGGTAGTTTCAACGCTTCGGAACTGGTTCGAGTCCAGATCGTGTTCCGGTTCAGGTGGAACCGAGGCTCGCGACAACACAACGCACAATCACAACCGCCAGTTCGCGAGAACGGGAGCTCGGAAGAACGGGACTGAGGAACCGAGAACGGCGAACGGAGAATTGAAAACGGAGAGTGCAGCGATCGATAGATTTCCCACACTTGCTAAACATTTCGTATAGCTCTCGGTTAAAGGTTCAAAGTGATGTGAGACGAAAAACAACGCAGTCGAAAAAGAAAGCAAAAGGCGGTGCGAAGCAGAGCGGCTGGGAATAAAATGAAACTGGGATCGCGGCACCAGCAACAAGTTTTAGTGGTTTTCCTTTGTGTGTCTCGTTCGTGTTTGCTGCTCTGCGCTTTGCTCGCCCCATTCGTCGCCGACTTTTATTTTGTTTTGTCCATTTTATCACCTCCAAAAAAGCGCAAGGCGAGCCGAGCTGCGTTAAGGTTAGCTGATCTGATCGGATCCGAGTGCATAGTGCATGCAAAGTCGCGGGCTGTGCTCTCGTAGTTACACAACCCACATGGGGCACAAAAGCCCGCAAAAGCCTCAATAGAAACAAAGCGGGTAGCCAAGCATTTTGCCGCCGACCATGGCCCCCACTACCAGCCCACCCGGCCCCGCGCCTCCCAAGCTGGCCAAGTTCAAGTCCTCGTCGCTGGACCACGAGATCTACACGGCAAATCGTCGCGGCACGATAGCCACAGCCTCTAGCGACTGGAAGGCCCTTCGCGGAAGTGGGGGAGGGGGACATGGAATCGGACCCGGTAACAATCCATCCAACGGACGGTCCCTTCACGCCGGCGGAGCTATGACGCGGGCCGCCTCCACATCCTCGCTGGCCAGCAGCACGCGCACCATGACCAACTACCAGGAGTACAAGATGGAAATTATCAACCAGGTGAGCTGCAATTCCAGATGCTCTTTATAATCGGCATTATGTATGTGGCAAAAACATCAGTATTAAGTAATACTCTTCTTCAGAAGTATTAATTTAGTTGAGAAAATTATTTACTGATTTCAAAGATTTCCCTCATTCTGTAAAATACTTAATATATCATCGTTAACGATTATCATCGTTAACACAGATTTCTTTTTAAAAATATTTTAAGTTTTGCGAAGGCAGCTTGATAAAACTTAACATACATTGGCAAACATTCGCTTGATTCCCAGAATGTTTGAATTCTTTATCAGCAACTACAGCTGTGTTCATAATAATAGCAGTGCAATAGCAACGAAGTAAAACAACGGTAATTTTTACATGTTCCTTTTCGTTAGTTGATCGCTTGATCATTTTTTTTTGTAAAATGGAATATAGAGACAGGAAAAGTAAAAAAGTTAAGTTCGATTTGCTATTTATTTGCGTTTTCTGGGCAATCTTGTGCAAAATCACAAGTTTTTGGCTGTTCCTAATAATAGCAGTTTTTCATTTTGATCCACAAAAAGTACCGAAAATATTAAAAATGTTTGCGAAAAGTGAGTTTGCTTTGTTTATTAATATAATTTAAATGAAAATACACAATAAAAAAAAATTTAATATTAGTGGGTAGAGGACGCCACTGTTCAGAGGAAGAGACGAATTTGATAGTTCAGCTTAGAAAGCAGGAAAAAACCTATAAAGAAATCCAAGACATGGTAAATTGTTCTGCCAAAATGGTATACAATGCCCTTAAATATGAGTGGAAGGCCGAAATACATGGGCAAAAACGAAAAACCACCGATATTGAGGACCGAAGAATAGTGCGCTTCAGCAAAGCGAATCCTCTAGCGTCTTCTAGGGATGTAAAAGCGGAACTGAAGTTGGGAGTCAGCGACGTCACCATTCGCCGTCGATTAGTAAATGCAAATTTTAATGCGCGCAGCCCCCGAAAGGTGCCATTTCTTGGTAAAAGGCATTTCCAAGCTCTTTTGGAGTTTGCCAAAAGCCATTTGTACTGGCCAGTGACGAAATGGCGCAATATTCTTTGGACAGATGAGTCCAAACTGGTCTTGTTTGGTGGGACAGGCTCAAGACAGTATGTCCGACGACCCCCAAACACCGAGTACCACCCAAGCCACACTCTTAAGACCGTTAAGCACGGTGGCCTTAAAATATTGGTATGGGCTTGTTTTTCATACAGCGGCGTGGGTCCCATACATATGATCGATGGGATCATGGACCAACACGTCTATGTGGACATATTTTAAAAGTTTATGCCTTCTTATGCACAGTGGGATATGCCCTTAAAATGGACATTCCAGCAGGATAACGATCCTAAACATACCAGCAAATTGGCTAAGAGCTGGTTTAGTCAACAAAACATTGAGGTAATGTCGTGGCCAGCACAGTCCCCGGATTTAAATCCGATTGAAAATTTATGGGGGGACATCAAGTGATATGTGGCAAAGAAATCCCCGACTTCAAAGCCGCAGCTTTGGCAATGTGTAAAGGACGCGTGGGCGCAGATTCCCCTCAAGCATTGCCAGGACTCCTGGGTAACCCTGCTATTATTATGAACACCACATTTTGTCGTTATTATTTTGTTATTATCTATATTTTCAAAAAAAAAATGGAGTAATTAAACTAAAACAAATGTTAACATATAATATATTATGTTGCGGTAAACCAAATTTGTCCCATTTTAGTGTTTATACTATGATTTTTTCGGTCAATAGCACTGCTATTTTTATGAACACAGCTGTATGTTTTTATTTCAAAACAAAACTATAATCCCTTTGCTCTGCAAGGGTATAAAAATACGTACATACATGTAAATGGGGACAACATCACTTGCTCAGGGTCGGATTTTAATTCAGTCAATCCGCTTAAATTTTAAAATCTAAATGTAAAAACATTAGTTTAAATTTTCCATTTTTCTCAGAGTGAACAATTTGCTTTACGTTTTAACTTGATTTTTATTTGGATTTATTTTGTACAAACCAATAATGATTTAAAGAAAAAAACCGGTTTACTCTTTAAAAAGGTGATTTTAAGCACAAATATATTATATGTATAATATGTGTATCTTATAAAAGTGCTTTCTTTTAATACTTTCTAAAGTTTAGACAAAAAGTTTTGACAGTAAAACTGTGCATTTTATTTAAGGCAAACCAAAAAGGCTTAATTTTTTAATAAAAAAAACCATTTGATTCTTATTTTACTCACAGCGAATGAAATTTTGAGCAAGTTATTAAACACAGAAACAGAAACCAAAGCGAATGGAAAAGCTGTTTAAATAAAATGTCGCAAACAAATTTTAAAATAACGGCCCCAACAAAACAGACAACTAATCGGCATACGGAGGGAATAGCCTCGACTGTGTTAAAATATTAGCAAAATAAATTAAAAGGTGGTTAAAGAACCTGAGATGCAAACCTTTGACAACCAACTTGTTATAGTTGACAAATTTGAACCACCTTTTCATTCACCTTTTAAACAGTGCACTATTCTTCTTTCATTCGTGATCCTATTAATCAGAAAACAGAGATACAATTACTAGCAAATATGTTTCACAAATAAAGATATAACTATTAGATTCATAAACCGTTAAGAATCGTATGTAATGAATACAATAGGCATTGCGGATTATAGAATGATGAGTTTTTTGTTGGAAACATATCGGGCAAATTAGAAAATTATGTGGTAGCTGTGAACTTGGACGACCCATCGGTATCTATATGTCATCCACCATTTCGGTCGTGACTGTCTCAATTTAATTGATAAGGTAAATATTTTTTGTTTGGGCCATTCGTTTATCTCGGACAGATAAGAGGCTCCAATGCACGCACGGCGTTCTTCTTTTTGCTATGTAAAATATTTACTCAGCTCCCCTAGGTGAGCAAAATGTAAAGTGTTTACTTCATATATTTGCTTTGTCTAGAATTTTTACTAAGCGCATTGCGGAAGTTTGTTCAGAATGCAGGGCGAAAAGGCCTTTGGGGCTGTCCATAAACCTCGTGACGCTAATTTTTGGCTTTTTTGACCCGTCCTCCCCCCTATGTGACGCATCACATATACAAATTACAACCTCCTTACAACAAAGCGTGACTCTCTGATGAACCCCCACCCCCCTAGGAGCGTTACAAGGTTTATGGACGGCCCCTTTGTGAGCTAATCAACACAGAAATTAGATGGGGAAGGCCTATCTTCTGACATAACATGGTCGAGTTACGCAGAAAACTACGGCGGCTGGACAAAAGGGAAGAACCGCAAAGCCGCCACGAGTATAACAATTTTAAACAAGTATTCCGAAAATAAAAAGCGAAAACACACGGGTGTTATTCGAAAACCTCAAGTGATAAATTCATCGAACTCTGCCCGACCGAGTAAATTTTATGTTATTTGGTCGCTCAAACTCGCCAAAAGATAAAATTTGGGCGCACAAGTGTATCGCCATAACAAGATCACGTAAACAAATTGACGAATTTATTGGTATGGCCTGCGGGCAGGTGATTAATTCACTGGGAGGCTGGACGGGCTCGGTGTGCCTTCAATAGACTTGTCAAGACCCCAGCCGAAGGCCATTGATTTTGCTTGGATTCGATCTCTTGGCTGGCCATGTCATAAGTCAAGTTGGCGCCAAAGTACGTAATTGTCTGCTTACTTGGCTCCAAGTCGATGGCGTGACGAACAGTAATTGTGCGACATAAATTGAGGGAAGAAACACTACAGCTACAAAAACGATCCGAACGGTATGGACCATAAAAGGGGTTTTCGAATTGCGGCAAACGCTTAGCGTCTTACAGATTTTAGGAGTTCATAAGTTGCCTTAATTTCTTCACACAGCACGTGCTGATCTCTTCATTTTGTTTACAACTATGATCATTGTTTATTGCCGCCATGTGCACTCAGGATCAGTTCGGCTGCATTTTTAGAGACTCTGTAAGAGGTGAGACTGATACAGCCCAGGTGTCCACGGAACTCTGCTGTAAAGCAATTCGGAAAGACGCAAATACGTTCGCCGGAAACTTGGCGGCAGCCGATTGATTGAGTGCCCCGCTGATGGAGCAATATTGTCTGCCAATGATCAAAGCAGAACAGTTAATTTCATTTTGATTGAACTTTTGGCTTTCTCCCTTTTCCTTTTGTTTCAGGGGAAGTGCTTGTGCGGCCAGTACATAAGAGCCCGACTGAGACGAGCCGGAGTGCTCAACCGGAAGGTGACACAACGGCTGCGGAATATCCTGGATCCCGGCTCCTCGCACGTGGTCTACGAGGTCTTTCCCGCGCTCAACAGCGTAAGTGGCCTGCATTCTCTGATTGAGCCAAGTAGTCCAAGTAATCCCTTTTTAATCCACAGATGGGCGAGGAACTGGAGCGCATGCACCCCCGTGTGTACACAAACATATCCCGACAGCTCTCCAGGGCCCCGTTCGGGGAGCTGGAGGACAGCGACATGGCCCCCATGCTGCTTAACCTGGTGGCCAAGGACCTGTTCCGCTCAAGCATCACGTGGGGCAAGATAATCTCGATCTTTGCCGTCTGCGGCGGCTTCGCCATAGACTGTGTGCGCCAGGGCCACTTTGACTACCTGCAGTGCCTGATAGACGGGCTGGCTGAGATAATAGAGGATGACCTGGTCTACTGGCTGATCGACAACGGCGGATGGCTGGGCCTCTCGCGGCACATCCGGCCCCGGGTCGGCGAGTTTACGTTCTTGGGCTGGCTCACTCTGTTTGTGACCATTTCGGCGGCCGCCTATATGGTGTCGAGCGTGTGTAGACGCATCGGCTCTCAACTGTATTCGCTGCTGTTCTAACCTTGCCCAGGAGGGTTTCGTTTTAGATGTATATTCGTACCATTTAGTCAGTGAGCGCTTCGAATCATTCCTGCTTCCATGGACATCGAGTCGTATAGTTGTGTGCAATGCACCCTGTTTTACGTATAATATTGTTATCCAGATTCTTCTTTTTGTACATACAAGGCTAACCTAGTGCCAGGCGCAATAAAGCGTGTGTTTTTAACAATTGGTTTAATTTTGGCGCCAAAGGAGCTGCCAGACTGTTAGAAATATTCAAAGGCATTGGTGCAGACGATTTCTCAAGTTCTCAAGCAAATTCTGGCATTGTATTACCAGACTGTCAAAAACCCAAAATTCGATGGGCATGGTGGCAACGCTCCGCCACAGATGAACCAATTGTTGTGAATGGTTTTATCATTGTTATTTATTGTAAATAGAAGAGTTGTACACCATATAATGCAATGTCATGTAAGTCGGGCACTAACCGTGGGCATGTGCAGCGATTAACGTTTGATTGCAGTGTCAATTCAGGACGAGGGGACAAGACCAGACTCCCACGTGGAGGAGGAACCTTTTTCTGCGGACAGAGCGCCCGGGGAGCTCCTCTACTGCGAGACCTGCGGAAACGTCTATGAGGACAGCGAGGCGTACGCCAGGGATCACTTCCAGCAGAGCGTCTCCTGCTGTAGCGCCACGGAAGGACTGGTTTTGGTAGAGGAAACAACAGCTGACGAGGAAGCTGCAGGTGATTGCATTTTGGAGGAGGTCGGCGAGGATGAAATCGTAGAGGCGGACGTGCCGCTCTGGGAGTTGGTGGAGGATGTTCCTGTCAGCATCAAGACTGATGTAGCTGAGCCCAACCAATCCGACCGCTATTTTTGTTACGACTGCCATAGCATTTTTGAAAACCGTAACAGTGCCGAGGAGCACGTTTGTCCGGAATCCGGAGGAGGTTCAAGTCAACAGGTTGGCGAAGATAAACCACCAACCCGAAGGAAGATGCCTGGTGTTAGTGCAAAGGTGGGCACTAAAGCTGCATCCTCCGTCATAAGTTGCGGGATCTGCAATACCGTTTTTAGCTCGGACAAGTTTCTCAAGTTCCATATGCGCATCCACGAAAGTCGTGCGTCTAAAAGCATTCGAGACGCACTTCCAGTGGGAGCCCATCAGCAGTACAGCGAGCTGGATCAGTTTTACTGCGAAATCTGCAATAAGAGGTACGTAGGTGTAAGTTAAAACAAGGATGCGCCTACAAATGCTATTATTTTTGGCTAGCTTCGACGAGAACCTCTTGACGGTCCACAAACAGATGCACCAGCAGACCACCAGTGAGATAATGTGCAGCATTTGCAACCGCAAATTTGAGAATAACGTTACCTACCAAATGCACATTAAAATTCACGAGAAACCTCGGGAACCCGAGTCTTCCGGCAAATTGAATTCGCGTGCAAGTGGCGACAAGGAGAAGCCCGGATTTCCCTGCCAGTACTGCGATCGTGTGTTTACTCGTCCGTTCGAAAAGGTCAAGCACGAACGAGTTCACACCGGCGAGAAGCCCTACTCCTGCGAGGTGTGCGGCAAGACCTTTCGCGTATCCTACTCACTGACTCTTCACCTGCGCACGCACACAAACATTCGGCCATATGTGTGTACGGTGTGCAACAAGCGGTTGGTGAAAGACCCAATCATCCAAAAACTTATTTATAAATAAATTATAATTACAGCTTTAAGTCGCACCAAGTGTACTCCCACCACCTGCGCATCCACAGTTCGGAGCGGCAGTTTGCCTGCGATGTGTGCCCCAAGTCTTTTCGCACTTCAGTGCAGCTGTACGCCCACAAGAACACCCACACCAAACCCTACCAGTGCGTCGTGTGCAACCGCCCCTTTTCTTCGATGTACGCTGTAAAGAACCACATGCAGACCCACAAAGACGAGAGGAGCAAAGGAAGTGTTGGTGCTAGAACGCTGGCCCTTAAGAGCGGACAACCTGCCAGAAACCAGCTAGGTGGAAAGTTTTGCTGCAGTATATGTGGGGCTGAGTATGCGCGCATCTTCGCCTTGCGCCTGCACATGAAGTCTGTGCATGGCGTGGTGGAGGACGCTTCCTCAACAACAGATGATGCTCAGGCCACTAATGCCGACGACTCCGAGACTGCGGTGCTAATAGCTGCTGCCGAGGCCGACGCTGCTTATATTAACGCTGTGGCAAATGACGTCGACGTCATGGGCACCGTTCCCACCTACGAGGACTGCGTTGAGGTAAGTTTAAATCCGAATGCGATTTTCTTATTCTATAAAAATTAATTTCAATTGCCTTTATATTACAGTTCGACGTGGACAACTTCCATAGTGAGGAGATTATTACAGATTGGCTTAAGTAGCTCTTCAAGTTCGTACTGCGACTAGCAAGTAAATTATTGTTTTAGGAACCGCATGTTTTATTTGGAACTGGAATTTATTGGCGAATCAATATTATTGAGACTAAAACTAAAAAGCATATTATATTAGGAGCAATTATTGGACCAAAACTAATGAAAACATTTATAAATTCTTTTATTTGCTTCATACCGTTGCGAGAAATTTTGAAATTAGCATCAGAACAAAACGAATACCAGAAACAAAATTGTTTAAGCAAATGTAAAAGTTTATTGGGATCATAACCGGCGTATAACAAGTAAATATATATTGCTGGCGTACAATGAGACCAGTCCGTTGTGTTAGCTGACGTACAGGGATAATTTATGAGCGATTTTTTAACTACAACTTATTGTATAACGTTAAACTAAAAAACGTGTGATTGGTGTTCTGCCAAAGCGGGGACCTATTCCTGGTCGCCCGCAGCCTCGTCCTCCTCGACCTCGCTGTTGTCCTCGTCGCAGATTTCCTTGAGGACTTCGACCAAGTTCTTGGCTTCGTCCAGTTCTTGGCGCATTGTGTCCATCTCCTCCTCCAGTCCCTCAATGCGCTCGTGCAGATGTCGGTTCTCGATGAGCGAGTCCTCCAGGGCCAGTCGCCGCTGTTCGGCCAGCAGCTTGTAGTAGTTCTCTCCAGGCTCCGCCTCGCTGGTGAGATCTTCCGCCGTGATAGGTTTGTCGGCGTCACTGCGAGGTGAGACCTCCGCTTCGGTCTGGGTGTCCGCGTCCCTTGTGGATATCGTCGCAGCGCTGGCTGAATCCACGCATTTGCGCTTGCCGTACTTAGGCGCGACCTGGACGCCGGCCTTCAGGCGACTCAGCTGATCCACGATGGAGGCGCGCCCTAAACCAGTAAGGTTCTCCTTGTCGTTGACGTTGCCCTGCAAGGGTTTCAGGGTCTTGCGTTGCTGCTTCAGGTGCTCCTGCTGCTCGGCCTCGCTCTCGACTTGGATGTAGACCCTGGCAGCGCTCGATGACATCTTCGGAGCTGTTCGTTGTGCTTTCGGTGGGTTTTTGATGTCTGGGGCAGCGCGTATGCTATTTCCTTTTCGTTTGTTTATGCATTAATTTGTGCGCCTCACTCCGTCGTATCCCACTCGTTGTAATGGCCGCCAAAAATGCCGATGCCGCGTGCTGTTGTCTAACACTGTTTGCGGGTGTTGCATCCCTGCTTCTCGTGTCACAACTATCGTGAAAAGCTGACTTGATTTCAGTGTGACCTAACCAAAAAATATTTGTATATTCTCATTGTGTTCTAACAGAAAAAATTTAAAAAAAGAAACGCGTGAAAAACTTAGATAGAAAGCAAACTATTTAAGATAATTCTTACCATAGGAAATATGTATTTAACATTTTCTGTGGTGGGCAGGACTATAGTAGGAAACTTAAATAAGTTCCTAATATTCTTTTAACTGTTTAATTCCAGACTAACAATAAAGAAAACTAGATTGGGTAAACCCTTGCAGTTAAAACTCAAAAGTACAAAACAAATACAATTATCACAAATCATAATATCAAGATGGATTTTTATTGGAAGGTTGATCCTTTCAAAGTTAGCGATAGGATGTACTGGACTTCTTAAGTTATTGCTTGTTCAATACTTTTCAAATTTCTTCCATATTTATCCCATTAATATATAATACATACAGTCTTCCCCTTTTGATCAAATTTAATTCTTAATAAAAGAGCCGTTAGACAACTCATATAAAAAGGAATGCCCTATATTTCTTATTTACTCATTTTGTATAAATTTTTTATTTTTCCAAAAGTTAATTTAATTATTTTGTAGTATTTAAAAAAAATCCTAGGACAAAAAGTTGTTAAAATTGTACTTTCTTTTGTGTTTAAGAGGAATCAAATTTTTTCTTTGTGGCTATTTCTGTGATATTTTTGCCTGGTGGCAACCCCAGTCACGTCACGAGGACACGAAGGATAAAAGAGCGATAAGGGAATAGCCGATAAGAGCTCCACCCAGTCTTAGAAAACATGTAACTGACGTAGTAGCGGATCGAAATAGTTAACCTTTTTTTTATTTTCCACTCCGAACACAAACACCCCCGCCTGCGCCCACAAGGAGCAACCGTCGCAAGATGGACCACAACGAAATCTCCATGAGCATGGACGTGAAGCTGGATACACACGACAAGCGCCCAGTGGCACTGCGCTACAAGACGTGGACGCGCTGCCAGGTGAAAATCGAGGCCATTAAGTGCGTCCCCTGCTTTCTGCGGCTTAGTTTCCAGTCTCAAGAGACGGAGGCCCAAGACTCGCCTCCGGCCAAGCCCATTAGCGTGTCAGTGAACGTTCCGGGCGTCAGTCTTAGTTTGGCCACCTCGCGCACCAAACAGTACTCTTATGGGCTCTTTTGGACACAAAACCGCCGAGACTGCTTTATATACTTTGCTCTCGAGACGGAGACCTCTTGTCGGCGGCATATGAAGTGGATGCGGAAGTCGATCAAGAACCTGGAGCTTTACCGCCAGGTCTTTCTTGAGCAGCGCCGCCTCAGCAGGGGTCCTGGAGCTCTGGGTCCGCTGCCGAATCTACCAGAGACCCTGGATGCAAGTAATCTCTCGCCTCGCGTCTCCCAGATCTACGAGGAAATCTTTGACGGTAGCCGCATCTCCCGCGTCTCTATCGCCTCAGGCATCTACGAGGAGATGAAGCCATCGGTTATGGAGATCCCTTCACCGCCGCCTCTGCCTGCAAATCCCCATCGCCAGCGCATCAATACCTTTGAGTGCGCCCAACTTGGCGATATTCCGCGGTCTAACACCAATCCCGAGTCGGAGCTGGCCCAGAAGAAGAAATACAAGAGTATGCTGGATAGCTTATTCGGAGGGGCACGTCAAAAGCGGGCCGGCAGCATTAGTGAGCTGGTCCACGAAAACAACGAGGAGACAGTGCCGCTCTACGAGAACGCTCCAACCCCGGAGCCAGTGCTTCCATTGAAGCGCACATCGCAGATCAACAAGTCCCAGCGCAACAGCTTCTCGAGTCCAGACCTTTCCAAACTCAATTTCCTGGACACCTTCGGCGAGTATCTCGGGGTGCAAAACCACGAGTCGAGCCTGGAGCTGAACATAAGTCTTGATGAGTCGGCCATTGAACCGATTTCGCGGAAAGACATTGTGGAGCAAATCACAAGCCAACTAATCAAAGCCGATTCCCTAGAGAGCCTGAACGTTTCCGAGCAACTGCCGCACAACTTCAACTTTTCCGCATGCAACACCTCTACCATCAATCTCATCGGATCCCACGGAGCTGTTCCGCCGAGTAATCTGGTGAAAAAAAACAAGATTCTGGAGGACGACCTAACCGGGTACTGTGTGATGGCGCCCATATTAAAGGCTGCGGTAAAGGAACTGCCACCGCAGCCGGGCGGCAGCACGGTCTCCACTTCGTCCGGCTATTCCACGGGCTCCTACTGCTCCTCCACCAGCAGTTGCAATACCGAGGACCAGCCCACCAAGACGCAGGTGGCCAACGAGAGCGACATTTACATAGCTATGCATGGCAGCTCGTTCAACAGTACCGTGGGAGCTGCTGCAGCAGGATTTGCGGAGCATCTCTACGAGAACTTGTTGGCTGTCAAGGCTGCTCAAGAGCTGGAGGCGCAGCCGCTCGGCTTCGGACTAAGCACGAGCACACCCACCGAATCCCCACTGGCGCCAGCTTTGCCGCAGAAGGGAACGCCCAAGGAGAAGATATGCGAGCAGAAGCCAGAGGAGGAGGACTACTACCAGACACCGAGGAAGTCGATCATCAGTGTGGACGACAAGATACCCTCCTACTATCCCAACAGCTGCGACACCCTCAAGTCGAAGCGACGCAGTCCCACCGAGCATGGACCGAGTCTCAGGCACTTGGTTAGTTCTAAGATGCGGCGGGAGCGGAAGGAGAACCTCTACATTTCATCGCCCCAGCAGATAATCGAACAGCGCCACAAGGCGGCCTCCATTTCATCATCATCAGTAAAGACTAAGATTACAACCAAGAAGACTGCCGCCCACAAGATCTCCGAGAGCGTTTATGCCGTCACCCATCCAGTGAAGCGCCCGAACAGCACAAATAGCAACAATTCCCACCAAAGCAACAACAATAATAACAATGAAGGCGTGGATGACGAGCTTCTGCACCTGACTATGCTAAAGAAAATTGATTTTAAGTTCGACGACGGACAACTGGCCGAGGACTGTGGCCAGGCGAAAGCTGCGCCTGTTGTGCCCGCAACCGGATCCCTTGCACAGCCAATGATGGACAGGGAGTACGAGGATCGCTTTCAGGCGGCCGAGCAGGCCACGCGCCTTCTGCAAAAGTACGCCACGCTAGCCAAATTCGGGCATTCGCCGAGCAAGTCCAAACCGGCGTCAGCTCATCCTGAGCCCGTGATGCAGTCTGTGGCTACGTCCAACGAACTGCAGCCGCAGGGAGGCAGTATGAAGAAGTTTGCATCATTGCCGCGCTTTAAGAAAATTGACTTCTCCCCGCTGAAGATAAGATTAAACAACGTCCTGCAGCGGAACCCTCCCTCGCCGCAGCAGTAGCCGCTTTTTCTTCAATTTTCGCATGAATGTTGAAACCTTCGCTGTGGAAACACAAAGCTTTTTATGTCTTTTGCTTATTTTTGTTGTAGGTTCTTGTGAATGTGATCTGCCCACCAATTTTGTGTTAGTTGGACAATGTCATCGGCTTATTATTATGTTATCCGAGTATGTAATACGCTTTCCCAAAATCCATTTAGTCTTAAGCCTTATACTTAGTTTAAACTTGCTTTGTCAGAGTTCTCTAACGAATCATATCCGGCTCCATTTGGGGAGCCCCCTAGTATTACTTTTGTGAACTAACAATGTGTGTCTAAGATTTATACATATGAATATGCTCAATTATGAAAATTTACAAAAACGCTTTTATACGAATTAAATGAATATTGTTGACTCATTTAGGCGCCTCATTGTTGATATCAAACTGAATATAGCTAAACGTTTTAATTGTACCAAAATGGTCTTACGCCGTTAGACTGGAACTACGCTTCTTTGGCTTTGCACAACATATCAGAAATTAGTTAATCCTTTAATAAAATGCTTAGACATAGCATAACCAAAGCTCAACTGTACCGTGACTATAACATAAGCTTATACTAAATATTTGCAGCAAACGAAATAAACTTTACAAGCCACTGGAACCATTGTGTTTTCTAAAAACAATCCGCTTTATTTCAACTTCGCCTTAACTATAAACCATTGGTCGTCGCTGTTGGTGTATAAACTCTTGTTCCACCCGGGAATCTTTAGGCACCACATAAAAAAGCAGGGCTCCGCCGGAGACGAAGAAACCCTTTTCTGCGATGATCTCGGAGAGCTGCTTGTCCTCAGCTACCTTGTGGACGCAGCCCACCTTGCGATTCTCGTAGTACACGTGCACATTGTCTTGCCGGTAGCTCTGCGTCTTATCGCAAGGCAATGGTTCTGCGAACAGCGTTGCCAGGCAATCGCTCATAGTTGCCGTTTCCGGCAACTGCTGCTGGAAGTCGCTGAACAGGAACTCGGGGTAGGAGAAAGCGGCGGGCCAGACCAAAGTGCTGCCGTCCTCGTCCAGGTGCACTGGATGGTCTTCAAGTGGCAAAAACTTTGGGCGCAACAGATCCTCACTCAAGGCACCCATCTTGCCATTTCCTTGGTCGTCAAACTTTACCGCTCGCTGCTCGATGGCATCGCGCAGTCTGTGAAAGCGGGTCAGACGTCGCTTCGCCTCGGCAGCCTCCTTGCGTTGGTTGCGCTCCACCTCGATCTGCAGGAAAGCCAAAGAATAAGGTTGACCAACATCCTGTGAAATTGCACCGTACTTACCTTTCGCATCTTGTTTTTGTGCAGCAGGGCATGTGCCTCTTTGTGGTCCACATCCACCTCGAGCAGCTCCTCGCACATCTTTGTACACACGTCGAACTTCTCCAGCTCGTAGGCACACTGCGCCGATCGCCAGCGGGCCTTGGTGTAATCTGGCTTGAAGAAAAGGGCCCGCTGGGCGTCGCTCAGCGATGATCTGTAGTTCTTGATAAAGTAGTGAGCGGCTGAGCGGTTGTTGTAGAGCACGGCCAGCACATCGGGGTTCTCCGACTTCGACTTGATTCCCTCGGTGAAGCTGTAGATGGCCATGCGGAACTTCTTATGCTTCATATAGAAATTGCCGTCCTCCTTGTAGTTTAGCGCCAGCTCGTCGCGAGTGTTCTCCTCCGGATCGTACTTGAGCTTTTGCAGGCCTTCAAACATAGGATGCACATCGTCACCTGGCTGAGGAGCACGCTTCATGAAGAACGGGTGCTTGTCCATTTCCTCCTGCCACCGGTCCTCCGGCCAGCCCTCCTCATAGCGTTTCTTCTCCAGGCCATCGATAAACGCATCTAGCTCAGCGTCCAGCCGTGCGGCCAGCTCCAGGCGCTCCTCATCCGTCCAGTTCTTTTGGGTGGTCAGTTCCTCCATTTGATCCAATAAGAAAGAGTAAGACCGCTTGCAGAATTTTTAAATATACCGACTGGCCTTGAAAAATATACCAAAACAGTCAACCTAATTGTTAATGTAGCAATTCCGTTCTGTTAAAAATGTAGTAAGAATATAGAATATTTCTTAAATAATAAAAAAAAAATTGAAAAACATGTAAGGCGGAGCTTAAAAAAAAAAAGTCAGCTCCTGCCCGAGAGTGACCGTCTGTGGTAGAAATACTGTTCGTGAATTCATTTGCCTCAGAAAGCTATCGATGGTTATCGGCTTAACCACCAGTGTTGGCAAGCGCCTTGACCAAGAGCTACCATTGGCAGAGACGCGACCGAGCTGAGACGTACCGTTGGCAGAGACGCGACTGAGAAATAAAATTAAAACGTCGACGTTCCTTCCTCGCAGAAGAAACCAATCAAAATAAAAACAAACAGAGCGTGCGTTCGCGCCAAATACTTAACAACAATTAGCAAACGAAAGAAACAAAGTGAGTGTCGCCGTCGACCAGCAAAAGCCGATCCACCTCCCCAGCCAGTTTCTCGGCTAACTAACTCTCGTCTCCCGTCTTGTCCCCCCCAGTGCATACCCTCACGGCAGCCATTGAGATGGACAAGCTGGATGCCAATCTTGAGCAGCAGTTTGATCTCAATCTCATCGAGGCTGTCAAGCTAAACCCAGTGATATACGACAGGTCTCACTACAATTACAAGCACTTCGTGCGCAAGGCCCAGACCTGGAAACAAATCGCCGAAACGCTCGGTGTGCCTGGTAAGTGAAATTCGGCTGGTTTTGGCTACGAGTTTTCTGTTCAGCTTTCTGTCCGTGCCCCAACAAGCCAATTGATTAATTCTGTAAGGGGGCTGAGCGGGAGGGACGAGTCAGTCGACGACGACAGAAAACGACGCAAAAGTGAACGGCGACGCGACGCAGTAGCTGGCTGACTATTGTGAAACTTCAGGGGCGCCGTAACATGTTAAAGGGTGGGCGCAAAAAAAAACTTTAATTTGCAAGTGAAAATGCAAAATTTTATTTTAAGGATGAATGTTAACTTTAAAAAACCTTAATATTTATCGTATGGAAAAAACTAGGTATGAAATCTTAAATATACGTTCAGAAGTAAATAAAAATGGGCTCAGTTTTAGGGCGAATTACGAGAAATTTGGCCCCTTGCGGGCGCTCAAGCCGCGCTCCTGTCCGCTCTGTCGGTGTGAAGAGCTCTGTGGCAGTGTGCTCAGTCGATATTTTTGAAGTTGCTGTACTTTGCCGTCGCGTCGCAGTAGTTGTCTCACTCGCACAGCAACCATTCTGCTTGCGCCAGCGTTTATTTTCGTACACTGCGACTGCGGTGTAGCGCTGCCTCGGCCGACAGCTGACTCGCTCACACATGTTTGTGTGCATGTACTCATACTGACAGTGTAGGCCTAAATTATTGGCACAGCTATTTTGGTTTGAATATACAAGGTTTTAAAAGTAGAAAAAATAAAATTTAAGCAAGTTTTGTATAATAAAATAATCAAAATCATTTTCAAATTAATTTAACTTCCCTTAATATGGTAACAACTGGGCCAACAGTTTAATGCCCAACTGTAGACACCGTAGACATACCAGGCCGCTTTCGTTTCGTTTTCATGAGTATACCAACAAAATGTTTTGTTTATCCCACCCCCCCATGGCCTTTGATCGAACCCTAATTTTTCCCATTTTTTGCTGCACCTTGTTCAGCTTTCGATTATGCAAGAAGGTGGCTTAAATCTGGAGTTTCAGACAAGGCGACACAGCAGCAGCAATGCCACAGGTTTCCGTCTCCTGGCAGAGGCCGTGGGCAGCGAGGAGTCGAAGTCGGCGTCGTCACCGTCACGTCAACGTCTCTGCCGGCGCTAGGAAGCTGCTGTCTTCTGCCCGCTGGTCTCTGCCGTCGCCTCTGCTTCTGCCAGCGGTTTGTTTTGGTTTGCCATTTGATGCTTCTAGCAGATGCGCTCTCATGGTGTGTTAAATTAGGAGGCGTCGTAGTTCTAGTTCTTGCAGTTACCACGAGATGCACAACAAAGCATTTCAGGATTAAGTTTGTGCAATATAAGATTGAAAAACAAAAATATTAAACATATTTCATTAAATAACGGTTAGTCATTGAACAAAACAATCATTGTTTTTTCAATACATGTACAAATGTATGTACAGTAGAATCCTGTTATAACGACTCCGCTTATAGCGACTTTCAAGGGACGGACGGACACTATAAACGGAGTCGTTTTTTATATAATATATAGTTTTAAATAACCATCAAAGTTCCTTTACTAAAGAGCCAGCACCTCTTGATTATTTTGCGACTGCAAAGTAGAGCAAAATTTGATACTGTAGATACAATATCGAGTCATAAAAAAATAGAAACCCTTTAGTTATTATGAGCTATATTCAATATTCGCGTATTTTTATCAATAATTTCTATTATTTTATCTCTAATAAATTATCCTTTTTGTTGTTTTCTTTGTAGAGCAAAAATGTACCAAGCGTTGGAAGAGCTTGCGCGACAAATTCGCCCGCGAAATGAAACTGTGCCAGGAATCGCGCTGGCGCTACTTCAAGCAAATGCAATTCTTGGTGGACTCAATCCGCCAGTACCGCGAATCGCTGCTGGGCAAGTGCGCCAACGGCAGCCAAAACGCAAACCAGGTAGCCGACCAGTCGCAGCAGCAACAGGCACAGCAACAGACCGTCGTGGACATATTCGCACAGCCCTTCAACGGCAGCGCCACGACCTCGGCCCAGGCACTTACTCATCCGCATGGTAGGTATTCAAACCCTTGGCATCTGATAGTCGCTCTAAACTCCCTGATCTCTTGCAGAAATCACGGTCACCAGTGATGCACAGCTGGCCACTGCCGTGGGCAAGGACCAAAAGCCATACTTCTACGAACCACCGCTCAAGAGGGAGCGCAGTGAGGAGGAGCACAGTGACAATATGCTCAACACCATTAAGATTTTCCAGAACAACGTCTCCCAGGCGGTCAGCGCCGAGGACCAGTCATTCGGCATGGTTGTCACGGACATGCTCAACACGCTGGGCGTGCGACAAAAGGCCGAGGCCAAGGTGCACATCATTAAGTATCTGACGGACATGCAGCTGTTGGCACAGCACAACAAGTACTAACTGTCGGGCGACTGTCATCGGCAGCTGCTGCAGCTGCTCCAACTGGAGAGCGTTTTGCCCTGAGATCAAACGAGTAAGGACCTGCGGCCACCCACATCAGCGGGCCAGCGGTCTTGTGCGGTCATTTTCTTTAGTTCATAGGTCTTAAAGTCAAACTACAGAATAACATTAGACATAACTCCCCACAGCGCATAACCACAACGCGTAATTATACTTCCCCGAGCCCAAACGTAGACAAACATATATATTTATATGCTTAGTTGGCCCTATGATCGGTGATTCCATTCGCGCCCAGTTCTCAGCTCTGTACAAAAATTACGATTGAAAAATAGCGATCCTAGAATTATGAGTAGTTTGTTAAACGACCGTGAAAACAATTCATATGCAGCGTACTGTAAATTTTGTGACTACGATTTAGTTTTAACTTGCCATCGGGTCTTAGCTCTGTAATTAAGTACACACGTAAAAGTTATTTTAATTTTATAAGTTCTGTTGTAATATGCTGAAAACGCTTGAAAAATACTTTGAAAGGCTTTAATTAAGTATGACAAAAGGAAATATTAAATACCTTTTTCATAGAGAGCGCATATTACACATTTTACACGAATACAATCGAAATAGTTGCCGGCAACGCAAGTTGCCAAACATTTTCAATGATTCATTGTGCAATTATTTGGTATTAAAAGAAATTGAAAAGAACAAACTTGTTTCAATTGACATATGGTGGCAACGCTGTGGGAACGGGATAAACCGAATCAGCTGTCTGAGCAAAGGAAACATTTTATGTAATTAAAATGTCCACAAAATCGGATAAAACAACAAACTTGTTTCAATTGACATATGGTGGCAACGCTGTGGGAGCGGCATAAACAGAATCAGCTGTCTTAGCAAAGGAAACATTTTATGTAATTAAAATGTCCACAAAATCGGATAATTTTGACTCAAAGCTGAATAGTACAAATACTACAATAGATGATGCGTGGGCAGTAGGTATTTCGCTGTTTATTAGAACCCGTTTTCTAGTAATACCTCTTCCAGATTCGCCCTTGTCACCTATACAAGGAGGAGTACGACGACTGCACTAGCTTCAAGGCGCGTTTTCACCAGTACTTCATATTTGGCAAGGACACGGATTGCTCCCAGTGGTTGACGGACTACAGGAACTGCGAGCGTTACCAACAATCCAACGGCAACGATGTGGCGGCCGGTGAGGCGGTGGTGAAAAGCGAAGAGGAGCGCCGCCGTATCCGTCTTCGCGCGCACTTCGCTAATGACACTTGGAAGAAGCGCAAGGAGCCACCACAAGATTGGGCAGCTCCACTTCCCGATTGGATGGAAAAAAGAAATGAAAACACCTATCTGGAGCTGAAGCAGAAGGAACTTTCCGGCCAGACGGTGCCGCATGGGGAGGAGCGTTCACTGTGTGCGATCATGTGAAAATAAATATTTCTGTAGTTAAGTTTGTTCACTGCCATTTTATGAATTCTGTGCAAGAGCATTGACCATTGGCGTTGCAACGGTCTGGCAGCACTGACATCAGCTGTTTCATTCTACTGTTGTAGACAGTGATGTATAGTTTGGCTGAATCTACTGTAAAAATAATTAAGAAAATATTAACAAATATCTTTTCTGACTCAAGGCTTTTGAAGCAAATCTAAGAATATCTCGTAAATTATATTTTAAATTGGTATTCGTATATATATAGCAGTAAAATGGGGCTTTTAACTATAATTTTGTTTTGAATATTAGAGAATTTTTATTTTCGGAAGCATTCCAAACAAAAATCGCTGAATTGCCAACACTTCTTCTGCTGCAGCTCGGATACGGATACTTCAGTTTTTTTCGCATCTATATCCAAACGCTTCATCTTTGCCTAAAATGCTAAAGGGCAGCACAATAAAAGCCTTGGACGTCAGAATCCTACGACCCCTTATTGAAACAAGGTCAGCAGGTAAATTACATAACCCGAAGCAGGCTCCAAACCCATAACATTTTGGCCGCGAAATTGAACGTGCTACTTAGATTGTGCTTCTCCTGTTGCAGCGGAGTCCAGCAGCGCAGCTCCTCCAGCAGCATACACCGGTCGTACATAACGTTCAATGACTTTCGTAACAAGAACCGCCGGTACACCAAGAAGGAGCTTGTGGGGTATGTTTACGTTTTGGTAATAATGAATTATCATGCAAGTATTATTTCTCATATCCAGGTACTCCATGCAGGACATGTACAACGTCGTGTCTGATGTCAGCAACTACTACAAGTTTGTGCCGTATGTGAAGCGCTCTCACGTTCACAGCCAGGGTAGCGGGGGCTTCAAGGCAGACCTTATTGTGGGCTTCCCGCCGCTCAACGAGGCCTACACCTCGCAGGTCACCCTGGTGCAGCCTAACTTGGTGAAGTCTGAGTGCCACGACGGACGGCTGTTTAACTACCTACTGAATGAGTGGCGCTTCGGCCCGGGCCTTAAGGACATACCCAATTCTTGCGTGCTGGATTTCAAGGTCTCCTTCGAGTTTAAGTCTCTTCTGCACAGTAATGTGGCCCACATATTTTTCGACTTTATCTGCGACCAAATGGAAAGCGCGTTCATCCAGGAGGTGCGTCGAAGAAGTGGCCCTCCCTCGATCCGGTCCCACGTGCTTTCCTCAAAGCGATCTTGACCAGAGGATGGGGTCCAGAACAAACTTTTTAGTGTTTTAAGTTGGAGTTGTGAACATTGCATTGACATACCTCTTTGTTAGTACGATTCACCAAATTGTAAATAAATTGTCAATCGATTGGTGTAAAAATGTACATCCAAGAGATACCTCTACCGACCAGACACCAATTGAAAGAATACACGATTACAAAGAACATAAATTAAGTACTTTAATTTGGTTCACTTAACATATTCTCAAAATCAATAGTTTTTATTAACAGTCTCGTTTCGGGTTTAGTAGTGGGCCACAGACAACGCATCCGTAGAGTTATTCAAAAAGGTAAATTACCTCGTTTAATTGACAGCTTCTCGGCAATGTTGAAAACTTAGGAGTTAAAATAAAATAAAGTTTGGAATGGCATTAAGTTCCGAGAAATACTAAATATCCTCAAGTGGCATACACTACATTACATTACATTACATATAGAAGTCGTTATTTTCGTGCATCGTAAGCATACATATGTTTTTTGGGCTTTGGGTAGTTAATATTTAAGTGGGAACGCTACGATGACCTCTGCTGGGGAGGCCCAATATAATCTACGTTCGTATCTAACAGACACATTCTACGTTCTACATCTATTATGCTAAGCTTTCTAAATTACTTTATACAGGCAAGTGTATTAACGAACTCTACTTAGTTTGCGCAATAAAAAATTCTGACTAAAACAGTTAGAGTTAAATGTTCATTTCTAGATATTGTCCAGTGAGTGCGCGTGCATCTACTCTCGGAAAAACAATTAAGCTATCAATAGGGGGTTCAACAAATATTAAAGACGAGGCCAACATCTGAGAGTGCATTCGAAGTTAAAGGTACAATAGCTTAACACTAGGCGCCTAGCAGGACGAACCAAAATATGACTACAGCACATTTCGAGGGCGGAAATTACACAACAGAAACACTAAATTATTTTCGGGTCAGGAGTGTTAGGGTGTGAAAATGGCATGTCACCACGTGCAACCATTTAGAATGGTTAAGCACAATACGTAAGCCCTACAAAATATCACTTTTTCGTTGGCGGTAGACCGCCAGTTTCCTTAGTTCTCAGTTATGTTTAGCCCGTCTGCCAAACATGTACCCCTTCCAGCGCTCCGCAGTCTGCGCGATCAGTGGATCGCTGTCGATGGTGGCCAGCAGGAGCAGCTGGTTGACGTGCGTCGCGTGATAGTCCCAGCGCGCGAGGTTGGGTGCCACGCCCAGGCTCAGGTGCCGCAGGTCGTAACTGGTGCCGGAACCAGTGTCATAAAGCAGCAGCATCTTCTTTAGAGAAAACATACCCTGGGCGAAAAGCTTTCCAGCCTCTCGGGCGATCTTCGCTGGCGCAGTGCTGTTAAGATCATAAAGGCCCAGAAGGGAATATATAAAGCCGTTCAGCACATAGGAGGGTGGCGTGGTGGGATATTCCTCGTACCTGTGGTGAGAAAAATAATTAGTTTTATTATCAAAAAATCAATATGTACTAAAATCCATACATTTATTGAAAAATAGTTGGAAACAAATTAAATCCTTTAAATTCAGTTAAAAAAAAGCTGTTTCTTGTTAACTTTTTTTCACTTACCAGTAGAACTTGTCCATGAACTGGGCCAGAACTCCGCCGTCACGCGAGTATACTCTGTAAGGTTGCAGTCCAGCTGTAGCCGCCCTTAGGAAGCGCTCATCCCCGCCAGAGTGCCAGTAAGCTCGTGCCAACACCGAAATGGCGTGCCCCTGACCCATGGCCGAGATCCAGCCGGGACGCAGCTCGGCAAAGCCATTAAGACTGCGTCGCACGGGATTGGTCCATCCACCTGTCTTGGGGTCCTGGTTGTGGACAAACCATTCAGCAGCGTCGTAGAAGTGGGCCAGATGGTCACTGGTGGACAAAGTGATGTTGTCGTAGAAGCCCAGTCCAAGGAATCCGATGGACAGGACTTCCAGGTCGGAGCGGCGCACTTTCAGCGGCGACCGCTTATCCCCTAGGACAATGCCCTTCTGCACGTCGATGTGTAGGTCCCGGGTGATGTGACGCCACTTGTTCAGTGCCGATCCGCCCAGGCCGTAGTAAATGTTCGAGTCCTGCACGCTTAACAGCAGGTCGGCGGGTATGTAGTGGAGGGTGTAGTTATGCCGGGTATCCCGGTTCTGGACGGTCACCATGAGACTGCTACTATTCGTCACAAGCAGCAGGTCCACGCTGAGCAGCAAATCCAGCGTCTGATTAAGGGCGATGCTAATGACACCCTCGTAGCCAGGTGCTGTCTCGAATTGAACCACGCTGGTGTTGAACTTGTGATGCCAGATACGCGTCATGTTGCTAGTCTTGGGAATGCTCCAGTCCATTTGGTTTCCGTCACCGTCCTCTAAAACGCGCACCTTGGGCGCAGGTTCCGTGAGATTCTTGCTATAGTGCGACAACGCAAACTGAGCAATCTGCGTTGGATAAAAATAGCCACGTTTTTCCCACTGCGTGCTTACCGGCACGCCCTCAGCGGCGCTGATGCACTTCACCCGGTCGCGCACCTCCACGTTGTAGTTTTCAAAGTACATGAAGACTCCACGTGCATCGTACTTTCCCCTGGGAAGGTTTACCTTGGACGTGCTGTGCATCCAATTAAACTTGGCCACTTCGCTGCCGCTCGTTGAGACCGCTCCGCTGACGTCAAAGTAGTTGCGTAGGAAAGAGAACGGCACGTACACCTCGTTGGCGTTCTCGTCCCGCTTGCAGTGAACGCTATACTCCTGGTTAATGGAGCACTCGATGTCCTGCAAAGCGGTAGACTCCCCTCCGCTAGAGGACAGCCTGACTGACCTGTCCAACGGACGCACAAGGTCCGGCGAAAATGAAAATGCGGCACAGCGCATGTAGACGCCCAGCGTGATTACCACCACAGCTACTGTCAGGATGAGCAGTACAGCTTTCAGATTGAGTCGCATAATGAAGAAGACCAGTGGCTCGCGATGCTAGATGGGTACATAGATTAGCAAACCGATTGCAGTGTTTAGTTACGATTTTTACCTTAATCCCCTGGAATTTTCCTTGCTCCCGGTTGTCCCTGCTTACTAAAGTCGCGGGCACGGCGAAGACATCTTTCTGGCTGCTGGAATACTTGGACATCCGGTTGGCTTTCTACGGTTCTTACAACTGGGGCACATGAGTCATGCTCTAAATATAAAATCGCTTTCGACTGCCAGGTGCATTGCTGACAAATTGATAATGGTGCACACCAGTGGTCTTAGTTCCTCTCCACTGATGTCAGTGTAAGGTAAAATTCGACCTGCAGGTAATATAGCTTTCCAATTTCAGGACTGAGGCATCTTATGACGATCTTTCAACTGCTGAAAACGCTTCCTGAGCATATTTAATTTTGATTTCTAAAGATTTTTTTAGGATTTACTAGACAAACACTGCAGGAAAATAGCAAATACAATACAGATGAGCGAATGTTTTGACATATGACAAATGGTCGCTCTTAAGGGGCCTATGCACGTCGACTATCGATAGAAATAAATTAGCGGGTGAGAAAATAAATAGTGTATTCCAGAGAAGTTTAATTTAGTTTTATATTGATATTGTCTGATTTCCGTTTTGTTAAAATTACAAATTTTCGCCCACGGCATGTTTATGCAAGTCGATAATTGTTTCAATCGATAATACAACGATTAATCAATAGTACAATGTTTACAAAATATTTCAGGTGTATTTCGCTTAAAGGCGATTTTAACTAGTTTTAGTCATGTCTAGTCTTAGTGTAAGTGCAACACTCTTGCTCCTGGGGGCGTTTGTGGCCAGCTGCCATGCTTCGAACGGTGACCGCACACAGTTTTTTCACAACTGTCGGCAGAACTGTGAGCGAACAAACTGTTCGGCAGGTGAGGGCGTTGTGACCGTTAGTCAAGATTCGTGTAATGACGCTTTCTTTGTTAGATGGGCTGGAGATCCAGGAGCAGGCGATCAAGTTCTACAAGCAGTCTGTGTTTGACCGGCTCTTCCAGTGGAGCTGCGCGGACGAATGCCAGTACGGATGCATGTGGCGCACGGTTTTTGCCTTTTTCGAGCGCGGATGGCCCATTCCCCAGTTCTATGGCAAGTGGCCTTTTCTCCGCCTATTGGGCATGCAGGAGCCGGCTTCAGTGATATTTTCCGGCCTAAACTTTGCCGTACACCTGCGGATGTTGCGTAAATTTCGGAGGGAAGTGCGTCCCGACAGCCCCTGCTACATGCTGACCCATATATTCGCAGTGGTAAGGTTATCTAAAAACTTAATTTACTCTTAAAACACTCTCTGAAAACTTTTGTTCCTGCAGACGAGCCTTAACGGCTGGGTTTGGTCAGCTATATTTCACACGAGAGACTTCCCGTTGACCGAGCTGCTCGACTACGCCTTTGCCTACTCCATAATCCTGTGCTCGCTGTACGTCATGGTCATGCGAATGCTGCACCGATATTCCTTGTTCCTGCGTGGTGTGATCTCGCTGGCTTTCATCTCCTACTATATTAACTATTTTGCTTACCTGAGCGTTGGTCGATTTAACTACGCTTTCAACATGATGGTTAACGTGGCAACGGGAGTAATTGCGGCCGTGGGCTGGTTCGTTTGGTGCCATTTTGTGCGCACTCGGAGGCCCTATTTCCGGAGGATCCTGCGCTTCTACGTTCTCATGGCTCTCGCCATGAGCCTGGAGCTACTAGACTTTCCGCCCATTCTATGGATTCTGGATGCACACGCTCTTTGGCACCTGGCCACCGTTCCCTTGGCTTCTCTCTATTATGAGTGAGTACCCGTTAATGAAATTTATCCCCCTTTTGATAATTGTGTTCCCCTACCAGCTTTATGATCGAGGACTGTCGAACCCTGCGAAAAGAGAAGGCCGCGGCAGGCGGCTATGCGTTTTACAACTAGGATAATCCTGATATTTATAGCTCTTTATATTCTGGTTATTGTCTTTGGTGAATTTCTTATGAATTCCTGTCAAAGCAAAACTGCCTGCCCAATTTTATCTAAAAGGCCATGAGCAAAAGCACCTCTGACAGTGGCCAGAACTGCAGGGGAAGAACTCGCTTCGTTTAAAAAGACATAATAGAGACTTTATTACAACACTTTCTATTCATCGCTACATTTGTCCGCATTGCGAAATGGTCACTGGCAACTTGGGCTTGTTGTTTGGGCCAGTGGGTACGTTCTCAATCTTCCGCATAATGAGCAGGCCGTCCAGAACGCGACCGAACACGACATGCTTGCCGTCCAGGAAATTGCACTTGGCGCAGGTGATGAAAAACTGGCAGCCGTTCGTCTCCTTGCCACTGTTCGCCATGGACAGCAGTCCCGGAGAGTCATGCTTCAGGGTAAAGTTCTCGTCGCCGAACGTGCTGCCGTAGATGCTTGTCACGCCAGTCCCGTCACCCTGGACAAAGTCGCCACCCTGGATCATAAAGTCTTTAATCACTCGGTGGAAACTGGCGCCCTTGTAGCCGATGGGCACGCCATCCGGCCGATATTCGCCCGTGCAAAACTGTCGGAAGTTCTCCGCCGTGCGGGGCACTGTGTCTGCGAACAGTTCGAATATCATTCGCCCAATCTCCTGCAACCAAAAATGAATAATGTGTGTTTATGACGAGTGGCTTAACAGCTTACCGTAGTGCCCACAGCAATGTCAAAAAAAACTACAGGATTTGTAGAGCTCCGAAGTTGCGATTGTATTTGATTCCAGTTTGGCATTTTGATCTATTATATTACTTTTTGCCAAAACTAGGGTTTGTTCCTGTGCCGGTAGATTTTTGTTTACGTTTTTAACGATGGCTTGATGACGATAGACCATGCGTGCGAAATATCGATGGACAACGAGGCCGGTACAATCGATTAATACACGTGTGCCAAGTGTTTGTTTTTATTTTGTTGTGCACAAATTATTGAAATTATAAATTGTCATTTATAAAGGTGAGTTTGTCGATTGCACATTCATTAATGTACATTACAATTTCTAAGATAACTAATATGTGGCCAAAGTAAATTCCACCGCTAGATTTAAACAACATTTGCCACAATTGTCTAGCAAAATTTGCTTCTATATGCTGAATGGCAGGTCAGTTAAAATCTTCACCAGAAGCCGAAGAGTCCGAACGGAATTTTAAATTCTTACGTCCAAAAGATTTGACTTTGCCCAAAATACTTTTCAGTTTTTCATTGTTGTTCAGTTGTTCATATCCCGCCGAGGGTAATACTTCGGAATTTTGACTCCAGCTATATCTCAGCCCCAAAAAAACTTGGGAACCAAATCAAGGGTTTTTTCGTAAGATAATAACCCCCTTAGGAGGGGCAGAAGGTTTTTTACCTTGGAAAATGGAAATTTCCTCGGAAAATCAGCGGAAAACTCTTACATGCACGTCGTGCATTTCCGCACTAGGGGAGATTTGAGGACACATTTTGGGTAATTGGCCCAAAATAAACACTTTTTAATAAATAAAATGTTTCGATTTCTCGCACCGTTTACAAGATATAGAGCCTTAAATTTCCGATAATAGTGAGGGCTGGTAGCGGGCGAAAATACTTATTGCACATATTTTTCGTGTTTTCCGCTGATTTTCCGAGGAAATTTCAATTTTCCAAGGTAAAAAACCTTCTGCCCCTCCTAAGGGGGTTATTATCTTACGAAAAAACCCTTGATTTGGTTCCCAAGTTTTTTTGGGGCTGAGATATAGCTGGAGTCAAAATTCCGAAGTATTACCCCGCCGAGATATGAAATTGGTGAAGACCTTCCCTTAATTGTCTAAATCTTAAAAAAAAAACAAAACAAAACACTGCTTGCAGTCATCAAATATAATACATATGTCGAACAAAATACATAAAGGCTAAGTTTTTTATGAAGTTTCTATATTTTCGAAGATTGTTCATATGACAGCTACATGATATAGTCGCCCGATTTTTATGAAATTTAATTCAAAAGTCGTTAAAAAAGTGTAAATTCCAAAAATTACGATTGTCTGATGAAAAACAACGATGTTATCATTTTATTTCCGTTAATTCTATATAGATTTTTCGATCTTTTTATTTTTTTTAAATTATTTATATTAATAGTTTTTGATCTTTCCTATGGCAGCGATATGATAGAGCTATCCGATTTTGATCAAGTTTAATACGAAATTCGATAGTGGTTTAAAAACACTATCTGGAAGAAATAAAGTCGATCTGGTCAAAAACAACGGAGTGAGAATTTTTTTTTCAATCCCTTGTATGGGAGTTATCCTTTATAGTCGCCCGATCCGGCCCGTTCCGACTTATTTACTGCGTGCAATAACTACACAACTTTTTGAAAGTTTCAGCAAGATAGCTTTAAAACTGAGAGACTAGTTTACATAGAAATAGACAGGAGGGCAGACGAACAGACGGATTTGGATTCTGATCGTGATGCTGATCAAGAATATATGTACTTTATGGGGTCTGAGGTGTCTCCTTCACTGCGTTGCAAACTTTTGGCTGAAATTATAATACCCTTTGCTCTGGGTTTAAAAAAGCTACATTTTTAATATATATAGTAAAAATATTTTCTACTATTTTTTTTTTTTTAATTGGGAATACTTTTTTGGGTAACTGGAAGTGTCGCAAAAGTCACTTCTGGAAGTGTCGCGGATGTCTCTTCTGGAGGGTGACGCAGAAGTGTCACAGTTTTTCCCGACGGACGTCACTTACGCGATCGTAAGGCGATATCGCGGACGATCATTTTATCTTCCAGAAGTGACTCAGAAGTGTCTTCCGCGATAGTAAAGGCTTGCAGGGTAGTTTTAGCTGTCGTCTTAACAACGCTGATGCGAGAGAGAGTCGAAGTGCAATGCCGATATCAGACTGCGTGTGCAGACCTCATATATTCCATGAGATGTCCTGTTATATTACTAGTTTTTTCTTATTTTCATTCAGTTTTCAGTATTTTTTTGAGAAACTCATTTTTTTAATTAATTAGTTAATTTTATTTATTTTAAAAACCTACATATTACGAACATAGCAACCATATAAAAAACTTCCGGGTATAAGGACGAAAAATCGTCGGTCCCTTGAAAGTCGCTATAACCGGATTATACTGTATATGTATGTAGGTACCTACATATGTATGTATTATTGAGAAGCATCTGAATCGAACCATCTGTCTGTTAGTGTGTAAACTTGCCTCTCAATTTTAAAGCTATCTTGCTGAAACTTTACCAAAAGTGGTTTTGAATCATATCGATCTGATTTTTTTTTGAATTGGGTTTTACTAACTACTTTTGAATTTCGAAATACAGTAGAATCCTGTTATAACGACTCCGCTTATAGTGTCCGTCCGGGTATTGCGACGAAAACTCGATGGCTTGATTGGTCCCCAGACAGACTTATTCACTTAAATCCTTCTGCTTAGTGCGTCTTCCGGGTATAACGACGAAAAATCGTCGGTCCCTTGAAAGTCGCAATAAGCGGATTCTACTGTAAATTTTATTGAAGTCGCATGACAAACGTAATGCAAAATAATGTATAGAATAAATGGAAAAAAATATAACATCGTTGTTTTTCATCTTACAAGCATGATGAAATTGCACTTAGCGCAGGGGATGAAAAAAACATCGTCGACCAGGGGCGAACGCAGGGGGGGTGCCCGGGGGTCCGGACCCCCCCCAAAAAAATCTCAGACTTTTTCAAATTTCCTTACAGCACACGGCTTTTCAACCATAAAAACTAACATTTTTTTTGGTCGGACCCCCCCAAAGGAACAAATTTTTTGATCGGACCCCCCCAAACGTAAAAATTTTTGATCGGACCCCCCAAACAACAAAAATTTTTCGATCGGACCCCCCCAAAATCATCATATCATCATATATAGATGTCATATGAACAATCATTGAAAATATGGAAAAACTAAAAGAAAAATCGTCAATTCTTCGCCGTTGTTTAGCCTTTAGGCATTTTTCTCGAGATTTGTGGTGACTGCAAGGGAATAAGCTTCGACTTGCCGAAGTTAGCTTCCTTTCTTGTTTTATTGATAGTCCGATCTATAAACTTGAATTCTGAATCAACTTAAACTTCCTTATCCAATACTCCTCTAAAAATTCTTAAAAATAAAAAACTCACAACTAAAAAAAATTGTATATTTTATTCCTATATTGTCAGGCAAATATTAAATAATAAATAAATAATGAAAAAGTGTTGAAAAAAAACTGTTTCTGACCTAAAAACCTCCAACTTTTATTTTATTAATATGTATACACATTATCAAATACCTTAGGGCAGTGGCGGATCCAGAGACAATTCTTGGGGGGTGGGGGAAATTGAACTTATTTTTCGATTTGGGGTTCAAACTTATTATTGCGAGAGAAATACAGTACAAATTATAAAACAAAAATTATCCATCCCAATTTTTTGGTAAACAAAGTGGTTATATTTGAAAAGTCAACCATAGCAAACAAGTAAAATTTTTAGGTTCTGTGGTTCCAAGGGGGGAAATTTACCCCCCCACCGTGGATCCGCCACTGCTTAGGGACGTTTGTAGCTTTCGGTCTACTGATGAACCAAGTGGACTGCTACCACATATTTCGTAGTAAAAACAATGTAGGGGAGAAGTGGGGGTTGTGGGCATGGGTCGGTTGTGGGCACCCCTACGTATATTTTCACAAAATTAAGATTGAATTTTTTTGGTAATGTCATTCGCAAGCAATTACCCTATGTATGATTTATGCCAAATATCAAAGTAAACGAACGCGTTTGCTTTTTGAAATTAACGAATTGGTTTTTCTTGTGCTTGGAAAAGGTAGTGAAACTTTATTCAAAGATTTTCAATAGTGTATCAATTAAAGTGAATCGATTAAAAAGGTAAGTGTAATGTATTTTTATTTAGTCAAAGCATTATACTAAATGGAACAATATCGATTTGAACCAAAAAATTGATGCAAACACATTTTTTAATTACTTCTTAAAATGCCTGCGAAAGTTGGTTGTGGGCACCAAAATTGGGTGGGTTGTGGGCACCCCTTTATTTTTGGCCAATTTTTTTATTACCTACAATTTCTTGTAAAATTGTTTTCAAAATTTGTTTGGAACCCTCTAGAACATTATTGTAGAAATCTTAGGCTCTTGGAAAGGGATCCTCTCCCGCTGAGAGGGATTATCACTAAGATTTTAACACTTTATTCTTCATTTTTCATCCGAAATGTGTGGACTTGCGGGGCAGTCATTATACATGTCAAAATTGTGTTTCCGACGATGAATAACGCTTATGTAGTCTTTGAAATAAATAAATTGTCATTTTGTTGATATTGGTTGCGGTTTTTTTTTCCATATTATTCCATTTGCAGCATTTTTTCATTTTTCATATAAAAAACTTCCGGGTATAAGGACGAAAAATCGTCGGTCCCTTGAAAGTCGCTATAACCGGATTATACTGTATATGTATGTAGGTACCTACATATGTATGTATTATTGAGAAGCATCTGAATCGAACCATCTGTCTGTTAGTGTGTAAACTTGCCTCTCAATTTTAAAGCTATCTTGCTGAAACTTTACCAAAAGTGGTTTTGAATCATATCGATCTGATTTTTTTTTGAATTGGGTTTTACTAACTACTTTTGAATTTCGAAATACAGTAGAATCCTGTTATAACGACTCCGCTTATAGTGTCCGTCCGGGTATTGCGACGAAAACTCGATGGCTTGATTGGTCCCCAGACAGACTTATTCACTTAAATCCTTCTGCTTAGTGCGTCTTCCGGGTATAACGACGAAAAATCGTCGGTCCCTTGAAAGTCGCAATAAGCGGATTCTACTGTAAATTTTATTGAAGTCGCATGACAAACGTAATGCAAAATAATGGATAGAATAAATGGCAAAAAATATAACATCGTTGTTTTTCATCTTACAAGCATGATGAAATTGCACTTAGCGCAGGGGATGAAAAAACATCGTCGACCAGGGGCGAACGCAGGGGGGTGCCCGGGGGTCCGGACCCCCCCCAAAAAAAATCTCAGACTTTTTCAAATTTCCTTACAGCACACGGCTTTTCAACCATAAAAACTAAAATTTTTTTTGGTCGGACCCCCCCAAAGGAACAAATTTTTTGATCGGACCCCCCAAACGTAAAAATTTTTGATCGGACCCCCCAAACAACAAAAATTTTTCGATCGGACCCCCCCCAAAATCATCATATCATCATATATAGATGTCATATGAACAATCATTGAAAATATGGAAAAACTAAAAGAAAAATCGTCAATTCTTCGCCGTTGTTTAGCCTTTAGGCATTTTTCTCGAGATTTGTGGTGACTGCAAGGGAATAAGCTTCGACTTGCCGAAGTTAGCTTCCTTTCTTGTTTTATTGATAGTCCGATCTATAAACTTGAATTCTGAATCAACTTAAACTTCCTTATCCAATACTCCTCTAAAAATTCTTAAAAATAAAAAACTCACAACTAAAAAAAATTGTATATTTTATTCCTATATTGTCAGGCAAATATTAAATAATAAATAAATAATGAAAAAGTGTTGAAAAAAAACTGTTTCTGACCTAAAAACCTCCAACTTTTATTTTATTAATATGTATACACATTATCAAATACCTTAGGGCAGTGGCGGATCCAGAGACAATTCTTGGGGGGTGGGGGAAATTGAACTTATTTTTCGATTTGGGGTTCAAACTTATTATTGCGAGAGAAATACAGTACAAATTATAAAACAAAAATTATCCATCCCAATTTTTTGGTAAACAAAGTGGTTATATTTGAAAAGTCAACCATAGCAAACAAGTAAAATTTTTAGGTTCTGTGGTTCCAAGGGGGGGAAATTTACCCCCCCCCCACCGTGGATCCGCCACTGCTTAGGGACGTTTGTAGCTTTCGGTCTACTGATGAACCAAGTGGACTGCTACCACATATTTCGTAGTAAAAACAATGTAGGGGAGAAGTGGGGGTTGTGGGCATGGGTCGGTTGTGGGCACCCCTACGTATATTTTCACAAAATTAAGATTGAATTTTTTTGGTAATGTCATTCGCAAGCAATTACCCTATGTATGATTTATGCCAAATATCAAAGTAAACGAACGCGTTTGCTTTTTGAAATTAACGAATTGGTTTTTCTTGTGCTTGGAAAAGGTAGTGAAACTTTATTCAAAGATTTTCAATAGTGTATCAATTAAAGTGAATCGATTAAAAAGGTAAGTGTAATGTATTTTTATTTAGTCAAAGCATTATACTAAATGGAACAATATCGATTTGAACCAAAAAATTGATGCAAACACATTTTTTAATTACTTCTTAAAATGCCTGCGAAAGTTGGTTGTGGGCACCAAAATTGGGTGGGTTGTGGGCACCCCTTTATTTTTGGCCAATTTTTTTATTACCTACAATTTCTTGTAAAATTGTTTTCAAAATTTGTTTGGAACCCTCTAGAACATTATTGTAGAAATCTTAGGCTCTTGAAAGGGATCCTCTCCCGCTGAGAGGGATTATCACTAAGATTTTAACACTTTATTCTTCATTTTTCATCCGAAATGTGTGGACTTGCGGGGCAGTCATTATACATGTCAAAATTGTGTTTCCGACGATGAATAACGCTTATGTAGTCTTTGAAATAAATAAATTGTCATTTTGTTGATATTGGTTGCGGTTTTTTTTTCCATATTATTCCATTTGCAGCATTTTTTCCCAGGGTGCCCACAACCCCCCCAAAAAAATTTTTAGCTGAAAATTACGATTTTACAAAAGTCCATATGAAATTTTTTCGCATGACAAAATCAAGTATGTTTCTTCATAATTAGTTAGCTTAGGTCTCTAGCTTTACACAGATACCCATATGTCCAAATAATATGCACTAGTTCGGTAATTATAAGCCAAAAACAAAACTATGCCCACAACCCCCACATCTCCCCTACCAATAATTCCAATTATGTACATATATTACCCATCAAAAACAAGTGATAATATTTGAATTCAGTTTTTTTTTTAAGAAAATGTGCATAGCAGATGCCAGGTTAATGTTTATAAATAAGTGCTATTGTTCATGATATCTTAAGGTACAAAAATATACAAAATATTAGCAATTAGGACTGAGTCTATATTACATAAAATTCAGCAACAACTTAGACCCTAAACACATAAATAGATGTACTTAAATTCAAACTGAGCAGTGATAGTCGGTAGACTTTAGGTACATGCCTCATTTCAGCTCGACAATTAATACTAGGTGGAGGTAAATCTGCAATGCATTGACTCCAAACTGGCTTAGTTACTCGCCTCGTCCGTATCCACATCGGATATATCTTTGAGTTTCGTATTGCCGTTGCTGTTGTCCCGCTCATTGTCGTCCGCCGCCTTCTGGAAGTTCTCCTGCAGCGTTTTGGGATCCACGACCAGAATGGGTGTGCACCCATCCATTAGGTGCTCACTCTGGTTCTGGTATTGCTCCCGCGAGATGCTGCGCGTGAAGGAGAAACGCAACGACTTGGTCCTGGTCAGTTTCTTCTTGATGGGTGGCTTGCCTGCCACAGGAGCCACCGGCTCCGAGCTGGTCCGCTCAGAGCCCTCCGGCGTGGTGGGCACTGAGCTGGACTCCAGTTGGTGGTCTCGCAAGATCTCTTCCGCGAAGCACTTAATCTGGCTCCACGCATCCAGAATATCCTTCTCGGAGGCGTGCTCGTAGGTTACGCAGAAGCGGATTACGTAGCGGCCGTTGAACTTGGCCGGTGTCATATGCATTTTGCCCGAATGATTGATCTGCGCCAGCAGCATGTGGTTGGGCTCGTCACCAGTTCTGCAAAGAGGATTGAATGGGGCATTAGATTTCTGGAATTAAAATGCATTACAAGTCATTACGTTCCAGTTTCTAAGGGTATTTTTTACTTTTTAGTGCAACTCGATCAAACTGTTTAAAACTCGTCTCGTATACTCAATATAATATTCTAATATATTGAAATGAAGCGTTAAAACTTCGTTTACGCTGAACTGAACCTCAAAAACAATAATTAAGAAAATATATATAACATTTCCTCATACTAGATGCATAACTATTAGATCAATTTTATAAAATCAGATGCATGTGCTAAAAAGCATGGAATTGGCATGACTTACCGCATTCTGAAGCAGACTAGACCAAGATGAACATCGTTGCGGACCTCGAATCGATCGTCCTTGCGCACGAGCATCTCAAACTTCTTGGCCAGAGCCATGTGGTTGCGGATATACTCCTGCAGGCCCCTGATGCCGTACGTTCGGAAGACGAACCAGAGCTTGAGAGCCCGAAAGCGCCGGCTCAGCGGGATTCCGTAGTGGCGGTAGTCCACGCCACTCAAGTGTTCGTGCCGCAGGTAAAGGGGATTTACGTTTAGCGCGCTTTTCAGGGTCATCACGTCCCTAACCCACAAGGCAGAGGCGTCAAAGTTTGTTAGCAGCAGCTTGTTGGGGTTCGTGTTGAAGGAGTCGGCGTACTCCAGTCCGGCGGAGAAGACTCGCATCTCAGGCAGGATAAAGGAATTGCCTGCATAGGCGCCGTCCACGTGCAGCCAGATGCTGGACACCTGGCGGCAGACCTTGCCGATCTCCGTGATGTCGTCGAAGGCGCAGCCGCCGGTGGTTCCCACCGTAGCCACCACGAAGAAGGGCGTCAGTCCGGCGTTCACGTCGTTCTGGATGGCCTGGCGCAGCAGGTCGACGCGCATGCGTCCGTGCTCGTCGGCGTCAATGATGCGGAGCTTCACCAGCGCCATCTTGGTGGCCTTCTCCACGGAGGAGTGCGCCTCGCGGCTGGCGTACGCGATCAGGCTGGGCAGAAAGACGCTGTCGTGCACGCTGGTCTGGCCCTTCAGCTCGCTGATGGCCCGTGCGCGGGCGGTGATCAGCGAGACCAGGACGCACTCGGAGGCGGATCCCTGCAGGGCACCGCCACCCGTGCTGCCCGGCGCGTCCGAAACGAAGGCCTTCGGCAGCCCGAGGGCCTTGGCGTACCAGTTCATGACGATCGTCTCCAGCTCGGCGGCCGCCGGACAACTGGCCCAGCTGAAGCCAATGGACCCGATGGCGCTGCTCAGCATATCGCCCAGCACCGAGGGAAAGGAGTTGCCCGACGGGAAGTAGGCGAAGAACTTGGGGTGGTTCCAGTGCACCACTCCGGGCATAATCTTCTGCTCGAAGTCCTCGAGCACGTCCTTGAACGACTCCGGCGACTGGGGGGCGTCGGCTGAGGATAAACAGGCAGACGGGCGATTAGTGGGAGGGGCCTGAAATGTGTGTTTCTCTTTTTATCACCCATAAATTTGGGGGGCCAGCAAAGCAATATTTATGGCGAGTCTGTTGTTTTTGGCAGTGAGTAGAAAGATCAACAAGTAAGTCTATACGCAAGGTGTGTGTTTGCGTATGCATAATTAATTGATTTGTTTAGTTGAACTCGGGATTGCGGCGTCCATTCCGGAGTAAATATTTAACTTAGCCAACTGCGCGGAATTCGCCTGAAATTCGCCAGCGAACCTACTCAGAGGTGGCCGGAGGCTGTGGATCGGAGATAGGAGATCGCAGATCGGAGATCGGAGATCGGAGGGATGAATGCCGAGTGTGCCCCAATTATGCCAGGCCCCCACCCACGCACCTCGATGCGGGGCACTCGAATCCGTGGGCTGGGGATTTTCGAATAGTTTACACTCGCACATTGTTCACATGACTCTTCGGGCAGCGGGCAAAACAATTAGTCAACATGATTTAACAAGTTTTTGAGGGGCATTGAGTTGCTTGTTGCTTGGCTTTCTTTGATTATTTTGCGCGAAGCGAAATATTTTCGGATTCATTGCTAATTTGTTTGGGCATAGTTAACAAATTGGTGTATACAATTTATCACTTGTGCTAAAATTAACTTTTTCACTTGTCTTCAACTAAATCAGACAAGCCTAAGATTTGGGCTCCTGCCGATTTAGGGAACATTTTTGAGAGCTTTATTTTATTCTGTCTGATGAACATTCCGTTCATAATTTTGATCTCACACAAAACACCCAAGTAAACTGGCTAGCTTTTGCCAGGCCCTCGATACTTTCACACGTATTTCACGTATTTCTTGCTTGCTCACCTGGTAGAAGTTTTTTCAGGTAACCCGGATCCAAGGTGGGCGCCACATCACGCTCCTCGATGTTGGTGCCATACTGGCATATATAATCGATCACTTCCTTGCCGTATTTGCGAAACTCTTCCACATTCATTTTGTTCAATTTACACTTCTCGTTTGTTTTTGCTCAACAATATTTGGACTTTTTATACGTCTCCGTTGGATCTCGAGGGGGTTTATCTTTAGTGCTTGAGTACTATTGTCTAACACGACGACACACCAACACGGACTTGTCTCGATCACTTTTTAATCCCGGCTAACACGTTTCGCCCGCTCGTTGCAGCTCAGCTTCCTTAACGCGAATGTCTTGGCCACTACGCTGCATTCGCTTTTATATGGCAAGAGCTCGCTCGCTTACTCGCTCACTCGCTCGATCGCCCGATCGGGAGCTCTCGGCTCCTCTCTTCTCTCGGCCATATCCCCTTCGCACACCTGCGGGGTGTTAGTTCGGCTGTCGCACTGACGTTTATTGTCTCGTGATCACGCTCAAATTACTGGCCCGGAGACTCGGAATTCGCTGGGCTGGGAAACCCGCTTCGGTCATTATGGCCACCTTTCCCATTCCGCTCTCGAGTCCGGGCGGAGAAATAGCTCGCTTGGCAAAAAATCCCTGGCGGGCAAGGGTTTTCAGCTTCTGGCTTAATTATATATATAATGGGTTAGACGCCATTTGCTGTGCGGTTGAGTAATTAATAATAGCTTTTGATGTGCAATTGGTCGAACTGTTGTGTTGTAAAAGGCCAGGGAAGATGGTTACAAAAACAATTGGATATCTTTGGGAAATAAGTTCAAGATTTATTTTTAGCGGTGATATACCGATATGAAACAATTATTTCTTGCGCTGATATTCCACTTTGAAGGTAAATTGCTGTCATTAAAACTGCGATAGTTTTCACAACTGTTAATAACTTGTATATTTGTATACTCCTAAAATACAGTTATTTCCGTATTTGTTAGTATCAATGTTTCTTAGCCCAATACGATTTCTTTGCTACTTCAGTAGATTCTTATATTATAGACATTATTTTTATGGCTCTTAAATTGGATTTCAACGTGTTCCCTGCTTTCTGATGGCTGAACCTGATTTTTTTTCGTTTGGTTTTTCGGGGAACTTTTCGGGCTGTTTGAAAATTTCCGAATTCCCGTAAATCCGGCACGTGCAAAAAGTGTGCAAAAAATTGTTGAAAAAGAGACACAAAACTTGGTTCTCTAATCTCTGAAGAATTACCAAAACTTTCCGTGGCTGATGTCTTCGGCAGTAAATGAAGGGGATTCACTTGAAGTACTCAGAAAAATGTGGCAAACAATTGTCCAAACATTGACCAAATCCGTTAACAAAATGGATGTACGAATGACCAATCCCTGGCAACAGGCAAACTTATGACGTAGCTGTGAAGAACACCCATTGTTTCATGGAATCTCCTGCTAGGTGAAATACAAAAACACAAGTATCAAAATAAACAAACGTTGCAAAATGAATTTTACCGATTGCTCAGGCTGCGAGGCGAGGGAACTTGGGAGATAATAGGTAATAGGTGTGGGTGGGCCAGCACAAATGAATGAATGGGTTTGTTGTGAGAGTCAGCTGGGGGTCCCACCTTATTTGGCGGGGTGCTAATTGCCGGCGATTGCTTATCTAACTCTGCCCTCTAATGATCAGGCATTAACTATGCTTACTTCCCAATCCATCATGTTCCATAGTTCATGGGCCATCATCCTGGTTCGCCCTTTTTTCACTCGATAGTGGTTTCAACATTTCAAGAATTCAATTTATATTTAATTAAAAGTTATTTTGGCACCGTGTTTTTAAAAATAATTATTTGGTCTCCAATTAATTCAATTCCGAGTGAATGAGAGAGTTTTTTTTAGTAACAAGGGCCTTAACAAGTCAACTACCTATATATTTCATTAAATATATATATAAGTGGGAGTAAAACTTACGAAAATATTTTTTGAATGATTCTTAAGCTGTAAATAAAATAAAAACAACAAGTCCCTTATAAACTATGTAACTGTTTCGCTGTTAACCAGGTGTTAATGATATATCTTTCCTATTTATTTTTAAGGAAAATTATGAAGAAAAGCTGAAATCGAAGCTTATTAACGGTATTTTTTATTACAAACAGTATCCTTTCAAATTCTCAACTACAATTTTCTGCATCGTCCGGTTTGTTGAATTACTCACTGAATCTTAACGATTTAGCAAAAAAACAGTATGGGATTTAAAAATTAAATTCTAAAAAGTTCGCGTCTACCCATTTCCGTTTGTTTACAGAGATTCGAATTCATATCTTATGTTAAACGTATTACAAGTTTTTAAATTAAAAAAAATATTATATATTTAAAAGTGTGGAAGTTCTGCTTAAAATTAATTAAGTTTTGACCACCGTAAGGAGGCTGAGCCTCAGTTTGGCTGACATGGCTGACTCATTCTGCGCACGCGTCGCCGCCTTGAAGAGACTCTTGGTGGGAGCAGAGTCCGCCGCTGGAGACTGCCTCGGAGATTGCGAGACGGAGACGGAGAACGCATGAGCACCGTGACTTGACGTATTCGTGTGCTCCTCTTTCGCGGCTTGAGCTCCGCCTGAACTTTCATTCACAGTACCAGCCACCGCGGATGACGTCGTGCGTCTAAATATAAAGTCGTATTCAGTTTACGCGGTCACACTTCAAGATGCTCGAGGTCCATTGCCATCATCCACCGAATCCATCCGCCTTCTGGTGCTACTTTTGCCTAAACCTGGGCCTCGTACGTGAGATTGGCGTTGTGTGTTTGGAGCGCGGCTAACGCTTTTGTTGTTGTCTACTCATTTATTATGGCAGTTGGCGCTGCCAAACACCAGACAAAATTCCCATGATGTCTCGATACAGTCGAACTTCTCTAACTCAAATTTAATAGTCGCAAGTCTTTCTTATATTCAATGAACTGTTTTGTGATTTAAAAATTTTCATTGCTTCACAAGAGATATTTAATAATTAGGACTTACAAAATTCAACGACTTTTTTGCTGGGGAAAAAGTATTCTTCTGATATTCTGAACGGTAATCACACATTAGGTTTTCTAAGCTTATCATCAATTGGTAAGGGAAAGAATTTGTATCTCGACCTATAAACCTCCTTCTACAAACCTCAAAGGTATTAAAAATGTTTTAGTTGCTCTTAAGTTATGTTCTTACTATCGAAAAAAATAATTGGTTAGTTTTTGGACCTTTGACTGTACAAGCGCTGTCCAAGATATTGCCGAAATTTGCATTTATCGTTTTTGATGATGCTTGCGCTTGACAACAGCTGACGGATATTGAATTTAAAGATTTCGTGCTCCGGGTCTCCTATATGTGTATTTTCGTTTATTTTGGCAATTTCGTTTGTTTTGGTTTATGCCAAATCATACCATAGGCATTTCATTCATTTTGGTGCGGCTTCGCATGCTAATTTATGGGTTCGCATTGCTTTAATGATTAATTTTGTGGGAGGTGTCAAACACTTTGTCAAATAATACTTTGATTTTTATTGGCGCCAGAAGCATAAAACTGGGTTTATTGGCGAGCTAACGGAGGAAATCCGATGCTCCGGATCGGATTTCAAGATTTTACGTAAACAAATCTGCTCATTTACATTTTTGGATTTTAGATTTTATCGGTTGAGCTTTTTTCGTGTAAGTTATATTTTTTTATCAATGGAATCAAAAGCGTTTTAGCCAGGAGGCCCATTTTATTGAATCTCTATAATATAGCCTTGCGTTATAGTTCAAGTGAAACAATCTATAATATATTTTACAATAATCATTAATTTGCAGTTAACTTTCATGCGAATGCTAATCTGGTAAATTTTCAAATTCTTTAAGTTTTTCTTAAACATCATAACTTATACCAATGATCTAGGTACGTGATTATATTCAGTTCCCTGGGCGCAGATATAAAGGCTTATGCTAAGTCCGCAGAAAAAGCGAAGCTTAAAGGCGACCCTTTGCGGGAATACAATGAGGTATTGCGGAATTTGATAATGAACTGGGAGTCCCCCGTTGTCTTCCTTAGAGATCGCGGCTTCCTGCCCAGAAATTATGAGGATACGTCGAAAATCAAGCCGAACATGGATGCTCTGGTGCAGAGAATGGAGAGAGCCAAAAGGGAGCAGGCCGGGGGTAAAGGCGTTATTCTGAAAATAAAACCCAGAGAGACGCGACAGGCAAAGAGGCTGAAAAGTTCCACAAGTGAACGAGGCTTTCTGGCCCCTAAGCGTTATGTGGCTGCCAACATGGATCGGTCGGATGGCAAAGAAAACGAGATATCGAAAGCCAAGACCAGGCTTAGTGAACGGGAGGAACAGCTTCTTGCCATGAAGCAGCGCTTGGAAGAGATGCAACCGGGAGGATCAACAGAGGACTTGGAAGGATATCGTAGACAGATCGAAGCAAGCCCAAGTGTCAAGGATCCGGCCAAGACTTTGCAAAGTTACGACGAAGTGTTGCAGAGAATGATTGAAAAGACTAGCCCTCTTGTCAAGCAGCACTTCAGTCCGCACTTTAAAAGTTATAAAAACGGATTTGAAGCAGTTCCACCTATTGACATGCAACTGGGTCGCGAAGAAGATAAACTGATGCCTTCGATCCCGACCTTTCTGCCGAATCCAGTAGATAAACCAGACATAAATCTGGCCACATCCAGTCGAGCTGAGGAACAGAAAAGCAAGGGTGAAGCGGTGGCTAGCAACTTGCCAACGAAATTAGCTGCGCCCAGGTATCTGAATTGGGACATGAAAAGGGGCCAACTCGAGAGTTTTTCAAGAGTCGAGAAGGAGGAATATTTGAACCAGCTGGTCAGAGCATTCGGGCAAAACCGGGACTCCAAGGACCCAATAAAAAAAGGGGACAACCCTTATTCCTTGAATCGCGGTATCAATTCACATTCGTTATATTGAAATGGTTCAAAATATATGATATCCGTTCAATGATTCATAACCCAATTGAAGTCCGTGCGATACAATTAATTTTAGCCATTTCCATTCTCATGACGATGAACAACAATCCCACGTCATATCAATGGCATCAGCAAAACAAGAAAGGAAGCTAGCTTCGGCAAGCCGAAGCTTATATACCCTTGCAGTTATCAAATATGTCGAACAAAATACATAAATGCTAAACATTTTTCTATTCATTTTCCATATTTTCGACTATAGATCTTATGGGAGCTATATGATATAGTTGTCCGATTTTGATCAAATTTAATTCCTAATTTAAGAGTCGTTAGAAAACTTTATATTCCAAAAATCATGCTTATCTGATTAAAAACAACGATATTATAATTTTATTTCCGTTATTTCTATATAGATTTTTCGATCTTTCCTATGGCAGCTATAAGATATAGTTGTCTGATTTTTATGAAACTTTTTTTTCAATATAAGAGTTGTTAAAAAACTGGATATTCAAAAAATCATGCTCGTGGGTTAAAAAACAACGATTTTATCAAATTATTTCCATTAATTCTATATATATTTCTCGATCTCTCCTATGGCAGCTATATGATAGAGTTATCCGATTTTGATCAAATTTAATCAAAAATTCAATAACAGTTTGAGAACGCTATCTTGAAGAAATCAAGTCGATCTGATCAAAAACAACAGAGTGAGAATTTTTTATTTCATTCTCTTGTATTGGAGCTATACGATATAGTCGGCCGATCCGGCCCGTTCCGACTTATATACTGCGTGCAACAACTACACAACTTTTGGGAAAGTTTCAGCACGATAGCTTTAAAACTGAGAGACTAGTTTGCGCGGAAACGGACAGATGGACAGACGGACAGACGTACAGGCGTTTTTCGATTCTGCTCTTGATGCTGATCAAGAATATATATACTTTATGGGGTCTGAGGTGTCTCCTTCACTGCGTTGCAAACTTCTGACTGAAATTATAATACCCTTTGCTCTGCAAGGGTATATTGATTCGCTTTCCCATTGTTTACCCCGAAAATCACAGGATTCTGTTTACCTTTTGTCAGAACATGTGCACATTATTTTCTTTTATGTTGGCCATTGGACGACCATGTGCCTTTGCAAATAAGAGGTCAAGACATCATTTTGGATGACATCGAGTCTATTTGACTTTGTTCATTGGAAATGAGTTCATAAACATCGCTAATAATACCAATCACTGAAATCATTTTTATACCCTTGCAGAGCAAAAGGGTATTATAATTTCAGTCAGAAGTTTGCAACGCAGTGAAGGAGACACCTCAGACCCCATAAAGTATATATATTCTTGATCAGCATCACGAGCAGAATCGAAATATGTATGTACGTCTGTCCGTCTGTCCGTCTGTCCGTCTGTCCGTCTGTCCGTCTGTCCGTCTGTCCGTCTGTCCGTTTCCGCGCAAACTAGTCTCTCAGTTTTAAAGCTATCGAGCTGAAACTTTCCCAAAAGTTGTGTAGTTGTTGCACGCAGTATATAAGTCGGAACGAGCCGGATCGGCCGACTATATCGGATAGCTCCAATACAAGAGAATGAAATAAAAAATTCTCACTCTGTTGTTTTTCATCAGATCGACTTGAATTCTTCAAGATGGCGTTTTCTAACTGTTATTGAATTTCGGATTAAATTTGATCAAAATCGGATAACTCTATCATATAGCTGCCATAGGAGAGATCGAAAATTATATATAGAATTAATGGAAATAAATTGATAACATCGTTGTTTTTCATCAGAAAAGTATGATTTTTGGAATATAGAGTGTTCTTACGACTCTTGAATTACGAGTTAAATTTGATCAAAATCGGACAACTATATCGTATAGCTCCCATATCTCTATAGTCAAAAAAATGGGAAATGAATAGAAAAATCGTCTTAGCTTCGATGTTGTCTAGCCTTTATGCGTTTTGTTCGACATATTTGATGACTGCAAGGGTATATAAGCTTCGGCTTGCCGAAGCTAGCTTCCTTTCTTGTTTTCAATAAGACGATTTAGGAACCAATGTTAAGTATTTCTTTGTTTACGTATTGAACCCTACGGTAAAAACTACTAGAAAACCTTTTAATTTTTGAAATTCCGTGTTTTTTTTATCGTCTAAAAAGGAAACACAAGCAAGTGTTTAAATAATATTTATTGTATGTCATAAACGTTAAAGATAGTTGTTCGATATTGCTACCACGAAACTTAGAGAAAAAGTATTATAGAGGACAAGACAGACTAGAGTTTGATGTTCCTCCGCTTTGTAGATTGGTCTAGAATTTAACTAGGCGCCTGGCTTTACAGGAAGCGCTAATAATGTATTATATGTGCTTCATAATCTGAGTGGATATTATTAGTTGAGATTATCCCGGGAGGATGATGCCTTGCGCAAAACCATGGGCGATTTCCGTGGGGACCGCTGTTCGAGTTGCTGCTGCTGGACATTCACGTAATCCAGTTCGTTCTCCGGAGAAGGTGATGACCCGGCTCCAGAATTTCTTCGCGATGACGAGGGTCGCACGTTGGTATCCAGATGCCGAAACCTGCAAAGAAAAGGTGTTGTTTATTGAGGAAAATCACAAAGGGTGTCATTAATCTTTCCACGCATATAGTAAGTTACACAGTAAAGATTCAAATTAGTTAAGGTGCGATAATGTGAATCGCTTAGAGTTAACTACAACTTTTTACATTAGCAACTTTAAAAGGCGGAGATTAATTTTCCACTCGAAACATTCAGACGTTCTAACATTGTTTTGATAAGAGCAGGAATTCGAAAATATTATTTTCTTTAGGTCATTTGTCACTCGCTTGGAACAGGAGGAATATTCAAAATTTTAAGACTACTCTTTAACTAGAGGGGGAGGACTCACCGCAACGAGACGTTGCTGCCCTTCTCCTCGTTGTTGCTGTTGAAGAGGAAGGCCAGTGGCCAGGAGATCCACGAGTTGTGGTCCACCGAGCTCTGGGTCCGGATGATTGGGGCGCTGCCGCGACTGACCACCGGCGAGGGCAGCTCCATGGAGAGCTTGGGGGTGCCGGCCTTGTTGATGGCTGGGTTGTAGATCTTGGGGTCGCTGACCATGCGCACGAAGAAGGAGCGCTTCTGGGCCAGCGTGTCCTGCTTCTTGCGGTTCATGATCTCGGAGAGCTCGTCGTGCTGCTCCTTCTCCAGCAGCTCGTTGGCGAAGTCCACGATGATGTCCCAGGCGTAGTCGATGTCCTCGGCTGTCGCGTTCTGGGCCACGGCGCAGAACCGGATGATGTAGCGGTCTCCCACGCTGGCTGGCACCATGTGCAGCTTGCCGGACTCGTTGATAATGCTCAGCAGCTTCTCGTTGAGCTTGTCGGTGCCCTTTAGCCGGAAGCAGACCAGTCCCAGCTAATAAAGTCAAAAGAGCGGTTCATACATATTTGTTCCTTTTACAACACTTTCTTCGGAGTTCAAACCAAAACATTAAGTGTAGAACCCTACACCAAACCCAACTTATACTTTCAAAACTGATTGGCTTTGACATTCAAAGTAAAAAATTAGTTTTCGTAAACTAAAATTGCAATTTAATAAAATTTAATAAGTTCTTCGCAAGGATTACGTGTACGAATGTACTATATCTCTTCTTTTAAGGAACCCAAAAGAAATGTATTTGTTTTCCATTTTTAAATAAACTACCAAGAATTATATATAAGTATTTAAAACAGCAAAGAGCAACACGTCAAAGAATATTTTTTTGATTAGTCACTTTTACTCTAAAGGTTTTTCTTAGAAATAATTTCCTTTATTTTTAGAGAAGGAGGGGAATAAAAACGTAATATCTGGACTGCGCTTATTTGAAATTCGTTGCTTAATACTTTCATTTATTCTTGGTCACAAGCGAATGGAATAGTTACAAGTGCTAAGCTGTTTGTAATTTCTAGGAAACAGAAACAGCAAATTTGCCCACTCATCATTTGCCAGGCTTCCTTAAACTTTGCCATAACGTGAGCCCCGGTAGATCCGCTACCGAATCGATCGCTCAATTAAGTTCGGCACGCTTACGTTCAACAAGTTGAAACATATGTCAGTCGCTGACTCGGTGAATCACTTTTGCCTGTCTCTGAACAATTTTCTGTAGCAGTTATGCCAAAACACTTCTATTGCCGAAGCGAAAAAGAAATCAATTTTTTGCGCCGATTTCATTGTGGAATTTGGCGTGTAGTTGCGCACGTTTGCCTCATTCGCAGGCGGGTGTGAACAAGTTCACGTCTTCTTGGCCAAGGCCCTTTTGACAGCGCTTACGGACCGATAGCTGCGTTGCTCGCCACTCAATTTCCCAATTATACTCTGGGTATCTGGGCCTTACACTGCACTGGACCCTTGGTCAGCACAATGGAGCCCCACGCCCACAGGTGCCCCCGTGAAAGACCCACACACTGAGGGGTGGACAAAGGAGCTTTGAACTCTAAGCGTGATTAATTACTGGAAGCAATCGAAACAGCTTTTCTCCGAAGCGAAAGTAAATGTAACTCACCTTGACTTGGTTACAGATTTCGAAGCGTTTGTCTTTGAGTACGAGCTCTTCGAACCGCTTGGCCAGCTTGATATGGTGACGAATGTAGTGCTGCAGCCCGGAAATCCCATAAGATCGCAGCACGAACCTAAAAATACGATCGACGTTCAGATACAGAATGTTTTTTTGGTGAACAACACTCGGGATTAGTTTCTTCTTCTGGGTGGGAGCAATTAGCAATAAACGCTTGTTTACCCATGTCATATTTCGGTGTGGACTCATCCCATCTGGGGGGACAGATTTGGCACACATGGGGCATGAAAACCCCTGTGCTTACAACTAAATCACAAGCAAACACGGCGAGGGCATACTTCAGCTAGGCGAGTCAACACACTTAACGCCTCTCCAGGCCCATCCAAAAGCACTCACTTTTCGGCAATGGTCAACAGAGCCATTCGCACTTGGCTGTCGAGGGCCTTTCGGGCCGCATATGGCACATGCTACATACCACAGCTTCAGCGAACGGAACCGCCGACTGAGTGGAACTCCCCAGTGACGGTAGTCGATGGCCGCGTCCGAGTAGCCGTGCTTCAGGTACAGCGGGTCCACCACGAGGGCCGAAGTCAGCCGGATCCGGTCCCGCACCCACAGCGTCGAGCAGTCGAAGTTGGTCAGCAGCCATTTGTTGGGGTTCGTGTTGAATGAGTCGGCGTATTCGATGCCCTGCGAATCGCATGGAGTCAGACTGGAGGAACGGGCAGGTCAACTGTCCCTTTTGGAATCCCACTCACCTTTAGGAGCGGCTTCAGCTCGGGGCAGATGAAGCTGTTGCCGGCATAGGCGGCGTCCACGTGCAACCAGACTCCCGGAAAGCGCTGCAGCTGCTTGCCGATCTCCGGCAGGTTGTCGAACGCACAGGAGCCCGTGGTGCCCAGCGTGGTCGAGACGAAGAAGGGAACCAGGCCCTGCAGCTCGTCCTCCTCCATGGCCTCGTAGATCGTCTGGCCCCGCAGACTGGCGTCCTCGTCAGGCTCCAGGATGCGCAGCTTCACGAAGCAGATCATCGCCGCCTTCTCCACGCAGCTGTGCGCCTCCTTGGAGCAGTAGGCCATCAGCTTCGACAGCAGGTGGCCCTCCTCCACGAACGGGTGCTGCGCCTTGAGCCTCTTGAGGGCCTGCGCCCTGGCAGCCAGCATCGTCACCAGCACGCACTCCGAGGCCGAGGTCTGCAAAAACGTATTTAGTCAAGAAGTTCGAAGTTGCAGCTACCATGTTATTTATACCAAACTGTTCAAATACAAATCAATATATAAGACTATTGGTATTATGAAAACCTAGCATTGGGTCATCAATTTTTAATAGAGAAAGGTTGGGGATTTTTAAAGTATAAACTATAAATAACTAAATGATGAACTTGCAGTATGGTTTACCTAAAAAAATTATAGAATTTGTTAGCTTTTATTGGTACAAATTGCAAAATGAGTTTTTAAATTTATTAGTTGACTTATTAGTTTTTTTTAGTAATGTACTAAAGAACGGCATCTTGCTGAGGCGAGCCAAATAAAAAATGTTCCGTCTACAATTTGTAAGCATTAGCTACACTTAATAAAATCCCACTCATTTATACAAACACGAAAGACTCCTTTAGAGTCAGCTGTTTTCGGTATTACTTATTCTTTTAATAAGGCCTTTCCGGTGAACTCTGTTAAGTTTAAACGTTCTAGGACACACCGTTTCTGTTCGCTTTTTATTGCGTTGTTACCTGGATGACTCCGCCGCCCGTGCTGCCCTCCTTGAGGGCCAGGAAGTGATCCGGCAGTCCGATGGCCTTGCCCAGCCAGTCGAGCACGATCGTCTCCAGCTCGGTGCACGCGGGACTGGCCGCCCAGGAGAAGCCGATGCACCCGATACCGTCGCCCAGCATGTCGCCCAGGATCGAGGGGAAGGAGTTGCCCGCCGGGAAGTAGGCGTGGAAGCGCGGATGCTGCCAGTGTGTCACGCCGGGCATGATCTTGTCCTCCACGTCGCTCATGATCTGGTCCCAGTCCTCCGGCTCCTGAGGAGCCTCAGCTGCGATGGCGGGGATGTGAGGCTAAATCTGAGTCTAAATTCAACGCTGAAATCTGTCTTACTCGGCAGCAGGTGCCGCAGGTAGCCCGGCTCCACGCTGGGCGTGACTCGGCGTTCGTTCAGCGTCTCCAGGTAGTTGCAGATGTACTCCACCATTTCCATGCCGCGTTTCCGAAATTCGGTGCTGTCCATTTTTTATCGGTTCCCCGAACTGTTTTCCTGCGGCGCGTGTTGTGAGTTTGTTTTTAGCTATCGCCCACGCTGTGTTTGGGTGTTCAATTTGTAAAATTTATCAATGAATCAGACAAGTGGGCGCTTCTAGTATAACCAAACAAGTTTAATTTTAATTTTTATGAAGCGGAGTCGATCACAATTACATATGTGTGGGGAAAGTTCCAGAAGAATGAAATGCATACAGCAGAATGCTATTTAAATTAAGACCCTATTAGAGCTTGATAATACAGAATACGAATATTACAAAAGGTAAAAATCAATTAAAAAACCTTTTAAAGTGTCACAATAAAGAAATAGAAGTAAAAAGTTATATAAAAAAAAGAAACCAGGAAAACTCAAGTTCTTAAAATTGTAAAAATAACGGTATTTAGGGATGGCTTTAACTTTTTTAACTTTTTTGGATAAAAAACTTCGAATGGATTTAGGGGAAACTTTCCTAAAGGCTGCTTCGATTTGATTTGATTGGTGATGCAAGACTTTTATAGAATAGTTTTCGCAATTTAACAAATTTCGTTCTTTTTTAAATTTAGTTTTACTTCAGTATTTTCCACAAAATGTAAAAAATCGGAGTGTCTAGTCAAGTTGTAATTCTTTTTTTACACCATTTTGAGTCTGGTTTCACATTTCACAAATGAAGATGGTGTTTATTTTATTAAAACTTCTTGCGTCACAAAAAATTACTAAATATGAGGAAACTAATATTATCTTGTAAATTAAATTATTTTTATTTATAGCAATCTGCAATCCGTAGACGAATATCACTATTTCCGTATTTTATTGTTTTGTTGTTAAACTAGCTAATTTATTTCCGTGGTTTCCAGGGTTTTATGTGTGGCTTTTTAAGTTCGCAGGTTAAATTTTTCATTGAACTTGATGTATTTATACTGGGGCTATTTTAAATTTATTTTGTCGATGCTGTGCGTTGGTTGAAATTTGTGATGTTCCCTAATTTTGGTCGGTTTAATGGCAGGTAGTTAGCATAAACAGATTTTTGTTTGTAATTAATTGCGGTTCCTTAGGCATGTTTTATGGCCATGTAAGGTACACAATTCGCGCTGAGTTCACTAACAGTCGATGGGTTACCACCGGATATGTGGCACTTACTTGAAGCAGAGCAACTTCGGATGCTGGTTTTTGTTCCGAATCCGAGACGACGAACCGTTGGCCCCGACTTGCGAAACCAAACTGATCCTTGCTCTGCGCCGTGGCCAAAAGCTAAGCTCGGTCGTCGCTGCTGAGGACCTTCCTTCGGCCGCCTGCCTTGGCATGTCTAATGAATGCATACTTGGGATGATGGTGGTGGATGGTTGGTGCGATTGAAATGGCAAATAAATGGAATTTTTGCGGCGCTTCATTCATAGCCAGGAGCTGGGGAATGGGCGGCAACCAATCCTCTTCCGTGGTGCGTGAAGATATGCAAAGAAGACAGCACGAGTGAAAAATTAAACGTCTGCTTTCTACATTCAAGTAAGTTTTTCACCGCAGCGTATACTTGATATTGCGTATACGCGCACTCCAAATTGAGTTTCGAACTGTTAAATGCTTGGCAAACCTAATTTGGACTTAAAATAAAACTCAATTTGGACATGGATGAGTTAATTCAAAGTACGTGTTGTCATAAACATACAACAAATTACATTGACAGGACCGCTTTCCACGCCTTCTCACGATTCACGACTTCCCACTCGTCCTTGTCCGGGGTGCGAACCGTTGTATTAATAACTTCCGCACCAAATTGAATTATTGTTCGGAGCGTACTTGATAGGAATGGCGGCGATGCCAAATGATTATGACGATGGGGATGACGTTGACGACGAGTCGGAAAGAACAGCCCGGCAGGAGCAGAAATAGAAGGAATTTCAACGCATTCCTCTCGAAAAATTCCAGCCCGTTTTCCTTTTCCATGTCGGGCTCCTTTCGTTGCGGCTGCACTGGGCCATAGAATTGTCTGGGACACGTGGCTCCATGTACTTGCCACCATCATCCCACACAATCATCTGATTCGCCCCCTCCGCTTTTTTTGCTTTTGTTGCTGGATGAAAGTTCATTAATAAACTTTCCTTGCCGCTGTCGAATTCAGCTGCAGCCTCCACGAGCAGGCACTAAAATGTTGTTCGGCCTCAGCTCCAACAAGTGGCATCATGGTTCTGCGGCTATCATCCCTCCTCCTCCGTGACCTCCTTTCCCGTTTCCGCACTCCATGGCCCGTTGTCTAGTGGCCGACACCAGCAGGGCTTTATTTAATGGGAAAACGCTGCGAAATCGCTCCTGCATCCACGCTCATTTAATTGCTGAAGAAATGGTTTTTTATTGACTTTTACTTGAACTCCTCTTCAAAGTGCATAAAGTAAAAGCAAGGGCTGTGATGGCATTGCCGGGTGGTTTGTCGTTCTCTAAGAAAACTGGAAAACTGATTCACAGGTCCATTTTGTTCTATTCACTTAATATTAAAAGTGATAGATAAGTTACGTTTTTAATTAGTAATGTAAAGTGTGCGATTGAATAGTAACATTTAATCCTTTAATTTAATTAAGCCTTAGAAATATATTACGTAATATATAAATCTCTGATTATTAACAGTTTTGTATTCATAAAATATTAAAATTATTAAGCCATAATAACCTTTTACCATAACTAGCGTTCGACTTTTTGAAACGAAAACATATCGGTTTGTAATTTTTATTTTATCGGGCTTCTATATCTTCGTTGAGTCAATGCAGTACTTAAAAGGAAAAGTGTAGGGGACACTGCTGGCCAGAAGATCTGGTTGCTTGCACCACTTACACCATTTGCAGCTTGTCTTCTTCAATTTTTCCCTCGCTCGCTCGGCTCATAAACCAAGCAATTATTCAATTTGCACGGACTCTGCTCGGGCAATAGCTGCTCTGGACAGTTAACGACGAGTGGTTGGCTGTTAAGTTGGTTGTTGAGATTCCGGACCTCGGGGGCACTTTTTCTCGTTCCATTATAGGTTCAAGGTTATTGCTGAAGGGCTTCGGAGAAATCATATTTCTGATAGGGAAAACAATCTTCTTTGCAGATTCTTCCTTAAACGGCCTCAACATGATGCACTACCGCAAGGCCGAGAACGTGGAGAAGGAGCTAAGCAAAAGCGATTTGCCCTTCGAGGACTGCATGCCAAAGTCCCAAAAGGACTTTCTTTGGATGCATGTGAGTACTGGATGCTCATCTCCAGATGGTTCCCCCCAAACTGTTTCTTTTCGAAGGTGAAAGGCGGCACTAAGGTAAGCAATGTGATTGAGTTCGCTCAGGCTGCGCTGAACAAGGGGGAACATAGATGCGTGGTGTGGAGCGGATCCGGTGGCGGAGTGGTCAAGACCATTTCCTGCGCAGAGGTGCTCAAGCGGAGCCATCCCGTCTACCAAGTAACGCGCATGGCCTACACCAGGTGAGTTGCTCGTACTCATCAACAACCAAGGGGTCATTACTGTAATAGTGCATTCTGTAAAGTGTGGAGGAGCATTGGAAGCCGCAAATGGATGGCCTCGAGGAGATCATCGTCAACCGCCAGATACCCACCCTGCACATTCTTATGAGCCTGGACGAGCTTCCAGATAGTATAGATGGGTAATCAGAAGTGGGATTTGCATTCGTCAGCACCAAATACAATAATAATTTTATAGATTACAAAAGCCTAACACAGCCACCGATTTTTGGGAAGGCGGAGGGGCTCACCCTAATCCCCGCCAGCAGCAGCAGCAACAACAACCAGGTGCCGGCGGTCGGCCAAACAAACGCCACAGATCCGGACGTAATAAACCAGCCCAACAACACGGAAAAGCTTCTCCAGAAGACAGTCAACCTACCGGTCAGAGTCAAGGTTGAGATAAGCCATTAAACTAGACCGTAAAAATAGTGGAGATTCCTTTATTGGCCCTTTGTAAGGATATAAAAATAAAGTCTAGTTCATCACAAAAGCATTATGGGATTAAAGCAATTGAGGGCAATGGGAGATAAGCTCTACGAAAGTAAACGAAGGCTTTGTACTGTTTTTTTTTTATTAATAAAGTTTTCATTTTTACAGTAAGTGCTCTTTTCATTTAGAAATGATTCCTGGTTTTTGAAAAGGTCGTCGGAGACATGTCAAACTAAGGAAACACATTTTAATGAATTAAGCATATAAATTACTTTGTTTAGTTGTCGGGTGTAAACAATGTTTTCACTCAGGTAAACTTTATATGTACTTTAATTTTGTTATTTTCTTCACAAAAACAATATTGTTTGAAAAATAGTTTGGTTACCTTGGAATATGTTTTAAAATAAAATTCTCAGTTCCGAATCACGAGTGGTTTCTATAAAAAACAAAACATTGTTTCTGAACATAGTTAAACGTTTTGGAGAGATCACCAAGGCAAGATTTACTGTAATTCTGTGTTTATTGCTGTGCACACAAATTTGTTGTGCACACAACGCACTTATGAAAAGCTGCACAAATCTAATCTGCTGGATTTCAATGGCGCTTATCATCGCGCGAATGTGCAGCCCGTCGTCTGTTAGTATGGAAAATGCTGAGCCTACGACAAGTTCTACGATCCGGAGCTCTGCGTCATCTTCGATCCCTGAGCGTCCAGCCACAGGGCGATGTCCTTTCCCAGAGCTGCGATGTCCTGATCATCGGCGGAGGCGGAATGGGTGCATCGTCAGCTTTCTGGCTAAAATCCCGGACACTGCAGCTTGGCAAGAAGCTCAATGTGCTGGTCGTAGAGCGGGATGCAGGCGTAAGTACAATATCTCACAACCCTAAGTTTTATTATTAAAATTCGTTTATAGAAGTTGGCGCACATTTTTATTCTAAGCTTAGAGCGCTATACTCTATTTAAAATTGTTATCATGCAAACCTAGTGTTTTTGTAGGCTGTCGGAAAATTCAATTTTGTATACCCTTGCAGAGGTTATTATAATTTCAGACACTGGTTTGCAGCACAGTGAAGAAGGCACCTTCGACTGCGTAAAGTATAAAAATTCTACGTTAGCTTCACCATCTGAGTCGATGGATATAAAAAATAAGTCTTATTATTCTATGCAAATTATTTTTTTAAAAAAGTTATTATTTATTATTTTTATTTTTCTATAAAAGCTTAAATATAAAAGAGCGAAACCTATATAAAATTAATGGAACACACATTTTGAGGTCGTTTTTAGCTGCCATAAAAACAATCGGAAAATTAAAAAAAACGAATAGAAACATGAGATAATATTTATTTTGTTATGCATTCCTGCATTTAGCTCGACATTTAGCAAACTGTTGCAGTACTTAAAATATATTTCTAACTGCAAGGGTATATAGGTTTCGGCCCCAAAACTTTGTTCCTTTCTTGTTGGGTTGGTTATATGTCACTATTAGTTGACCCCTGGCAATAAACAATTTTAATAATCATTTCTTTACGTTCCATAAAAAACAATTAATGTATTTAAGCTGATCATATTGCTTTTATACTGAAATTAATTTTTTACAATTTTACTCTTGTATTTCATTAACTTCAAATAAATTGTACAATACGTTATCCGATATTTTCTGTTAGACTGTATGACGTAAAAAGTATTTTTATTTTATAGTTTAAAACGCGTTCTTCAATCTTTTTAATCTTCAAGTAACAGGTAAAGGAATAACAGTTCTGTTTCCTTATCTAAAAATTAAATTTAAATTCTCAATGCAAGTTATTTAATAAGATAACTTAAATATTTATTCTGCTACTGATTTCCGTAGTACACCAGCGCCTCTACCGTGCTCTCTGTGGGCGGAGTTCGCCAACAGTTTTCCCTGGCCGAGAACATAGAGATGTCACTCTTCGGATACGACTTCATAGTGAACGGGCAGAAACACTTGGGAGACGTGGATTTGTGCTACCAGCCAAACGGCTACTTGATCCTGGCCTCCGAAAAGGGTGCCCATGTCCTGGCTCAGAATTCTAAACTGCAGAACGAGTTGGGAGCCAGAAACGAATTGCTTGGTCCGGTGGCGCTGCGCCGGCGATTTCCCTGGCTGTCGACCGAGGGCGTTGAGCTGGGATGTCATGGGATCGACAAGGAGGGTTGGTTTGACCCGTGGGCCCTGCTGATGGGGTACAAGAAGAAGGCCCGTGCCCTGGGTGCCAATTTCGCCAACGGTTCTGTGGTGGGTTTCGAAAGGAATGCCTCTGGCGCACTTTCTGCGGCTTTGGTCGACGCCGGAGACGGAGTGCAGCGCACTGTTAGATTTGACACCTGCGTCCTGGCCGCGGGAGCCTATTCGGGACAGGTGGCGCGTCTTGCAGGCATCGGAGATCCGGATGCGAAAGAAAGTTCCTTGACGGTGGCACTGCCAGTGGAGCCACGCAAACGGTACGTCTATGTGTTCAGCACTCAGGGCCGGAACTGCCCGGGCGTGGCCACGCCTCTGACTGTCGACCCGGATGGTACCTATTTCCGACGCGACGGCCTCTGTGGGAACTTCCTCTGCGGCCGCAGTCCGAGCGAAGACGAGGAGCCGGAGTGCGAAACTCTGGACGTGGATCACGGCTACTTTGAGTCGGATGTATGGCCCACACTGGCGAGCCGAGTGCCGGCCTTCGAGTCGGTGAAGATTCAGAGCAGCTGGGCGGGCTACTACGATCACAACACATTCGATGCGAACGGCATCATCGGCCGGCACCCTCACTACAGCAATCTCTTAATAGCAGCCGGCTTCAGCGGCCATGGCATCCAACAGACCCCGGCCGTAGGTCGAGCCATTTCCGAGCTGATTCTGGACGGCAAGTTCAGCACACTAGATCTGTCTCGTCTCGGTTTTGAGCGCCTGGTGAACAAGCAGCCCATGTTTGAGGTGAATATTGTTTGATTGCCGTCCCTCTACCAATTCTTAGTCTTGCTTTCGTAAACGGTATTAACAGAGCCTTTTTGTGTGTATGTACTTCTTTTATTGCAATTTCTGTTGTGTATATAGTAATTTTGTATAGTAAAGTTCACGTTTTAGTCACGTACAGCTTTTTTGGTGTTTTGGCTGCAAGTCGTCAAGAGGGGTTTGGTTTTGGGGGCATCTGCTGTGGGTTCGGCCACAAGAAGGTAGTGTGTCTACATATAATTTATTTAAAATAAGGAGTTAAACATAATCGTAATATAACTTGCGGAATAATTGCTGACTTAGGATCAGATGGGGCGAGCGGGGTGGAGGGGCCTGCATATATCTGGATCTGCCCTTGTTACTTAGTAATCGTTATGTAGCTCTATGTGTATCTGACATCTAAACTACATACAAGATCTGCATTCGAATCGGGTTCGCTCCGTCCGTTTGTCTTTGTCAGGGCGATCTAACCCTGGCTGCAAGCTATTGATAAATATAAATAGATGTACGTTGAATGAGTGTTCCATGTGATTCTGACTGAACTGCGAGCGCCTAGGCTTCGCTCTCGCCCGGGGCAGCGTTCTCGCCCACGTTGATAGGCACGATCAGATTCTCCTTTGACATAAGATTGTATTTTGTGACGAAATGCGTGAATCGGTGGCACAGATACGTCTCGGCCTCGAACTCGTCGAAAATGCGACGATGATGAAAATAGGCGTGCGAGAAGATTCGGTACACGCGCCGGCACACGGAGCCCAGCTTGGTCACCGACGACTCCTTGATGGACACCCTGTGGGAGACACTTTGCTTATTATGTGGCTAGTTGCAGCCAGTCGCACATCGTCCATACCTGCTCGGGAAGTACTTGTTGCTGTTCAGCAAACAAGCGGCCCCGTCCAGCGTGTGGCGTGTGTAGTCAATGGCCGGGCACTCCTTGGGCGTCTTATGGGCGGCGCACAGGAAAATCCACTGGTCGGTGGCCGTCATCTGGGTGCACGTCGAAGGGGAGCACTCCTTCTGCAGCCTCACAGCCAGGCCATTCAACTCCATGCAAAACTGGCGCAGGTGCTCGTACTTCCACACGCCCTCGTCCTGCGCCTCGGGCATCGTCAGGATGAGCTCAACATTGCTCGGGTCGCGCTTGATCAGCTGCTGGATGTACTGCTGCACCGCCAGTGTGCTGTCCATCTCCTCCAGGGGCTCGTCGGGCCAGCGACAGAAGTCCTGCAAGGCGGAATGGGGTTGACGTTAAAAGCTCGTGAGAACGGGGACCTATATGGTGCTCACCTTGGATTTTGTGCCTGGTCGGTTCCTACGCAATATGGTCGAGCCGTCAGCCATCTTCATGTTTCACCTTCTCGGAGACGCGATGATCCACAACGCGTGTGCCTACGCCTTGAAGAGAAAATCGCTGGCAGAGCTTGAATTCGAGCGCAATTACTTCCCCACTGCAATTTCCGGAAGTGGGCTCCCTGCACTTAGTAAGCTGAAGGTACTCTACTTGCGCTGGCACATCGCTCGTTAATTCAGTAGCGTTTATCCAAAACACTTTGCTTTGTGCGAGAAAATTTCTGACAAAATTCTACATACATACATATGACTATCGATTGGCAGTCGCGGTCGGCTATCGCTTTCGATTGGCCTTTGGTATGTTGTCGGTATTTCCGTCAGCCCTGGCCACGATCTGGTCACACTGTCGGGAGCCAGTCATCATAAATACGAACAGATTGGAAAACTTACAAGAATTGCGTATTATCTGTGGTATTACGAGATCGAAACTTTCCAATAGCCAACTTGCCGTAACCAACTAAGCTGCAAACATGTCCTACGCGTACTTGTTCAAATACATTATCATTGGCGACACAGGTGAGTGGAAAGTGCGATTCCTCTGCGAAATGGCAAGTGAAAAGTTGGCCATTGTCAGGGAAACAATCAGTAATTAGAAAACAAAACAAAGGCAATCGCTCGCTCAGAGGTCGCTTCTCAATCAGTGCTCCGATTCGGACTCCAAACGAAAAGAACTAACTTATAAATGCCAATGGATCGACTGTGCGTTCGCACAAATATATCTCTGGAGTCGGGTGGCCAAAGGAAAAATCAATAAAACCATAACAACGCATACAGGCGTTTACTGAACTGGGAGTTAACGGGGTGCGGGGAGCAGCCTACACATTCAAACCCTGCTGCTGAGTCACCCAACCACCCCCAAATGCTAAGGGATTCCGCCCCAAAGAGCCACGGGCTTATCAGCATACTGTTTTTCGGAATGCCCAACAGCTGTTGGCAGTTTTTCAGCTTTTCCAACTTTTGGCCATTCGCCAGCTAACATTTTGGTTTTTCCTCAGGCGTGGGCAAGTCCTGCCTGCTGCTGCAGTTCACCGACAAGCGCTTCCAACCTGTGCACGACCTGACCATTGGAGTGGAGTTCGGAGCACGCATGATCACCATCGACGGCAAGCAGATCAAATTGCAGATCTGGGACACGGCTGGCCAGGAGGCATTCAGGTACGCAAAATAGCCTCGTTCAGAGTTTCTCACCGACTAAGAATTTGAAGGCAGACATCCGTTTTTAACTTAATGTCAGGATTTTTAAATGAACTCAAGATAATGCCTGAATCAAAGCCAGTTTAATCACAAAAGTATAACTCGAAAGTCGGGACACCCTTGAAAAAAATCATATATGTAAACATATAATTTCCTTACGTAGTGTATAGTGTAAAGCATATTCAAAACACATCAAAATCGAAAAATGCATCAAACGTTAACCACACAAATATGAAATGGGTTTCGTTTTATGATTTAGTTGTTGAAAAAGCAGTATTTCTAGTTCCATTCCTGTTTTATTTCAAATTAATATGTATGTAACAAAACAGAAAAATAATAGAAATTGAGGGACTTGAGCTATTTTACTGTACGAGAAATTGCAAGGACAGCAATGAGTATTATGGTAATCTTAAAAACCATACCTGTTATCAGCTCGTGTTGTTCCTCGCCTAAATTGCATCGCCATACACGTTTAATAGTTAGATAGATGGATAGATAATGTGCCTTTTCCGACCGAGAATTACTCATGATAATAATTCATTTTTTCGAACAGATCCATTACACGCTCCTACTACCGCGGTGCTGCCGGCGCTCTGCTGGTGTACGACATCACGCGGCGGGAGACCTTTAACCACCTGACTACCTGGCTGGAGGATGCGCGCCAGCACTCCAACTCTAACATGGTGATAATGCTGATCGGTAACAAGAGCGACTTAGACTCGCGACGCGAGGTGAAGAAGGAGGAGGGCGAGGCCTTCGCCCGCGAGCACGGTCTGGTTTTCATGGAGACATCAGCGCGCACGGCGGCCAACGTAGAAGAGGCTTTCATAAACACGGCCAAGGAGATATATGAAAAGATCCAAGAGGGCGTCTTCGACATAAACAATGAGGTGAGCTAAGTTGAAATTCGCCTGCACACTTCTTGTAATCAACGCTTTATTGCTTTTTCTAGGCCAACGGCATCAAGATCGGCCAGCAGCACTCGCCCACAAACCCGTCGCTGCCAGGAGCCGGAGGAGCAGCTGGAGCAGCAAACAGTGGCTGCTGCTAGGAGTAAACTGCAGATGCCCGACTGCAATTCTGGGAGAGACGTAGCCGCTTCTGTAAAAGCTACTTTAGTGACTAACTAGTAGAAGGTAGTTTGAGGGACATATTTCTTGTTTTCAATCTCAACCGTAACTAACCACGTAATCATAGCTACCACTAAACTAGCAATCAAACACTAAGCGTAATGTTAAACCATAAAGATCAGACAACTACAAGAGAACAAAACTCCTTGTTCAGCTACGTTTTAATTTACCAAAAGAAACCAAACGGAAGAAATCAGAAATAAACCAAAACATACCTTTGTATATGTGAATGTGTCGTCGTGCGTGATTTCTAAATTTTATAAAATTTATTGAAACATTTGTAAATGTTTTATGCATGTATTTTGTTTATATTGAAGTTAGTTTGCTAGTTATTTCGTGTGAAGACCGATAGTTATACATTGGGATCTTGACAAAATGATGTGTAATATATAAACTAAACTCAAACTATGTGAATTTTCATTGTGATTCGTTTTCAGTGGAGGTCCAGCCCCGCATCGCTGCGCCACGCCCCTTTTTGCAACGGGTATCTGCTCCTGTTCTATATACATACATACATACATAATTACAGAAATCCTTTTTAACGCATTTGCTTTGTCTATATTTTGTTGTGCAACCCGCTTTAGTATTTATACATACATTAGAAAAGAAAAAGTACTTTAACGAAATATACAAGTCTTGTGAGCTGAATGGGATTATATAATTTACACACTCAACATGCATTAACAGTGGATACACGGAAATGCTGCGATTCAATGATCAATTTAGTATTTTACGAAGTTTATATATTAAATAAAGGGCAAAAGCTAAGACGAAACAAAAGAAACAAGTGTAAACGTAAATCAAATTATTTGTAATATTTGTATTTGCCCAACACAATGCAGAATAATAAATATACATACTAAACATTCAAATACATCGTTGCTTACCTTGGGACAAATAAAATTGTTAAAAGTCACCACATAATGATTTGTTGATGATGCTAAGTGATGCTTTGTCCGCATGACATCGTTGTGGGTATAACTTGATGGCTATAGCGTTTAATATTTAAGCTTTTTTAAAAAGCCATGGCCAGGTCCGGATGAAAATTTGGGTTTGGAAAGACTATAATAATATAAAATAGTTTTTTTTACTGATCAAAGTAAAAAGAAAAACACACCAGAAAAATGAAAAGCTGTCATTAATTTCATTGAAATGTTTATTTATTTGGAAATAGGTAGATAATTGTTATTTTGAAAATTGTAAATAATAATTGTGATTCATTTTGTTTATGTACATATTTGCTAGTGTGATCGGAATCATCAACTACTCATTATCTATAGGTCGGCTATATGGCTAAAGTGTCGTATTTACTTCAGTTTTTGAAGCGTGGTGACAGTTTAAAGGCTTTTTTTTAACTATTTGTATGAATATGTTTGTATTTTTTTAATAATACTTGAACTTGTAAGATTTTACATAATTTTTTTTTAATATTCAGAATTTTGTATTTGTTATTACTAAAAAAAGTTTTGCCAAACTGCAAAAACAGGGGTTTCTTCCAACAATATTTATATAGTATAGCCTAGTTTGCTCAGTTGCTTTGTTTAATTTGGAAACTATTCGGATCCGTGCCGTTTGATGTACAAATATTGTTTTGTTAGTTTAAAAACAAATGCTCCAAAGACTTTATTGTGAGTTTTGGGTCGATTGAAAATGGTCGCTTGTTATTGCATACGTTACATAGATTGTAGGTTATTGTTTTATTTTAATTAATATTCGTACGAAATGTAAGGCAATTAAATCTATTTCTCTAATTTTTGTAAAGAAGACAATTGAGGGACCCGTTTGCACCTGGCAGTGATGCACTGCATTGATATTGATTGAAATTGAACAGTTTTTCTAAGAGTGATTACAAGATGCGATTACTAATTGCCGTAGTGCGGTACTTATACGGTGTATATCGATACTTAGCTACCATTAGTCAAGTCAAGTTTAGGCTTACACGCTAGCTCTTATGAATAGGCTTAGTTTCAGTTACAAATCTGCTCTGATTTTATGGCTGCAACACCATTTGACATAAGAAACTCGTTAACATTTAATGCTAGTCCAATATTAGGCTACAGTTCTGGTTTGTAGTACCTCCAGTTGACCCATGTGCACCTTCGGCATTCATCAATCTAATGTACGTAAACTAGTGTAAAAGTTGAGCTTTTTTAGTCTCTAAGACATCACTATCACTCTCCTTAGGAGCTTTCTTCTCGCAGAACTCGATCAGATATGAACAGACGCCGGAGAGTGCGATAAATATGCCTGCGTAGTAAAAGGTGTCGTCCCATCTGCAAGGAGAACCCATCGGGTTGGTCAGAAATGCTTGGCTATGAGGCAATTTCGAATCGGACTCACCTGCCCGTGTGCTCGTATATAACGCCCGCAATCGGGGGTCCTGCAATCATGCCCACTCCTTGCACCAGCAGCACCAGACCGTAGGCACACGTGAAATCGTCCAAGTCAACAATACTGACCAGAATGCTGGGCGTAAACGAGAAGGAGCTGGCGAACGTGAATCCGAAGATAACGCACATGACCATCAGGCCAATGTAGCTGGTCATCAGCAGGGGCATAAAGAACACCGATGCTCCGCAGACTGAAATTGGCAATGCAATTGTTATACTTTGCAAAGGACTTGAGAGGAACTCTCAGCACTTACCTAACATGCAAAGCGAGTAGCATATGTTGATGTTCATCCAGGGCAGATCGCCCAGGTAGCCCAGTCCTATCATGCCCACTGTCTGGGCGATTCCCACATCTGATATCAATTCTGCACTCACGCTCACATCGTACTTGTACTGCTTCATGTACTCGGGAAGGTACAGATATGGGATAATAAACCTGCGGAGCGTGCCAAAGGGGTGTATTAAAAGCTAGTTAGAATTGAGAGCCTTATCTCGACAAGGTCGAGTTTGATTTGGTTTCAACTATGTAGTTTCCTTATCGAGCTAATGGAGCTCTTAAACTCAGCACACATGGGGTAAGATAAACCATGATCTTGAGCTCTATTGGGGCGGCCTTTGCCAAGGCCCATCGATAACGTTGTAGTTGGAGTTTTACTAGGGTTGGCCAATATTTCATTGTGCAACTACCCATCGATTTCAAAGAGCTGCCAAAACTGTTTGCGACATCGTCTGGCAACTGAAAATTTGCTGCTGACGGCTTGGCACATTCATATATTAATTTTAGCGATTCATTCGCCTTCAGTTCGTGCGCAGCTTGGGACCTTCGCCAATGCCAATAGGTTTTTCCGCCGATTTTGTTTTTCTATTTGTTGCCAAAAATTACTCACCAAATGAACAAAAACAACGTTGAAAGATTGAAGAGGGCGAACTTCATGTCCAGAAAGAGGGAAAAGTCAAAGATAGACTTCATGGTGTCCACGAAATTGTCGTACCAGGTCTGTCAAGAGAAAGTGAAATGAATACTTTATTCAGAAAACAACGCTATAAGAGTATAAACTTAAATTTGCTAAACTTTTCTTTCCCTTGTTGGTGTTCAAGTATTTAGCTAGTTAAAAAGGTTTTTTTTTCGATAAAAATAATCTCAATATCAATTATCAAATAAGCAGGGAGGTTGTGGGCTGATACAAAAGTTACAGGAAGAATTTTAAAGCTTTTAAAACGTAAATTTTTATAATAACATAATAGTAAGAATATATTTTAACAAGGCATTTTTATTGTATTTTCTTAGATCTCTTATTGAACTTCTTGCAAAAAACCTCCCATTAGGAAGAACAATTAGATTAATTTGTATTATTATTTTAATTCCAATGGTTTCAACTAATTGAATTTTCAAGGTCTCAAACAAATTATGTTTTTGGGCTGATACCACATGGAATCGTTCCCTTCACACGGAAGTACGCGGTCCGGATTGCCGGCCTTATCAGCCGTGGATGGATTGCCCATGTGGACCAACCAGGCGAGCGTGCAGAGGACTGAGTGCCAGCTGATAACCAGCACTGAGCTTAACCAGCTGGGACTGTCGCCAAGCGAGCGGCCGATAAGGTCGGGTTAAGGGTCACTGTCACTGAGACTGGGACTAAAATTGGGACTGTAACTGTAACTGGGACTGTACTCACATCCTCCTCCTCCTTGGCGATGGTGGTCATCGAGTTGCGGTAGATGTTTGGACAGGAGGAGGCGCGCAGGCGGTAGCGGTGCGTGTTGAGCATGGCGCCGCGGTAGTGGATCGAGTTGCGATGGATGCGCATGTCCTTGAGGAAGTTCGAGTTCCGGATCGAGATGTTCCGGCGCAGGTTCGAGCGGTGGTGGCTGGGCTTCTTGGAGCGCGAGAGCCGCCTTATGCCGGTGATGCTGTCCAGCCGGGCGCGTCGCATGGCCAGCTCGCTGTTGGCCGCCGGTGGGTCCTGCTCCGGAATGGCGATCACAGTGGGCCCCGGGCGCCTGCTCGGCTCCAGCAGGGCGAAGGTCTCGTCCTTCGAGTAGTAGCAGTGCATGTCCTCGCTGAGGATGTCCACCGAGTTGTGGCGCAGCCCGTTCACCCTCAGGTTGGAGAGCGAGGGCGTCGTGTGCTTGGCCATGAAGAGGTTCTCGTTCAGCGAGTACCGCGAACTGGCGTGCTTCTGCGTGAGGTAGCCCTCGTCCGAGGAGCGCAGCGATCCGACGGGCGACCCGGGGCCGGCGGACCGCTTCTCCGACGGCGACAGCGTCTCGATGGAGGCCAGGTAGGACTTCTTGGCCTCCTCGGCCGCCTCCAGGGCGATTCCGCCCATCAGGGTGTCGTCTGGCGAGCCGATGACCGCCGTCGACGGCGGATAGGCGCCCGCTCCCGAGGAGAGGAGGTTCTCGCGAGAGGGCGCCTCCGCGCCCTCCTTGTGGCGCAGGGAGCGCCGGCTCAGGCTCTTCACCTCGCAGATGCTGTCCAGCTCCTGGGTGCTCAGGAAGGTGGGCAGGAAGAGCTCGCTGCGGTGGCGCTTGAGGGCCGAGTCGAGGGGGTCGTCGATCTGCTGGTTGGCCTCCGTGTTGTTCTTGGTCACCAGCGAGTCGAGCACCGCCTCCTTGGTGATGCCCGTGTCCAGCAGCTTCTTGATCTCCTCCAGGCAGACGCTCGAGTTGGAGAAGGTGGTCACGCTCTGCGAGCGGCTCTCCAGCCGGTTCTCCTCGATCAGCCAGTCGGGGTCGCGCATCAGGGCGCCGCACACGCAGGCGTTGAGCATGGTGCCGCCCAGGATGAGGGTGGCGCCCCGCCAGCCGTACGACTCCATCAGGTAGGAGGTGAGGCGGGCGTAGACGAAGGTCCCGATGCCGGTGCCCGAGGCGCCGATCCCGGTGGCGAAGGTGCGCTTCTTGTCGAACCAGAAGGCGATGGACACCACGGCGGTCACGTAGCCGATGCCCAGGCCCAGGCCCGAGATGATGCCGAAGGTCACCATCAGCATCTCGATCGAGTTGCAGACGGAGGAGAGGGCGAACCCGAAGGCGGACACCACGCCGCCCAGAATGGTCATCTTGCGGCAGCCGTACTTGTCCACCAGGTTCGACCAGATGGGCCCCATCAGCAGGGGCACGGAGAAGAAGAGCGAGGATATCCAGGCGGTCTTCGAGGTGGACTCGCCGAAGTAGCCCAGCAGCTCGACGTTGATCAGTCCGAACGAGAAGCTCAGTCCGTCGGCGATGAGGGACACCACCAGCGAGGCGAAGACCACCACCCAGCCGTACCCGCCGTCGGGCATCTTGGGGGTCTTCTTCTCCGTGGAGCTCGAGTCTATCGAGTCGCCCGACTCGTTCGAGATGAGACGCTTGCGGCGCTTCACCTGCCCGTTCCCGTTTCCGTTTCCGGTTCCGTTCATCAGGCAGACGAGCGCTGGTTCGTCCAGGGCGACGACGCTCCTCCGCACCACCCGGCTGTGCCCGGCTCCATCCGCGAGCTCCTCCACGGAGAGGTTGCAGAAGGTGACCTCCGGGAAGAGGTCGTGCTTGATGGCCTTGTGCAGCGGCGTGTTGGCCGGCGCGGGTGTGAGCGGCAGGGCCTGGTAGTCGGAGGCGCCTCCGCTGTGGTTGTTGTTCACCGCCTCGCAACTGTTGTTGTTCGAGGTCAGCGGGTCCGACGCCAGCTTGGCCATGTCGGAGTCCTGTGTGCGGTTGGGTGCGCTCTAGAGGGTCGGCTACTTCTATAAAAGGGGTGTAAAATTTGCACTTTCTTGTCTCTTGTCCAAGCGATTATTGGAAGTGAACACAATTTGCATTAGATTTCAGCATGGATTCGTGGATTCTCTTAAGTAGGCGGTAGGTGAAGGCTTCCCCTTCCGGTGATCGACTGCGGTGCGTAGCTGAAAGAGAGAAAAGGGGGCGGGTGCCTCAGAAAAAATCTCTTATTCTTTTTAAAAACTCATTCATCCCGCCATCTAGCTGCACTTTCACTTTTTGCCCAGCCCCAACTAATAGGAAAAGTTGTCCCAAAGTCTGGCCAGAAACGCCACGGCAACATGGCAGTTATCAGTTGGCAAATCTGATTTATCTACCTCGGCAGAAAATATGGTTATACAGCTATCCACCAATCAGCGCAACTACAACAACTTCTGCCCGAAAACATTTCGTTTAAGAATCCGCGCAGAAACTGTTTGGTCATTTGGCATTTCGTTTATTTAGTTTCACAGCGCCTTCAACTTGACCTCAGGAAGACGGCGGCAGTCTTCAGAGAGGTTCCGAGAGAGCCGAGTGGCTCATTCTTACATCAGTCCCAAACAAAGTGCGTCACATGAAGGCGACGGCAGCTGATGTCTCCCAATAATTATGGGATCCTAAAATGAATATTCGAACGTATTTTCGTTTGGCGGCTTGTTTTCGTTCGCTCGAAATGCCAGTCTGCGGTTAATTATAGACTGGGCCATATAGACTGTATAGGGGAAATTCATTAGCGCTCGGACAAAGAGTTTAGTGTCCCTACACTAGCAAAGCGGAAATTCTACTACCCAGATCGAGTGCGAGTCTGCACAAATATGGTGTCCAATGGACTTATCCACCCCTAAGTCAAGACACCTCTTACCTTTCGTAATCCAAACAGTGCTCTTCTCGCACGACAACAGCTCCACCGAACAAACGAACCAAGCGATTGGCGCTCTGCGGCTTTAAGACTTCACTAGCACTAATTTCACTGGTTTCACCGAAGCACTGCCGCCAATCAATTCACCATAATTACACAGATCTTCAGTTATGTTTAACTCGCTGAGAGTGCGGTTCGAGTGTTTATTCAGGGTGGCGGTCTTATTGAAAATTCTTAGGCGCGGGTCGCGGGGTATGTAGTGCAGGAACACCTTGTTCGACTTGCCGCTGTTGTTGTAAGTACGGGGATTGTTGTTCTGGCTGTTGTCGAACGCCTTAGCGGCAGTGGTCGCCGATGCGGATGCTGCAGATGTTGCCTTGCCTGCACGATAGAATGACTTGGACCGAATGTCATTCATTAAGAACGCTAGGGGGTTTATCACAGGCCAACGGAGAATATATTGAGCGATAATTGACGGCAACCGCTGGCAGTTGCTGCTGATGTTACAGTTGGTGTTGCTGTTGCTGTTGGTTATGCTATTGTAGCAGTTTATGCTGCCGGTAAACGGATTTAGCCCTGGCAGCCACATGCGGTACTTTGTGTTCACCGACACCGAGCACTTTGCGATGATAACGACAACGAATTAGCGCGCCCGTCGAGCTCAAACCATAAAAAATAACGAACACAAATCAAACGCGAAGCTGGCTCTCAGTGGCTTTCCAGGAGGTGTTGCTGCGGCTTCGGAGCAGGATATTCTGCCGCTCCACGTGTCAAGTGCGCGGCGAGGGGTGCGGGGGCGGACTGGCAGGAGTATACATATCGACAGCTGGTCGGTCAACGCGGCGTATGATTAATTCTTGTTCGGCGGTGCAACTCAATCGCTGCCTCCTCGCTGGCGCCAGATAGTGATTTATGATCTGCTTCCTCGATTAGCAGCCTTCAGTGCGACTTCTGCAAGAAAGACACAAGGAGAGGGGACAGAGTTTAGTTGTGAGTCCACTGATAAATGACTTAAACACCAACGAAGGGGCCGAGCTTGAGTCTATTAATACATTCAATGCGAGCAATAAATACGCTCGGAATGCTCCATCAAGTTACTACAAAAGGCGCATCGCTCAACTTAATTTCAACCACTCAATTGACAAACAATACGGAATCGGTATGTGTGGGAATTAAATTCCTGAAGAGCAAATATCTCCAAATGCGTTAAGGACAACACTGTTTAAAGAACAGCGATTGAAGAAACAACATTTATGAGCTGTGTTGAACAAATTTTTCCCATTTTACTAAAAACTGTGCCACTACTTTGTCGCTCAGTCTTTCACTTTCAAAAACATAATGTCTGCATATTTCAAGCGACCTAAACCGGATTTATTTAAATCTAAATTTTGATCGCAAGACCGTCTGCTTTGGCGAATTTCAAATGGAAATAAAGCTATCTTTGCCAAAGTTTTGTTGTCATTTTTTAAAATGGAAAAACTCGTTCGGTGCCCTAAAGTTTTATTTCTGTAATAACAAGCACCATCGTTTCAGAGCTAACGTATAACGTAGCTAAAAGCTAGGTGACTGGCAAAAATGAGAGCCTCTTCAACGTTTACACATTGTTAAATTATTAAGAAAGACTCTGAGTAGACATTTATTAAGCGATACTGAATTCTAATACCGCTGAGCTGAGGTCATCAGCTAAAATCTTTTATAATGATGGAGGAAATTGTTAAAAGCCCATGTCCACTTCCTGAATGACAGATCTGTGCTAAGTGCACATTGACCAACTGATCGGCCAAGTTCAACGTTCGATAGGCGAAGTGATTAAAACGATCGTATACCGCGGGCTTAACAGAGAACCCAAGTAAACAAGGAGCGACGGGCTGTATTTGCTGAGATTTTCAGTTCTAATTACGCGACCGTCTGGTTCCCGACTTCAGCTAGACAACGAAACGTCTCTTATCAAAAATCGAATTCGGATCACGATTACCTCTACGTGTGTGGGTACGCAGATCAATGGTTGGTGTGTGGACATGTGGAGGCGATAGCCAATCTCGTGCGAACTTAAATTGCTGGCTTATCTTTACAATATAATTGGCAGAAAATGGTTTTATTCGCTCTGATGCGATAAGCTAATCGCAGCCTTCGAAAAGCTATTGTAGTTGAAGCTTACATAGTTGCGAACGGAAAAGCGAAATCGAAAATCAAATAAGAGCCTACATACTTAGGTATGTTGACAACTAGAGCCAAAGCGATTGTCAATACAAGTTAATTTCAGATTTAACAAACAATGTTCTTTATTTATAGTTTAGCTAAGCCAGTGAATCGCTATGCAGCTTACACTTTCCATGGAACCCGCTGCAAACTAGTTCAGCGCTATCTGCAGCGCCCTGTTGTATGCTACACTTTTGGGTGGCACACGCGTTTGGAGCACTTTCACTTGGTGGAGCAAGTCGTGCTCGAAACTTAAAGTCCACATTTTGTTCAGTCCGTATTTACACAACAATAGCCGAAAACACGAAAACAAAGAAACGCGCTGAAGTGGCGGCCGCCGCGCACATTTCGGTGAGGTCCACACGCTTCGCCTCGCTCCCGGATTTCAGCACGGATTCGGGTTCGGATTGAAGAACAGACCCGCAGCTCGTCGAGAAACCGACTAAACCCACTCACGCCGATGCCGGCGGCTCGGAGCAGAGCGAGCGTCGGCTATCTTCAGCCTTAATCTAATAAATTTCTTATCAGAGAGCGTCGTGAATATAGTGTTTTCCACACGAGCATGCATACGTATTACGTACAGACGTATCTGTGCGTCTCTGCACTTACATATCATACGTACACTGCGCGCAGAGTCCGCGTGTAATGAATGGCACACGCGGCGGCGTCTGTCAACATGCCAACCTTTGTGACGCCGACTTCTCGGTCTCTTTTGGCAGTGGCCAGATTTGGATTCGGCGGAGCCCGACATATGCTTCTACACTAGTCGGCATATATATTTTGACAAAATAAAAGTGAAATATACTCGAAACCTGAACTTGCTTCTTTTAACTTTTGGTATCAATGGAAAGGTAATTCAAATGCCGTTTGAATGATACCATACTTTTCTTAACTCATTCGATATTTATTGAAAAAGTCAATTTAAAAAAAAATTAAAAAATAATTTTTTTAAACTTTTCCCTCGGCTTCAAAACTAAAATTTTTGGATGCAACAAGTTTCTTTAATCAAAAATAATAGGAACTGCAAAAAGAATTTTGCAAAAATAATTTTTCTTCTATTTTTAATGATTTTTTGAAGGTGACAATGTCGGAAAAAGTTTGTATGGAATAGAGAAAAATATGGCTGAAATGCGTATTTCTAGTCATTTTCAAAAAATCATTAAAAATAGAAGAAAAATTATTTTTGCAAAATTCTTTTTGCAGTTCCTATTATTTTTGATTAAAGAAACTTGTTGCATCCAAAAATTTTAGTTTTGAAGCCGAGGGAAAAAGTTAAAAAAAATTATTTTTTAATTTTTTTTTAAAATTGACTTTTTCAATAAATATCGAATGAGTTAAGAAAAGTATGGTATCATTCAAACGGCATTTGAATTACCTTTCCATTGATACCAAAAGTTAAAAGAAGCAAGTTCAAGTTTCGAGTATATTTCACTTTGATTATTGTCAAAATATATATGCCGACTAGTGTATATACGTAAAATATGTGCACATACATTCGTATATATAGGGCTATAGAAGCGCTCGAACAAATCATGTGATTGTCGGTAATTGCTATTCTAGTTACAACAGCAATGACAACCTTGATGTGCTAATAAATATTATTTTCCTATGAAAAGCTCTCAGCACAAAGACTTTTGAAGAGACAAGTTAAAAATTAAAGTAGAAATGGGCATCAGCTTGCCAAAGCTACTATCCATTTGCAGTCAAACGATAATTTTTTTAATAATTACATTTTAGGTGCACATATCATCTTAAATAAATGTTCAGTTCAATATTTCTCTGACTGTTTGAATCTCGATTTTAATTTTTAAATCCTTTTTTAATATTTTGTTTAGTCACAACTGAATATCTAATAATCTGTTTCTATATATTTTCTACAATAATGACTTATTTGCCAGATTTTCATTCGAAGTCAAATCTATACCCATCCGCACCGCAAAAAAAAGAATACAATATAATCAGGAACTGACCGACAGACACACATGTCTTGACCGAAAGAGCAGTTGATGTTCATAAAGAATTTGTATACTAAAAAAAACGGAGGAACTGTGTCCTTTACATAAGTACATTGTCTGAAAATGTGTTTCATATAATATTTACAGACATACATATAATATATAGTATATTTGTAAGCGACAAAACAATCAAAATTTTGGATCCCAATTAATTAAAACTAACTTTCTCTGTACTTTTTTATTTGCTTATCGAATCCAATACGATCTAGACGAATCCGCTTTTATTTTTATCAGTTGGTTTTCATAATCCAGGAATAACAAGAAATTTCTGAGCACATACGTTCGACTTAAATGGGTTGTTTTAATTGAGGTGATAACTCAAAAATTTCTACGTTGTTCTTCAAGTTAGTTAATTGTGAGGCAATTCGGCGAGGTTATACGTGTTGGGCGATAAGTTTTATAGCACCCACATTTAGGTTGAGTTGACGCTGACCTAGGCTATCGAATTTGGGTTATTGGTCTGATTACTATATTGTGGGCTCTAAAACACAAGTTTAACCTGGGAAAACCGTAATGAAAGTGCGCGTTGTCAAGAGTCTAGATAAAATTCTGGGATTGACAAGCGGGCTGAAGTTAAATACATTTTTTTAAATTGTTTGCTTTGATTGTACAAACGAATGACTCGAAACAGAAGAGTAAATTGACCTAATGTAATTTGACTGGCTGCCTTTACGTTTTAATTGAAAGAGTTAAGCAAATTGATTGAGCCGTGGGGTGGAGGCAAGGACTGCAGTTCACCTTGAATCGAATTGAGTTTGCTTCGCTCAATCGCTTTCAGTACTGCCCATTAGTGTGTCAAGCTAACGAAGTTTGTTCTGGAAACGGTTTGTCCAAGAAGGAGAAAATCAATAACAAATGCTGGCATCCATTATCCTTCGATCCCTGCACTTTTATGGCACTTAGGGAAATCCCCCCGAGAGCTTGGCCTCGACATCGAAAGGTTGGAAAATAAAATATTCTTTGGCCCATTTGGCCAGCAAAAGCGTCGGTTGAGATGGGTTTCATGTGTTCTCGGTTTACCGACATCTGAGGTCGCTCTCCCCTTTCGCCTTCCGCTTAATTGATATCTGTAATTGATAGTGGGTTCTGCTCAGTCCCCTTCTCCCAAAACAATTCTGGTGGCGGTTGTTAATTGATTTGCGGTTTTGCAGTTTTGTTGGCGTGGTTTTAATATCATTGCTCGACTTTATGGGTGCGAACTGCGTATGCAGTGACTGGGGATGATTTCACTCTTTAACTATAGAAAACTATGCTTAATAAGAGACGGAATTTTAATCAAAATATTGTTGATTATAACACGGTTTTTTGCTTATTCGTGTTTTACTAGTATATTTGTGCTGAAAGAGCAAAAAAGTCGGACAGTTTTAAACTTGTTTGACACATTCACTTGGAAACTTGACAGGAACGCCACCGCAAAAAGCCACAAAGGAGGCCACTGGTTACATTTACCAAGTACAGGCGAACATGCGGACAGGTGTCGCCGTGGACTGGCACACACTTTCGGCGTCCTTTCATGTTTTATATTTACTTTTTTCAGGACCCGGACGGAGGAAAACAAATGGTAACAATAAACTGCAGGCGCAGCAAAGTCTGCTCTCAAAAAGTTATGGCCTACGTATGTATAAATAAAAAACGAACATGGCCGCTGCATTTTCACACTTTCACACTTGCAGGCACACATGGCCATAAGTTTATGATCTTGTTTAAAGGATTATTATGATTTCCGCCTTCAACTTGACAAACTTTGCGGTCGTACAAGCGAAGAAAGTCCCTGTATTGATTTTTTCCTTGCTTAAGGATTTTTTTTCGTTCAGGGTTGTGTGCTTCTAATTGAAAACAAGAAAGGAAGCTACCTTTGTCAAGCCGAAGCTTATATACCCTTGCAGACATTAAATATGTCGAACAAAATACATAAAGGCTAAACAAAATCGAAGCTATGACTATTTTCTAATATTTTTAAATATTTTTGACGGTTGTTCATATGATATTATAGTTAGATTTTTATGAAATTTAAATTGAAATTCAAAAGTCGTTAAAAAGTCTAAATTAGAGAAATCATGATTGTCGGATGAAAAACAACGATGTTATCATTTTATTTCCGATAATTCTATATAAATTTTTCGGTCTTTCTTTTTTCTTTTATCCGATTTTGATAAAATGTAATTTAAAAATTCAATAGTAGTTAGAAAACTCCATCTGGAAGAAATCAAGTCGATTTGATCAAAACCAACGTGTGAATTTTTTTTTTCACCCGATCCGGTCCGTTACGAATTACTGCGTGCAATAACTATACAACTTTTGGTAAAGTTTCAGCAAGATAGCTTTAAAATTGGGAGACATACCAGACATACCAGTCGTATTTCGACTCAGATTGTGATGCTGATCAAGAATATATACATGTACTTTATGGGGCCTGATGTGTCTCCTTCACTGCGTTGCAAACTTCTGACTGAAATTATAATACTCTTTGCTCTGCAAGAGTATAATACGTATAAGCCTGCGATGGTATGCGAGATGATAAACCTGGCAATATTTGTTATCTTGTATTTTCTGTGGTCAAAAGTTCGATCAAAGTGTCTGATTGTATTAAATAACTAATGGTTTTACTATTCAGGTAATTTTAAAAAGGTGAAGAAATTGTACTGATTAAATAAAAAAAAAATATATATAAGAAATAAAAAACATTTTTATTCCTTACCCTATATTACTTAAAATTTCTACAAAAATCAATGATATCACCTTGGAATGTAAGATAGACAGACATAAATTAAGTGTGCAGTATATTAAGTTAAATTTGAAATGCTTTCGGAAGAGAAAAATAACAAATGAATCTTGAACAATGTCCAGATCTAATTTAAAAAGGTCCCCCTGGACAAATCTGAAACGTAATTTCCTTGGATTTCTTAGCACATTAGATTCGGTTTTGCTGAGAATAAAAGAAAACACAAACAAATCGGACCAATACAAAAGCCTTTGTTTCGCCACTCACTCTGCTGCTCTTTCAGTTGTTTATGCAGGCCTTAAAAAAGGGCAACTTGGCAAAAAACGGACATTTTGCTATGCGTGTGAGCAACTTCAAGGCCGGGGGTGATTTTTATTTCTAATTTCTGCTCTTGACACGGCTCTAGAGTGAAGCCCGAAAGGTTGAATGTGAAATGCAATATGCAAACACAAATGCAAATTAGAATTAAAATTCACCCACTGAAGTTTAGAGTTAGGAGGAATGAATTCGCATTTAAAAAGACTTGCAAATCTAAGTTAAATGAATGAATTATTCATAATCGACTCAGAAATAATTAATCTACAATTTTCATTAATTAATCAACCATCAATCAAGACCAGCTGTAGTCTGCTGATACTCATATACTATCAGGGAATAATAAATGGGTTTCAGCACAGTTGATTGGGCAGATAAGTTTACCCAGAGGCCTTTTTCCCAGCAAAGGGCGGAAGAGGAGGTGACAAGGTCGTTCGAGGAGCACATGATGTAATTACGAAAATTCCGCTCTGCGCCCGATTTGCAAACGGAATCTTAGCGTCACGCAGTCTGTGACTTGGTCGGTGGATGGGAATTGTGTTTATGCCCTTTTCCAAGTTCTGTGACATTTGTTTTTGCGGATCATGTGACAGCTGGCAGCAAATGCACTTTGGCTGCTCCTAATTGCTCCACTTACGCGTAATAGGTTCTGGTGTCGATAAAATCGTTCCTTTGTCAGCTTTTTGTTCGATATCTCGACTCCGCTGAACCAGAGTCCAATGAACAAACCGCCACTGTCTATGGTCAAGCTATCAATTTAGCGCAGCTCTGCTTAGAAATCACTTGTTGGCACTTCCTTCTTCCCTCGCGTTCGAAATTGGACTGAAGGAACAGCGATTTCGCTCCCTTCTCAGCGTCTTCGGTCTCCCTCGCTCGCCTCCTCTGTCTCCCTCGCACCTCATGTACACACATACATACGTACATGTGTGCATCGGGAGTTTTTAATTCCAAGTGTTTTTAATTCCCACCACTAAAACTTCTTGGGCTCTGCCCTTTGTGTTCCTTCGACGCAATGGAAATTTACCAGTTGACACCATTAGATGCCGTCGCATGTCTTCAGTTTTTGTTAGGTCAAATCCGCTTTTCTACTTTATGCATGTTTTCATTATGAGCTGCGTCAGCGGAAATACTCCCGAAATTGAACCATATATGTATGTACAAATGGGCATCAGGGCACTAAAAGTACAATTTTTTCAGTTCCACATTTGAACAGTAATATAGTATTGCTAAATTAGTTGGATTGCTTCGCTCTAAAATAAAACCCAACTTTACGATAATTAATGAAAGTCCTAACTACGTGTTTCAAAAACCTAAACCCCAATTCAGGGGTTAACCACGCAAGATGAATGCCTTAATTGCATGCTAAACTCATTTGAAGGTTACGTTCTGAACGGATGAAAAGTAATAAATATGCAAGTGGGGGTGCATTCAGTGGAGGAATATAAAGTCGCTATTCATCAAGTGCGGCAGAATAAATAAATAAAGGGCAACTTTGTTGCTTTGCCACATTCCCATATTATACGCTTTTAATGTCAAACAGCCAGTGATAAACTTTGATTCGTTTGGCGCAATGTTTGAATTTGTCCCCTGGGTAGAAAAGATCAAAAAGCAGATAAGATAAACTTGGACAATAAAAGTTAGTTGCTCGAAAACAAGCGCCTATTTTTATTGTTCGAAACGTTACAGTGCATTAAACATAGCGCTAATAAGCACGTGGATTGGAAATGTTTCGACTCGATCCTATGTAAATGAGGAAAGTAAATTTGGTTTTGAAATTCAGCGAGCTTCTGTGAATATGAAAATGTTCATGATTTGCCTAGACCAATTTGGATATTAATTAAGTCATTGTGAGCTAATGTGAGTACAGTGGAACTAATGAAGCGTCTTTAGAGCAATTAGCATTGTTAACACAGTTGTGGTACAATTCGCTGAGGCGACATGTGTACATATGACTATGGAAAACCGGTTCTGAGGTTTCATTTCGGTTCAGTCTCACACGCACTAACAATCAGCTGTTAGATTCCCCGTCGCTCACTGCTGACACAGATTATCCGGCAGAACGGATAAACGCAAAACGAAATGACAATAATAAATGCACAAAGGTCTTACCGGTTTTATCAGCTGCTAACGCAGTTGTTTTCGGGATTTTGCCATTAGTTTCGACTGCCTGCTCCAAACATTTTGATCGCCCGAGGGTCAATGGCTTCTAAACAACACATCTAGACACATTACTGCTGCGAAATGCATAAAAATCAAGAACCGCGAGCTCAAGGACGACAGCCAAGAGAATGGTTTTCGATTACAGTAAATCAAATTTGCAGAACGACAAAAAGAACCGAAAATCGAAGCCAAAAAAGCGTCTGCATACATTCATGTATGCATGTATGTATGTCAAGGCACTCTATCTAATATCTTCAGATACACAGTAAAAAAGCATGAAACGTTCGTTTATTTGATTTTCGGTTGAAGCTTGAAATATAAGGTGCTTTAGAAACACTAACATATGTTTAAAAATAAACACGAGTGCTCAAAACTTATGGATAAATGTAGAAAAACGACTTTCATCCCTGACAGTTCTGGAACCTACTCTTTTCGTTCAAGATGTTTTTTATTGAAACCGGAATTTTAATGTATGCGGAGATTTACAATCTTTATATAAACTGTTAATTGAAGTTTCAGGGACAAAATATAACTCTGTTTGTGGCTTTGAGGTGGCTTTGAACCTGAGGTGCTTTCTGCTGCACATAAGTGCACAAGTAATCCAAACTACTGGATCTCAGAGGGGGTGCTGGGCTGGTTGGATGGTGCCGAAGACAAAGGCAATAAAAGCCAAATGGCTGGAGCAGCAAAATGGCGGCGCGTGTGTGACAAGCGAGAAAGCCCGAAACTGTGCTACAGCCACTGCGGTTTACCAGCATCTCGTCTCGCATTCGTCCTTCAAGCCACCCACTCCAGCCCAACCCAGCAGCTTATGTAAATGGAGCAGTGTGGACGGGAGAGGCGTCGAGGAAAGTGGGGAAGCCAACTTTTAAGATTTTCTTTTGAAATCCTCTCTATTGCATTGTGTATATATTAGGATGCGGTTACTAATTGATTATCCATTTGCCATTCATTCAGTGAATACCCCACTTACAAAACAAATACATGAAAAGATAACGAATCCACAAACAACTCACTTACTTTGTTGGTCTTATCTGGCTGTTGAGTCACTGCACGCAGCAGTTAATGCCAACTGCATAAGTGACACTTTTAGCTTTCAAGCAAAACAATGAACAACTTATGAAAGAGCGTATGGCTGCTTGTTTCTTCGCCAACAAAAAATATAAATTCAAGAGTCGTGCCAAAACGAGTCCAAAATAACCGACCTATAAATAGTCCCCGTTCGATCATAGACGCAAAAGGTTGTGGAAAACAACGAAAATAAATAAAAAATTGTTAACTCATCACAGCCAAGACAGAAGCCAAAACAAATAATATTTTATCACAAATGCACATACATAGGTACTGTTATGGGGCAGAAATTAAGAATTTTCGAGTGGGAACTACGCATTTGCGTTGGGATAGATAAAAATAATTTTCACTGAATATAAACAGGGTCAACGAAATATAAAACAAACTTTGTTTGTTTGCCACTTACTCGTTGTCTCTGCGGTAATTGTTGGGCTCGGGGTTCCTGGGCTAAGTTACAACCATAGCTGGATCTTGGTCCTTTGTCATTGCAATATCTTACATTATAGGCTGAATAATAAATTGATTGTAGTTGTTGTGCAGGCGAGTCTTTAAATAAACCAAATAAGCTCGCTCTCTCTTTTATTTCTTCTTCAGTGTTTCCCTTTGTCGATTTTGTTAGCTTTTTGCTTTATGAATTTCTGCCGCCCAAGTGTTTCCACTTTTGCACAGTGGGGTGGATTTGCCTCAGCTCTGACCCGAGTCAGCTGTTCCTCTGAATTTAAATTCGTTTTGGGGTGGCACTCGGAAATATTAAATGCCAATAGCTCTGCTGGGTTGGTTGAGGTTCGGAATTGCGCAAGCTTCTAGGGTTTTGTGGAAAGTTTTGGTCTAACGGCCATAAACGACTTCGCCCTGCGATATCGCCCACTATGCGGGAGTTTCGATTTTTTCCGGGGGAGGTGGGGCAATGACAACACCGCTGGGCGGCACAAGTTCACCAAAAAATGTGGGGCGACCGGAGGTCGTATAAACAAAAGCACAGTGCACTCGAAGGCGGAAATCACGGAAATAAGTGCTCCGAATCCACGCCGGAATCGGTTTGGAACTCTCAATGCGCCCAGTTGAAAATTTCTAATTGATTACTTAACGCGTTCTGACGAGAGCAAAAAAGCAATCACGGCTGCCTTATAAAAAATTCCGAAAAATCGAATTGCCACCACAAACACTGCACCGTCCGCACTCCAATTGGAACACCGTTGCTATGACCAGTGCTGCCAGATGGTGAAATGAGCTTCCTCCCTAATTCCGTTAACCAATGGATTGCCTAAAAAATACCGTTTTCCTGAGCACGCGTTTTCGTCCACCTAGTCAAACAATGGTTATAATCTCGGATTGACAGTTTTATAACAGAAAGTTTAAGACAAATTCCACATAAGTTCCACCTCTTATTTGAATTTAACCGCCAACATTGGTAACAAAAAGTATTGTTGCGCAGGCTGTTGCTGCGGCTGTGTTTGTAAAAAAATCATTAGGCTATAGTAATCCAAAAGCAAAAAAAAAACTCCTTATTAAAAAAGGACAATTAAGGATCGGCTATAAAAAACATCATAAAAATCTAAATTCTTTTTATTTTCTTTCTAATTACTGAGAAATTTTTAATTATTCTTTTGCGAAATTTAAATTTAAGTAACAGCTGAATTATTTGGTCACTGTTTTTATTAAAATATATTTTATTATAATATTCTAAAAAAGGAAAAATTACTATGAATTAGTTAAAAATTTGTTCTCATTGGTTAATCGGATCAGATTCTGCGGCTAATAGGTAGCCTTCCTCCATTGCGATTCGTTGAATAAGATGACAGCTTTATAAAATAGATAGGATGTTGAGTCTGATAAAGACTAAGTATACTTCATAGGGTCGAAAATATTTGCTTCTAGTTTCTGCAATGCAGGAGTGTCGGAACGAATCCTAGGAACAAGTCAGGCTGTCATCGCCCTCCGCTTCGTCCGCTGAAACAAAATACTCTTATTAATAATCTTTCCCCAACAGGTAAAATCCGCCTGGTTTGCCACAAGGGTCGCGCAGAGGATCTTGGATGGCTTAGAAGCTCAATCACTTACAAAGAATCTGCAGGCCAAACATCAGGGCGAATCCCGCGACTGCAGCGAGAAGGGCTCGCCAGCCCGCGTGGCTCTCGGTGAGGATCTCAAAGAAGACCACGTACAGAAGGGTTCCGCAGGCGATGCCCTGGAGGACTCCGGAGGGCAGACTGGGCTGACCCGCCGCCACCTGCTGGCTGATGCCCAGGCCCACCCCGATGCCGATCGGCGTGACGATGGAGAAGGTCACCAGGTAGACGATGGCCAGCGAGCTGCGAGTGCGGGCCACCAGGAGCTCCATGCCCACGCAGAAGGCCAGCACCAGCTTGTGGGCGGCCACCGCTCCGAACATGAACCACACCGTGCTCACACTCATCTCCAGTCCGATGGCCATGCCCTCGAACAGTTCGTGCAGGGAGAGGGCCAGGATGATGCCCAGGCCCCTGGCCGAGGATCCCCCGCCGGAAGGCACGGGCATGTGCGAGTGGCCGTGATGATCCTTCGGCGGCTGGGGCTCCACCTTTACCACCGGTTCCGCCGCCTTTACTGGGGGATTGACCAGGACACTGCGCCGGATGCTGCGGCCCCTTTCGAAGGCCAGACTGGCCACCGACTCCTTCCGGCTGAGCCTTTCCTGGTGGCGCCGCACGAAGTTGGTCATCAGCTCGTCGAGGCCGTACATCAGGAAGAAGCCCGTGCAGAGCAGCATCTCCGGCAGAGCGAAGGGCGTTGCGGCGAGGGACCCGCACTCCTGCAGGGCGTCCACCACCTCGATCACCTCGGGCAGCATGTGCAGGAAGGTGGTGCAGATGAGCACGCCTCCGCCGAAGAAGAGCAGGCACCGCACCGCCGTCGACGAGCGGGTCTCCTCCGGACTCTGCTTGGTCCACTGGAACCACCTGTTGAGCACGTAGGGCAGGCTGCCGCACAGCACTGTGACCACCACGAGCACCACCATGGCGACTATCTTGGCCACCAGCAGTGCCTGGCGATTGCCTTCCTGCATGTCTGCTGCACCGCTCATCCTTACTCCTCGAACTGCGAGAGTCGACTGAGCTGTCCGGTACTCACCACCAGACCCTGGGTTTATATCGCGGCCATATATCAGCGGGGGTGATTGAAATCTGATCGCTGATTGATACGCGGATTCACGGCGCAGAACAGCCAGACAACGGCCCACCGCCGCTGCTTAGGAATGGTTATCTCCCTCGAAGTCCCGCAGACAGGTGGCTTTCACAGAGTTCCCCGATAACCAACCTGCAGTTCTCTGCGATTTGGTGTTTGGAAGGAGTTGTGTAATGAGTGGGAATTCGAAAGTATTGCCCTAATCGTTTTATCTATAACTTATTTGGTACACTGAGAATAGTTGTTTTAATCATTAAATGGGGGTTATCTTTTCCGATTCGCTATCGGTTAAATAACTACTTGCCCTTAAGGCTTTTTTAAGAAAGTAATCCTTATTATGTTTGAGTCGTTTTATTATTTTACTACACAGTTTTGTTTTTGCGTTTCATCACATCACGATTTCATGCTAAGTTTTTTACGCGAATAAAATAAACTAGCTTCTTGAATATTTGAGCATTCCTTAGGGGCACGTGAAGTGGCTCTTGCCTTTGGCCTCCCCAACTGAAATGTTTAAAGAAGTTATTGAGTTGAACACCGGGGAGTGTGGGAACATACTTGCTATTTGCAGGCCAAACATCAGGACGAATCCCACCACGGACGAGAGCAGAACCCGCAGTCCGGCGTGGTTCTTGGCCACAATTTCGAAGAAGACCACGTAGATCAGAGTGCCGCACGCCAGCCCCTGCAGGATTCCAGAGACGGTGCTCGGCTGGTTGGCGGCGGAGGACTCGCTGACCGCGATCCCGATGCCCACGCCAATGGGGGTAACCACCGAGAAGACCAGCAGGTAGACCACGGCCAGCAGCCAGCGGGTGTGGGCCATCATGATCTCCATGCCGATGCAGAAGGCCAGCACCAGTTTGTGGACGGCTATGGCGCCGGTCATGAACCACACCGTGCTCACACTCATCTCCAGTCCGATGGCCATTCCGCCGAAGAGCTCGTGCAGCGAGAGGGCCACGATGATGCCCAGGCCACGCAGCCAGTTGGGCTCCTTGGGCGCCTCCGCGGGCTGGATCACGACCTCCTCCGCTTGGGCATTCATCGCCTTGTCCTCCACCACTACGACCACCTCCCGGAGCTTCCTCTGCTGCCGCCGACGCACCACGAAGTGCATTGTCTCCTCGATGCAGTACATCAGGTAGAAGCCGGTGCAGAGCAGCACCTCCGGCAGGCCGAACGGAGTGGGCACCAGCATCCGGCAGTCCTGCAGGGCACTCACCACCTCCACCACCTCGGGCAGCATGTGGATGAAGGTGGTGGCTATCAACACTCCGCCGCCGAAGTTGAGCAGGCACAGCACCACCTTGAACTCGCGGGCATTGCTCTCCGGTCGCTGCGTCCACTTGTAGAAGCGATCCAGGAGGTAGGGGATGAAGCAGAAGATCAGGGTCACCAGCAGCAGCACCACTATGGCCACGATCTTGGCCACCATCAAGTGTTGGTCTGCCATCGCTGTCGAAGCAACTGGCCCGACATCCACCCGGTCACTTTTATATGATACCTATACTTGATATCTAGTTGAAGATATCAGCGAATTGCCGAATGTGTACTTATATTAAGGACTTAGAGTAGGTCTTAGGCTGAAAGTGGGGGTACAATTCAGGCATGATATCTTTGGGAACATTATCTCCCTTTGCTTTTATCCAGCATTAGCATTTCAGCGGAAGTTATCGTACTGAAATTTCAGCTGGCGAAAACAAGTAATTAATTGTCAAAGCCCTGTGTACCCGGGAATCTATTCGTTATCTTTAGGTGAGGCCACCGCTCTGAATTAACTTATCTGGTAAAGTTTTCACACTGAAAATTCAGCTGGCGATCACAAATAATTTGCGATGTCATTAGATTACGCTCCTGAAATGAGGTCACCTTTCTGAATTAGACCGTCAGGAAAAGTTTTCGGACTGAAAATTCAGCTGGTGAAAAAATAATTAGTTGCCAACGCTAGTCAAAGCCTTATGTACCCAGGAATCTATGCGCTATCATCGGTTGAGTCCGACAGTTTCTCCTGATAACTTCGAAACTGAATTGTAGGTGCCAAATGCTCAATACTAACACAGCTTGTGAGTCAGATTAAGTACTCGAGGTGGCTATCTGATAGGTTGATCGGGGGAAATAAATCATTTCTGGAGTATCTTTTAACAATGTATTGAAAATAATGGTAGTAAATGTTTTTCAATGCAAATGGATAAATGTGTGTTCTGAATTTGTTACTTATTTGATAGACAACTATAAATAATTTAGTATTTATTTGGATTGAAAAATAAATTCCTCGAATTTTCGACTATTGTTCATATGGCAGCTATATAATATATGTAGTTGTGCGATTTTGATAAAATTTAATTCGTAATTCAAGAGTTGTCAGAAAAATCTATATTCCTAAAATGGTGCTTGTCTGATGAAAAACAACGATGTTATAATTTTATTTCAGTTATATTTTGAAATTCTTGCTCATGGGATTAAAAACAACGACGTTAAATATTTTTTGTTTTATTTATTTATATATTTTTTGATCTTTCCTATGGCAGCTATATGATAGAGTTATCCGATTTTGATAAAATTTAATCCGAAATTCAATAATAGTTAAAAACGCAATCTGGAAATCAAAAACAAGAGCGTGAGAACTTTTTATTTCATTCGGCCGATCCGTTCCAACTTATATTCAGCGTGCAATAACTACACAACTTTTGGTAAAGTTTCAGCAAGAAAGCTTTAAAACTGAGAGACTAGTAGTTTGAAGAGAAACGGACAGACAGACAGACGGACAGATGGACAGTTGGACAGACGTATTTCGATTCAGATGGTGATGCTGGTCAAGAATATATATACTTTATGAGGTAGGCCTGAGGTGCCTTCTTCACTGCGTTGCAAACTTCTGACAGCAATTATAATACCCTTTTGCTCTGCCAGGTTATAAAACTTAAAAACTCAATAAAAAGCCTTCCCAAACAGACAAACACAAGCACTCATCAAAAAAGAGTTTTTTTAACTTCCCAAATTCCTATAACTTCCTGTTCATGCAAACATTTTTTTAAACCAGCAAACAGGAAAACATATTGTTTGTATTAAATAGGCTTTTAATACCTCTAACAAACCAGTATGAGTAGTTATACTATTTTGTTGCCTATTATTCATTACTGTCTTTAAAAAACAGATAAGCCGCTTCGTCGACTTAGACGAGAGACGACACCTCTACATATTTCTCGGATTGAAAGTAAATTGTACGTACATCATCCAATAGTTTATTAATTATAATAGGCCGTAAATGTTTTACTGTAAAAATTATCATTGGCATTTATTACACATTATTATGGCGTTTAAATTTAACTTTAAAGTAATTACTATGACTTGAGAGTGTTGTTCTTTAATTGATTTTCATGACGTACACGGGTGTAGAGACAAATGATTTTTCTATAAATGTGAGTATGCTATATATGAGGATTGATACACTTGGAAGTATCAGAGTTTATTGAGACACTTCGAAAACAATGGATCGTCATTAGCTGGGGGCCCATCTCGTCCCACCGAGCACGGTGTTTAATCGCCGTCTAATTTAGACGATTATGATGATAGTTAATGTACAGAGATGTGCGTGTGTGATTGTGGTTGGGGTTATCCTTTCAAGTTGGTTAGCTCGTTGTTTGTGTCCCCTGTCGAAAGCCCTCCATTGCAGTTGATAGCCATGGTGCAACCTGGTCCAGCGCTTGCTTCCAGTTTCCTCCGGGTAACCAACTCACGACTGTTTCGGGTGCTGGACAGGAGGAGGAGGCGCCGGCTTGAAGCACTGCAGCAGGAAGGCCGTGTAGACCACGAAGGCCACCGCCAGGGCAATCAGGGCGTACATGAAGATGTTCAGCTCTGGCTGGCGGAAGCGGTTCTTGCGCAGCCACTCCAGCACCTCGTCCTCGGACAGCAGATCGCCTGCAAAGACATTTCGCCATTACAATCCTAACCCTTATGGGCAAATCTCAGACTTACCTCTGTATATGCTGGGGAAGCGTCGCCGGAAGTAGACCATTGCCGGCAGCTTTGTGACGCCCCACTTCTTGGCATATCGGGAATCGGCCATCTTCACAAAGGTTATGTCCAGATTGTCCGTCTCGCTGTCAATATTCTCGAGCTTCTCCAGAGCTGCAGTGCTGTCCGGCTGGTTGTGCTCATCTACGTCGGAATTTAAACCTAATAAGAGTAACTTGGAAAATCATTTCATTTACTCACAGAAGAACACGGCCAAGAACTCATTCTCCTCGAGCAGTTTGTCCAGCATTTTCCGGTTGACCTCTTCTATTTCGTTTTTGATTTCGAACACATCTTGTGACGTGAGCCAGGTTATAACCTTGTCGTGTTGGTGCATATCTCCATCATAGAGGACGGGCACTTGTTTTCTAAAATAACGCAGAGTTACAAAAATGGTCTATATAAGTTTTATGTAGGAACGCACCGGAAATACACCAGTGAAGGTATATTGACAATTTCGTATTTCTTGGCCGCCTGAATGCTGGCAATCTTAACAAAATCAATGCCAAACATATCGGCTTCGCCATCGATCTCCTCCAGCTCCTCCAGAATCTCCTCGCACTCGGCACAGTCGTCGTCATCTAAATTTCGGGTATTTAGATGTTGATTTTTTTACTTGCTTGAAAGAATTTACTCACAAAAGAACACCACCAGCAGGGTGGACTCGGCCATCAGACGATCCAGCATTCGCTCGTTGACCTCCTCGATTTCATCGGCCAACTCGCGATTGTCGTCATCGATGAGCCATTCCAAAACAGACTGTTCGTTTTGCAGATCGCCCTCAAACAGCAAGGGATTTCCATTTCTGCAAAGAATTCCAGTTAAGGTAAGAGCTTATTCTAATCTTTGAAATCAAGGCTTACCTGAAATAAACCAAAGCCGGGAAGGTTTTGATCGAATAGCGCTTGGCCAGCTGCGGATCTTGGATCTTGACCATGTGAATGCCGAACACGTCGCATTCGTCGTCGATCAGCTCCAAGCCTTCCAATATCTGGTCGCAAATGTTGCAGTTGATTTTGTCTGGCAAAACAATAGTTTGATCAGTTAACCAACCGAAAGGAGTAGTAGAAACTTAGTGGCAAGCTTAAGAATCGGTTAGCGGTAGTGTGAGAGGCAAAGAAAACGCCGTAACAAAAAGGTATTCCCGTCCAAACTAAATTCCAGTGAATTCCAGCAAGTCCGAAGTGAAATACGATTCGTTTTGAACTCCAATCGGTTGGCATGAAGAAATCCGATTTAGTTTGGTCGTAATACGTGGCGGCCTGGTTTAGTGCAGTCAAGAATCGGTTCTGGACATAGAACAGAGCTCCTACGAGGGTTAGACGTGGTTAGAGCTCAATCGAACATGCGCATTCGGAGCTGGGAGTTGCTTATTGGGCACATGGAATACGGAAGGAATACCTTGTTTTTCGATACGTTTTCTTTTACGTGAGATGTAGTTTTGTACGAATTGGCTGGATGAGTGTTTTGTGGTTTTGGTGGTGGTCAGGTTGCTTTCTTTAAGACTAGAGGGGGAGCAGAAACTGCGGCAGAAAGCGGGTTGCTTCCCATTGCGCTCTGGTGGCACTGAGGTCGGATCGGTTCAGGTGTCAGGGATAAGTTTTGGTGGTTTATGTTCGATGCGGTTTGGGGCGGGGATACAACAATTCAGAATGGGTGAGATCATGAGAACGGTTGTGCGGCAACGGTTGTGCGGCCTTCTGGAGATACTCACAGAAGTAGACGGCCAGGTACTGGGTCTCCTCCACCATGGTCTCCAGCATTTGGCGGGTGATGAGCTCGATGCGATCCTCGGTCTTCTGGGTGATCAGCCACTGGAGCACCTCCTCTTCCTCGCTGAGTTCACCTGCAATGCGTGAGATTAGTGAGGTCGACTTCACCGGGCTCAACTGCTGCCTCACCCTCGAAGACGTTGGGTATTCCTCCCTCGAAGTAGACAAGAGCCGGATACTCGTGCACGCCGTAGCCATCGGCCACGGAGAAGTCCCTTGTCTTCACGAAGGTTATGCCGTGCTTGTCGCAGTCGTCGTCGATGTTCTCCAGCTCCTCCAGGACCTTGGTGCATTGCTCGCAGCCATCCGCATCTGGTTGTCAAAGGTTCGGGTTGGGGAATATCTAATTATTCAACGGGCACTGTACACGAGGTGGACAATACAGGGTACTACAGCAAGCACTACACGAATGTGGACTAAAGCACAGCAAAAGTTGAGGGGTCATGAGATATAGTACATTTCTTAAGTCCCGACTCCACTGATGAGCTCACAGGGAACTGATGGTGCCGTCAAGCTCGTCAGTGGTACCAGGATCTGTGGTTGTCAATGAATCAGGCTAGTACACAACAGAACAGGGAAAGAATCTAATCAGGAACTGGAATAGAACATCTAACGTTGAGCATACAAGAAGGTTTCGGGTACGACAGAGATATAGAGAAAGAGTCAGAGCAACAGAGAGATAGAGCGAGTTTCGGGGGGAGATTCTGGATACATTCTCTATACAGGGGAAGTGTGTGCAGTGTGTGGGTGGTGCTTTGGTTTCTGGTGTGCTGGGTTGGTTGTGTGGTTAGACATTCTGGGACTCATTCCAGTTGCACGAGATCTATGAAGAAAGTGTGGCTACCATCGTCTTGTTTGACCGCAGGCGCATCCTGTGGAGCGGCCGCAGGACCAGGCGCCACTTCGCCCTCAGCACCTGCCGCCGGCGCATCCTCGGCCCCCCCGGCGGCCGCCTCGGAGGGATCTGCCTCACTGCCGAAGGCGGCGGCGGCACTGGCTGCTCCGCCCTCCTGCTGGTGCTGATCGCGCTCCTTTTTCAGACGCGCTTTGCGCGCCGCCTTCGAATTGCAAATGTCGCACTTGGTCTTGTTCCCTACGTTTGGGTTCGATTGTGTGGTTCGGTTCGAGATTCAGAGAGCAGAGTCGCCGATAGAAATATAGATAAAGTCTTCTTGGTTAGATACAGAGAGCGCTGTTAAGAGGCTTAGTCTAACTTGTCTGGTTGGTTAACTACAGTACACAAAGTTGCTGCAAACTGTTTGCGCAAAAGCGTGATAATCAATTCGGTAAAGTACGAAAATGGCAAAAAGACAATAGTTAACAGCTTACAAAAGACTAACCCAAGTTGTTCATTTCGTTTTCAGATTAAAAATAGCTGTTTTTAGACAAATATAGTATGTTCGAATTGAGGAAAGACTTTGACAAAACACTAAGCACGTAAGACAAAATGGAAGCGAACAATAGTACTTTAAAAGAATTGATATCACCAAACCGATTGCAGCAGATAAAACCTTATTCCTCAGAGATATTCAGAATTCGTCAGTTAATCAGAGGGCGCTTCCTGCTGCAGACTTACAGAAGTAGACGGCTATGGAGCCAGACTCCTCGATCAGGTGAACGAGTCTGTCGCCTTCGAGATCTTCGATAACATCTCCACTTGGATCCTTTTGCGTGATCAGCCAAGTGAGGATCTGTTCTTCTTCGTAAAGATCACCTGGAAGAGAGCGAATTAAACATTGGGACTCTCACGGGGAAAAGCACTCCTACCGGCGTATATAACTGGCTCCTTGGAAGTGGGTTTGAAGAAGACAATGGCCGGCAGAGCGAACACTCCGTACTCCTTGGCCATCTGCTTGTCGTCGATCTTGACAAAGTCAATGCCCGCCTTGTCCGCCTCGTCGTCAATGTGCTCCACTTCGGCGAGGACCCGGGGACACTGCTTGCACTCATCGCTATCTGAAGTTGGGTTAAAGGTAGACGGTTAGTCACAACCAAAAACCGATTCGTTCTGGATCTGGATCTCACAGAATATCACCGCCACGTAGTCGGAGTTCTTGCGGATCTTCTCGAACATCTTGCGGTTGACCTGCTCGATGTGGTCGGTCATCTCCATGTTGGCCGGGCTGGTCAGCCAGTCAAGCACCTCCTCCTCGTCGTCGATGTCGCCGTCGTAGTTAATGTACTTGCCCTTCCGGAAGTAGGTCAGACCCGGCGGGTTCCGGAAGCCGTACTTCTTGGCCATCAGCTTGTCGTGCATCTTCACTATATAAATGCCATATTCGGCAGCCTCATCGTCGATAAGTTCGATGTGCCGCAGCACTCGTGGCGCGTCGGGATCGTCTTCCTTGTCTGCAATGGCGTTCGATTTCCGATTAGCTTGGTAATGACACCATTTGAGTTCACTTAAAGCCTAACTTATAAGAGTAATAATTTGCTTCAGTTTTTTTTTTGGGCAGTTACAGTTTTTAGTGGGCGCGATTTAAGAACAGTATATGCAGTAGTCATAACTCCTAGATTCCTTAGCTTTTACCTAAGACGCTGTCCGCGGATTATACTTACAAAAAACAACCGCTAAAAAGTCTTTGGTGCCTATATACTCGAAGAGCTGATCACGATCGATGAGCTGAATGCTCTGGTCGGCCTTCTGTTCGAGGATCCAATTGAAGACGTCCTGATTGCTGGCGATGTTACCTGTTTGCGGGCATTAGAAACGTAGATGTTAGATGCAGTCGTGTTTGAATTGAACGGAGGGGAAAGTTCCAGTTGGTGGCACATACCTGTTGGCTGCAGTTTGTCAATCAATCATCAGATTTTATCTTGAATGTGTATACAAAATTAATGACCGCTTTGTTTGCTCTCACCCCCGCCCAAATAAATTGAGTGTGGGCTCCTTGCCAAATCCCCACCAGGTCATAATTAATGGCCACATTTGGCTGCCTATGACTCAAAATAAGTCGTTTCTTTTCGGGAGGGGAGAATTTTTGTGACAGAACGTATAATTGCTGCGATACATTCTCAAGGTTTTTTAAAGTATATTTTAAGCATTTTTATGGTATTTGTGTTTGAAATTATTTAATCAAGGAAATTCTGAATTTCAACGTTAGAAATTCCTTAGTTTTAAATAAGAGAACCTAATTTTATTGAGTTGGATGGTTTTATTGAATATTCTTACAATTTCTTTCAGGAGTTAATGTTTACAAAAGTGATTTCGGTTTGATATGCGATTGATTCTTAGAATATGACAATTTTCGTTTTGAAAACTTGTTTTACAAAAATACATTCGCTTGTTCTTGACTTAACAGCTGCTGTTCAACAAAGTTTGTTTACATATATGTTGGATTTAGTTACAATTGCGTGTATTGTGATAGACTTTAGCTTAGGAAAACATAATTATAAAGATTAATAATTCGGTATTTTGCAAATACCGATAACAAAAACAATAGCGAGCGGTACAGGTATCGCTCTCAGAAGAAAACAAAAGAAACAAAATGGCGAGTTACATTGTATGCGAGGCCATTGTTCATCGAGAAATAATGGACTTCTTTCCATAATCTACAACAAAATTAAGTATACGGCGTGTATGCTGCAACATGGTTGGTAAAAGGCTCCGGTTACGCAATATATTGGCCTGGGGCCCTAATGTTGTTACTACAAAAACAGTTGATAGCTCTCATCGTTACACGTCTCAGTTAAAATAGTTAACAGTCAACAGTTGGGCACTGTCAGGTGTAAATTGCTTCAAAAAATATTTTATCTGTTTGTTCGTTTCGTTTTGTTTTTATTTTGTTTTGTTTTGTTTTGCCTAGGCTCTTGTTAAAATAGACTAACTACATAAATGTAAATTGTATATTGTGACAAAAAGAAGTAGTATCAAAAAGTTTAGGTGTTTGTTATTGACAATAGACAATGGCTGATCGATCTGTTAATAACAAAGTTTGCTGGCTAAATATACAAGTGAAAGTTCTCAGAAGTTTGATAGTTGTTTGTTGAAGTAATTGCTTTTAGTTTGAACAAAGTTTGTTGAAATCCGTTGACAAAATGCAACAAATGTTTGGTTTAGTTAAGTTATAGATCGGGGTCACCAAGACTACGTGGTCCCTCTTGAAAATAGTTTAAGCGAAGATATCAACAATGTTTTAGTTAGTAAGATTTTTTTGGTTATGTTTTAGTTGTTTTGGTTTTGTGTGACTTGCTACTAGTAGATCTTCTCAACGCGGAACAACGATTATGATTTTCGGCCTAAAAAGGGTGCTCTTAGATCTGTTCCGGGCACAGGATATTAAAGTGGTCGACATAGTGTGGTCGTAGGGTGTTTAAAGGTTAGTGAGGTGAGCCTCATTTGTAGGGACACACAGCTACTCGAGTTCGGTTATTTAGTTGGTTCTCGTCACACAGAGATGATGTACATTTAATTATAGAAACCTGTCATTGAAGGTTCTTTGGTGGCTTTACAGGTTTGATTTTGGTTTTGGTTTTTGTTTGGTTTGGTTTTGGTTTTGGTTTGATATTGGTTTTATCGGCTGACAACAGTACGTATACGTGCTACTTTAGTATGGCATATCATTCAATCATACAATCACATTTAACTGTCTGTGGTTTTCCACACTCAGTTAAATTGTTGCCTTACTCCCACAGAGAGATATCCTGAAAAATGATATCATACAAATTTTTTAGTCGATTTTGGAAAAAATTAATGCCTGCAAGACACAAGAGAGAAAAGAGAAGAGAAATAAACAAATAAGGTAACGACCAAATTGTGCATGAGTCTGTATGTGTCTGAGTATGGGCACAAGAAGAACAAAGTGATCGGGGAACAGGACGATGAGTTTGACGTTAAATGGACTTGTCTTGGCTTGTTTCTAGAGCTAGGTGACTTCGATGTGATTCGATGTCTGGTGGTCCAGCGACTACGTACCGGTTTTCACGTTCAGCTTGCCGGACTTCTTCGATCCCTTCTGCTTGGAGGCCTTCTCCACCTCCTGCGACTCGTCGTCGTTGGTCACCGGCTTCTTCCCAGCCTGCGGCTTGTTGCTTCCTCCCGAACGCTTGTTGGCATACGAGACCTTCACCAGGGGCTTGTCCTCGTCGTCCTCGTCATCATCGTCGTTGTTCGAGTTCTTGGCGCCCTTCGCCTGCTTCTTGGTGGCCGCTGGCTTGCTGGCCGGCTTGCTTCCCTTGGATCCCGATGCCGATGCCGATGCCGATCCGGCGAACTGGAAGTTTCCGCCGCCAATGGGACGCTTGCCCTGGTCGCCCTCGCTATGTCCGATCCGCTGGGCCGTCATCTTAGGAACTTTCGTTGACTTCTCCAATTTGGTTGGACAGCATTGGAATGGTTTGTAATCGTTGGGCACGAAATTGTTGCCGCGCTTAGCTGAATGGCCGTCGTGGCCCAATCCAACATAGAAACATTCGTCATCTGTGTAAGCAAACAAACAAAAACATTTTGTCAGATTGTTTAATTTAATAGATTTTTGTTTTTTCGGTTCACTAGCAACAGCAACAGAAGGTTCGTTACGATAAGTTATAAAAAAAAGGTTTTAACAAGAGTGCATCATTGTAGGCTAGAACTAAGAATAAAAGTCGTTAACTGTTTTTCAGCGCTTTTCTTAAACACCTCCGGTTTGAGCAGAGGTATAGAGAGAGAAAAAGAGCAGTTAGTACGATTTTCCATTCGATTTTCAGACTTGAAAGATTCTTTGTTCTAGAGTAAAAGCGTGCTTTATGAGTGGAAGAAATTTGAAGTTGTTTAAATATAACTTGAAATCATATTTTAAGACTACTAACTGACAAAATGCTTTTGATGCTGACTGTACAAGTTTCGGATTCGGATTCTAATTTGTAAACACGTTAAGTATCGAGTTAAGCCCACGTTGTACATTTCGATTCGACTGAGTGTTCACTTAATCGAATTATAGGTTGTTTTTGTTCATATGCTTAAATATTTTCTATGGAACAGCAGGATCGTTATAAAATAATATAATTAAACGAACATAACGATTACTTATAGTATTATGAAAAAGTAAATTATAAATCAAACAAAATAGGTATTAACACATTTTTCGATTCGCTACGGAAATAGTTACGTTTTCCAAAGTAAAAAAAATGTAAAATTCCTTGCTTAAATAATTTCAAACATTGTGTCAGCTATGTATGATTTAAAATTCCTTATATTCGGCTTTTGGTGAGCAAAGGTTTTTGTCTTAATTGGATAATGGATAAAGCTACGGATGTAGGATTAAACATTCAGGGGTGGAACATAGACGGGCAAGGATGGTTATTTGGCTTGACTGTACTCCCAATTGTGTTTGACCCTCACATGATATGTTCTTTAGCACAGAAGCTATGCGCACTGCACACTGCACAGATATAGAAATCGCGCCAACTTGGAGTGGTTACCTTGTTTAAATGCAAATCTATTTGATTTCTTCGTCCCCAAGTCTGTAGATAGACAATGAAATTCACTGTAGTCAACGTTATCGAGTGTTCTGTGGCATTGCAAAGTGTAAAAGGTTGAATGCACAGGTGGGTAGAGGAAGAGGGATTGAAATTTAGGTCGGGTTCGACAAAACATTGAACAACTTTAGTTAGTGCGTCAATGGCAACTCACATTCAGCTATTACCTATTTCATCTATTAGCCGACCCGAGCAAAGGTCAGCAAGGCGATGTATCGTTCGACCTTTGGCCGTGTGCCTATACTTTGGTTTACTTTTAATGTCCTCTTCTTCTTCGTCATCCCCATTCCCGTCTTCGTCGTCATCCTCATCATCGTCTCCGTCATCGTCGTCATTTTCGTCGTCCTTATTTGTATCCTTCTCCCCTCTTGCTTCTTCGTCATTATCTTCCTCGTCATCATTACCGTCTCCATCCCCATCCTCATTATCCTCATCCTCATCCTCATCATCCTTATCATTATCTTCTTCGTCTTCATCTTCCTCATCGTCATTGTCATTTTCTTCGTCATCATTCTCATCGTCGTCACCCTTATCGTTATCATCTCCTTCATCTTCGTCTTCATCTTCGTCGTTATCTTCTTCGTTGTCCTCGTCTTCATTGTCATCTTCATCATCGTCTTTATCGGTGTCTTCCTCTTCATCCTCTTCCGCGTCATCTTCATCCTCGTCCTCATCGTCCTTATTGTCCCCATCTTCATCATTCTCGTCGTCATCACCGTTATCATTATCCTCTTCTTCATCCTCGTCATCATTATCCTTATCATTGTCTTCTTCCTCATCCTCATCGTCTTTATCATTGTCTTCTTCGTCATCGTCCTCATCTTCGTTATTGTCATCTTCGTCATTTTCGTCGTCGTCGTTTTTGTCATCATTATTATCTTCTTCCTCATCCTCGTCCCCATTGCCCCTATCATTATCTTCGTCGCCTTCATCGTCCTGATCGTCATCCTCCTCATCCTCATCCTCGTCATCCCTCTCATTGTCTTCTTCGTCATCCTCGTCCTCGTCGTCTTTATCAATATCCTTCTCCCCTGTTGCATCCTCCTCATCCCCGTTTTCGTCATCCTCATTGCCTCGTCTGTTCTTTCGTAACCTTTCTGTTCGTATCGCATTCTGCAGTCGCTTTAACCTTTCCCTTTTATCCTCATTGCTTTCTTTGGGATAGCGCAATTTAAGAATTTTTTCATCACTTGCGTCGTCATCCTTTCCTATATAAGAAATTATCATTATGTTTTGGCACTTTTATTTTGGGCAAGAAACGGGTGTATGATATTGGAATAATAAATTTTGTACGTTTTATGGAACCTTTTTTTACTCAACTGACTTTGTATCGAAAATTTGGCTTATGGGCGTGAATTTAAAGCAGAAAACACATTTAAAATAAAGACGCTTACTCTTTTGATTGACTAACCACTGCAGCACACGGTTTTCATTTTTGAGATTACCTAAAGAATATAAATTGTTAAGTAAGGGCGCCTTAAGTTTTGATTGACCTTTAACCTACCATCATACATAATCGGAACGCCGGTTTCGTAGTAGACCAAAGCTGGGAATGCGAAAATGCCAATTTCATGGGCCAGCTTGACGTCATTCGATTTGACAAATTGAATTCCGTGCTTATCGGTGTCATCGTCGATGTTTTCCAACTCTTCCAAAATGTCAGAACACGATTCGCACTCATCATCATCTATTTAATAAATATTTATTATTATTTCAATCCCAAGTTTCATCAAGCTAAAAGAGTATGCTACTTACAAAAGAACACAGCCAAGTGCTCAACATCGTTGATCAAAACTTGCAGGGTCTTGCGATCGACGGACTCAATCACATCAGCGGTCGATTCGTGCAAATCAATAACCCACTCAAGAATTTCCTCTTCCTTCATCAGGTCACCTAAAAATTGTAAATTATATTTAAATTGTATATAATTATAGTTATTAATTATAATATTTAATTAATTATAACATTAATATATAACTAAAGAATATATAACGTTAGTACTTTATAATGTACTTACCGGTGTAAATTGTTCTAAACTTATGTCTATAAAATGCAAGTGCCGGCAGACCGGGCAGATCGTATTCCTTATCAATATCATCGTCGGATGTCTTTACAAAGTCAATGTCTTTTTCCTCGCACTCGTCATCGATGTTCTCCAGTTCGTTAAGAATCTTCTGGGCCTTCTTATCGCCCTCAGCATCTGGCGATCAGAAACAGAAATGAAAAGATAGCTTAATATAAATAACCGAACAAATTAAAATGGAGAAAAATGATAATTGGAATTAAAAAATTAAAAGGGAATACAAAATGGTATAAGTGATAAACTTAATAGATGAACAAACTCTTACAGAAGAACACGACGACGTGATCGTTTTCAGCCAAGATCTTGTCCAACATCTTAACATTGACCTCCTCAATTTTTCCGGGAATTTCGAGGGTCTCGTCGTCGGTGATCCAGGCGAGCACTTCGTCCTCGTCGTCCAGGTCCCCGGTGAAGTGCAGTGGGTCGCGGTTTCTGAAGAACACCAAGCGTGGGTAGGTCTTGACATTGTACTTCTTGGCCACTCCGGTGTCCTCGGTGGTTACGAAAATGATTCCAGCCTCGTCCAACTCGTCGTCGATGCTCTCCAGGGCGTTCAGGGTGTGGTCGCAGGTCTCGCCGGGTTCGCAGGGACCCGTGAAGAAGACGACAACATACTCGTGCTCGTTGATTAGGTTGACCAAGATCTCGTCGGTGACCTCCTCGATGGTGGCCGTCTTCTTCTGCACCAGCAGCCACTCAAGCACCTCGTCCTCGTTCATCAGGTCGCCCTCGTAGAGCGCCGGGATCTTGTTCTCGAAGTAGATGAGGGCAGGCAAGTGGTCGAGACCGTACTCCTTAGCCTCGGCGGCATTATCGATGCGCACAATGACGATTCCCTCCTTCTCGAGTTCGTCGTCGATGTTTTCCAGCTCGTTCAGGATGCGCATGTCCTGCTTGTCGTCCTTATCGTCTGTAAAAAGCAACTGTTGTCGAACCAAAGTGGATATGAACTCTGTGCCTACTTACAGAAGATAACCGCCAAGTGCTCAGTGTTCTCGACCAGCTTGTCCTTCATCTCGTCGGTAACCTCGGGAATCTCGGAGTAGCGCTTCTGGTGCACCAACCAGCCCAGCAGCTCGTCCTCTTTCATCAGATCACCCTCGTAGATGTGTGGAATGCCACGTTCAAAGAGTACAATCGAGGGTATCTCATCGATACCCCATTCCTTGGCCTCCTTGTCATCGTCGATCTTGACAAAGGCAATATCGTTCTGATCGCACTCATCGTCAATGTTTTCCAATTCTGCGAGGATTTTCTGTGATTTCTTTTGGTCTTTGTCGTCTGTGAAGGTGAATTCAGGGGATTAGCTCAAGGGTTTTGACATGCGCTTATGAAGCTAGGAAGGAGAATGGTCAACAAACTGCTGTTTCGCTCAACTTGTAACTGGAAACCTACAATCTACTCTTTTTCGAGGGTCTACCAATTTCACCTTCAAAGAACAAAGGTCTACTACAGGTTTTGGTTTAGTTTTGATCAATTAGTTTCGAAGCGCTTTGAAAATTATTGCTTGGCACAGGGTTAGAGTTACGATGGCAAACACCCCAGAGATACAACACCGAGTCAACTGTACAATATCAACAGAGATAGGGAGTCGAGTGCACAAGCGTCCTTGGTCCTGGCACGAGGTCGCGAGCATAAGCCTGAAATCACTTACAGAAGAGAACGGCTACGTGGGGCATTTTCTCAATGATCAAGTCCAACATTTCGTCGGTAATGTCCTCGATTTGGTCGGAACTCGTTTGGTCTGTCAGCCACTTCAGGAGCTTCTCCTCGTCCTCCAGATTGCCCTCGTAAATAGTTGGAATGCCTTTTTCAAAGTATATCAGCTTAGGAACTTTGTTGATGCCATATTCGACGGCCTCTTCGGGATTGTCGATCTTCACGAAAGTAATGCCCAGCGCGTCGCACTCGTCGTCAATGTTTTCGAGCTCTTCGAGCACTTTCTGGGATTTCTTGTCGTTGTTGTCGTCTGGAAAACAGCTCGTGAGCAAACTTGTGGCGACGGGGGTTGGGATATTTACAGAACAGCACGGCAATGACGCGGCCTTCCTTGATCATTGTGTCAAGCATCTCGTCGGTGACGTCCTCGATCTCATCCCGTTCCAACTGGCTCAACAACCACTTCAGAATCTGCTCCTCGTCCATGAGATCGCCGTCGTACACGTTTGGAATTTCCTTTTCAAAGTAAACAATGGCCGGAATCTGCAGAGCGAATAATACGGTTTTGTGAGAGACCCTTCCACCGTCAGTCTATTTGCAGTCGTACCGATTCGATTCCGTAGTCGGCTGCCGCCTTGGCATCGTCAATTTTCACAAACTGAATGCCATGCTTGTCGCAGTCGTCGTCGATTTGCTCTAGCTCCTCCAACACGGTCATCGAGTCGTCATTTCCATGATCATCTGCAGATTAATAGAGGTCGGTTATCGAGCCTCGCCTGCGCGAATTTGCCCTCTACATACAGAACAGCACCACCAGGTTGTCGATGTTGCTGATCAGCGTCGACAGGGTTTTCGAAGTGACGTCCTCGATCACGTCATCCTCGTCGCCTGTCGACTTGTTCTGCACCAACCATTCCAGGACGTCCTCCTCCCGCTGCAGTTCACCTGGAGACACAGTTCGATATTAGCGACAAGGAAACCGGGTAGGTCGGTTTGATATGTAGGTCTGATGTTGGTTTGATTGAGTGGTCGTGGAGATTCGGGGCGAATGTGGGTGCGTAGAATGGAGGTACCTTCGTATATGATCGGAGTCTGGTGGCGGTAGTAGACCAGGGCGGGCAGGTTGCCCAGGTTGTACTCGTCGGCCAGGGCCTCGTCGTGTATTTTAACGAACCCGATGCCCAGCTGGTCGGCCTCGTCGTCGATATTCTCCAGTTCCTGCAAGGCCTTGGCGCACTTGCGGCATTGCTGTTTGTCTGGTTCGTTGGTTGGTTGGATGTTTCATAGAATCAGGCAAACAATACATGATTAGGGTCTTCTGGCTAGGAGGAAAGTCCCGAAAGGGGGAAAGTGGACTGCATACACCAGGACGAGGTCACGAAGGGGTAGAACATTCAGGGGTTATGTTTCGTGCGGCTGTAAGTTGTGTTGTTAATTTGGAGCCATTTCATAAGGGCGAGTGCATGCAGGGCCAAGGAATTCCAGTCGGCTGGCGAGTTACCCAATAGTTCCTTTATTTACACCGTTTGTTTACAGCACCATTGTCTGTCTGCGTGCAACCTGTTGCAATATGCTTGTCTTGGTAGGGGAGACACCTTCGAACTGGCCACTTAAGAGTGTTGATATCAAAGAGGAACGAGTTCTCTGAAAGCTCTCTCCTTCTCCTTTCACCTATTCCCCTATCTCATTTCGTTGGGCTTGCTTGAGTTGAGCAAGCTTTCGCTTTCCTGCCCCCGCTGCGTATACGTAATATTTATTTCTATGGGTTGTCGGTGAACTTGTAAGTGCCTTTTCCGATGGCTGACTGGCCACATGTTCGTGGCAACCGATCACGGCACCTTGCGAATGCAGTTAGCCGGCGGTGGTACACGAAATTACACGCTCTCTAAAAGCATTACCCGACCAGAAATATCTGCCTTTTACCATTCAACGCGATTTGCTTTTCGGGAGCTGTTGAGTGGGTGTCGCCAAGGTGACAAGGCCAGCGCACACACCACTCGGCCAAACTGTTCATAATTTACTGCACAATGCGCGGAAATATGCAGAATCTAGAAAATCAAACATGTTTATGGGGCTTCGACTCTGCGTTCTCCGACGGCTTGACCAATTTTTGGCCCTGTTGCAGACATGGGCAAACGCTGCACTTAACTAAAAATAGTGCAAGTCAGTCGGGGCACACATAGTTACAGAGCTGCAGTGGGGCGGATGTATGGCATATGGGTGCTTGTACTCGTGTATTATGTAAATCAGCATTTGGCCACGACAACCGAGGATCTGGCCATAACCATGCACTGCCGGCCAGTGCTCGAGTGCGCCAAGTTGATGTATTGCTGTATGCAAAAGCAATTAAAAGTGCTGTCTGTCTGCAGCCCCTGATGGATACAACCCCGATTGCCGGGGAGTGGACAGGGGCAAGACAATGGGCCACAATATCTTGTCTTGTCTCACCTACATGCTGTTCGCATCGATGCATTAGGAAGACCTTTTGTGCTTTTTATGCCGTCTGCGCTTGATAAAAATACCTATAGATAGTGTGGCGGATACTGCAGATAGGTTCGTGTGAATTCACACACTTCTGCCACTCTATAGTTAGTTGTTTCAGAATCAAGAATCAAGAAACAACACAGGCAGCAAGAGCAGCAAAAATCATTTTGTTGGCCCGACCAACTGCTTGAGTTATCTATTTATAGCCCCAAAATTGTAGGTGGCTGTGTCGAAAAGAGACGGCCAGCACCAAATACTTTGTTGTTGGCCAAGACATCGACGTCGGTGTAGTCGTATATAGCCACATTTTCTGCAAGTATTGAACTTATGTTTTTCGATAGGTAGACTCATGCCTTTCCTCCATAATTCGAGCAAGGCCAGCCAGCAATCTCTGAGCCCCTCAGAGGTTGACATCTTTCCTTTTTTCTAAACACGTCTTACAGCAATCATTCAAGTTCTGAATAGCTGTGAGTCTCTAACCAAATTAACCGCCGGTTTGTACGAATCACAGGGCTTGGGCTCGAATAGAGATTTGGGGAGAACGGGGAGGTGCCGGGACCAGAAAAACATAATCTGGCGCCGAGCCCAAACATTCATCTGCACGGTTTCTGTTGTTGTAATGTTTATTATTATACGTATACGTAATATGTGTGTCTGCCTTGGTCGATAGCGAACGCGAAAATAAGAAATCTGCTTGTCTAAAAAACAACCAAGAATTACTACAGTGGTCATTGCATCTATTTAAGAATTTGTCCTTTACCCAGGGCATCGACGTCAGTTCTAACTGACTACATCGCCGGAAAATTGAAAGATTTCCCAATAAATAGACCTCGTGGTTCATCAACATAAGCCCCAGTATCTATCTACCGCTGTGCCTATTTTCCCCGAAATCGGTCCACACAGTCATAATAAGCCTTAATACACTGGATTGTTCGGTTATTCGGGTTAAATAGCCAATTGTGAAGTACATATTTACATATCGTTTCATGGTCATTGCGGAGGAATCTTTTCGAGTGCGGTTTTGGATTACTGGAATCAGGAAAATTATAGGGGAGAGGGAGTAGAACATTGTGAATAAATTATTTTCGGGAAAACAAAGTTTCAAAGTGGGGAATTAGATGGACGGGGCAAGAACGAAGGCTCCCAGTATTGGTTCACGAAAAACTTACCCATAACCCTGGGCGGGCATGTTTCATGATCTGGACCTGCAGTCGTTTGATAAAATATACATTGCATTGATAAATTTTCCGTATGTAAATTGGCTCAGAAAGGGTACGAAATTCCGCCGAGAGAGACATATTTTTATAGAGAGTAATATTGAGGGTTAAGAACGCCGCCATTTAGCTTTGGTTAGTCACAAATAATATACGCATTTATAAAGAGAGAGAGAGAGAGAGATAGAGACGTACGCATAGAAATCGACTTAAAGAATATACAGTATAGGTAGATATGGTTGTGGTCTATACCTATGTAGCTGTATGATTTTAGTCACAAGAGAGCTAAACTGTTTGTGTTCGCTAAAAACTGCAACTGCTTTGAAATAGAACATCATAAAGTCAGATCTCCGACAATAAGAGTTTTCGGAGTAGTATTCGATTGGAGAAGTAGCCTTAAGATCAATTCAGCAGACTTACAGAACAGAACGGCTACGAAGTCGGTGTCCTCGATGATCTTCTGCAAAATCTTGGAGTTGACCTCCTCGATGCGATCAGGCAAATCCATGGCCTCCAGAGAGGTGAGGAAGTCGAGCACTCCCTCCTCGTCCATAAGGTCGCCATCGTATATGATGGGCTCCTTCTCCCTGCGTTCAGAATGCCAATTCAGAATCAGTTCTAGTGTCACCCAACCGACGGGTTGGAGTACCTACCTGAAGTAGGTGAGGGCGGGGAAATTCTTGATGCCGTACTGTTTGGCTAGTCGTTTGTCGTTGATTTTCACAAAGTCCACACCGAAGGAGTCGGTGTCATCGTCGATTTTCTCGAGTTCCGCTAGAACCTTATCACAGGTCACGCAGCTCCGCGCATCTGAAATCGAAGAAAGCAGACACTTGAGATATAGAGATACCAACATCAATTGACAATCAGCAACTGCTGCGCACGACGCCAAATCCACAATCCACATTCAAATTCAGAGATTATTCATTCCTATAGTAGATACAGGATGCATCATCGGTCTGCTCAGGGAAAAAGGCTGAATGAATGAATGAAGTGACAGCAGCGCCAGGGCAATTCGTTGCTATTAATGCGGCAGCAACTGCCAACAAATATGCTAAAATTTTCTAAATTAATTCATAAAATTCAGGCGGCCACTATGGGGGAAATGAATTGCTGCAGACAAAAGACCACTATTGGCCCACGTCTCTACAAGAGTTCTGGTCGGTTTAACGCCAGACTGCAGAAATTGGAATCATTAATGCATCGCCGAGTAAGCACCGAAGGTTCTATTTCACTTTCCATTTAAGCGATTTTCCCCTGTTTAATAAGTAATTGAAAGCTAGCCCAACCCGCCATCCGCCCCAATTTCTAATTTACGATTTCCAAATGGGAGTCTAGAAACATGGAACAGACTCATCTGTTTGTAAATTTATCGATGGTATTTTGGTTCGATCCGATGTGATCCGCGTGTTTCCTCAATGCATTGCAATAAGGTAAATACCGTTCACTTGCAGCAATAAACACAAATATCTCCTCGATAGAATTCGTTTAAAATTTTGAGCTATCTGGGATTTGATCACCGCAACTGTTCAATGAGCTGCCATTTACGCAAATGTTCCATAATTATTTTCGTTTGTTGGCCAGTGGCTTTGAGACTGGTGCTTTTTAATTTTGAGTATTTTCATTGTCAACAATTATTTTTGGAAAAGCCGCCAATGCTAATGAAACACATAGAGAGAGTATGTAGGTAAAATATGTATGTATAAGAAAATATTACAATCCGAAGATCACTTTCTTGTTTATTAACTTTGACATTGGCGAACAATACATTAAGGCCAGATCTATTTTTAAGGTGATTAAAGAGATTTTATATATAGCACCATTAGCAGTTTGTTTATATGACTTTTTTGATTATTTTCTGCGCCCGAAAGAAAAAGAAAATGTATAAAGGAAACAATGAGAAACCATTTTTTGTTTTTGCAGCAAAAATAGATCACCATCGAATGTAAGTGTTCTCACACCGATTTGAAAAGGGCAGGAAATCGGTTGCCAACTGGAAGGAAGTGAGTGTCTCCGACTCTTCGGGTAGAGCTACATTTGTGCCAAGATTTTGCGCCAAAAAAGATTTAAAAAAAAAACCCAAAAATACAAAAAGCTGCCTCCGACTCTGTGGCGGACGAGACGGTGATTTCTCACAGCCAAGAGAGATTTCTCTACTCATAAACAGATCGCCAGATAGCGCACAAGCGAAAATTATATAGAAAAGGGGAAGGCAGCGCAGACTACAGGCAGCATGCGGAGGAGCGGAAAAAAATAAAAAATTAACCGAATGAAAATCTCGGACATTTCGAGCAACGAATTTTTCACATATTTTCATTTGTATGTGAATTTTTAGAATTTTCACTAGCGAAAATTTATATAATATGCCTTCTGTTACTATTTCGAGTCCGGTCGGCTGGCAATAAAAGAGCCGTGCCCGGACGTAACTGAGAATGGTGCCCGGGAAACTCACACCAGAAGACGGCCACGTAATCCTTGTCGGCCAGGAGCTTCTCCAGCTGCTTGGCGTTGACCTCCTCGATCACGGCCTCGGGCTCCGGGGGCGGCACTGGCTGCGAGCCCTTCTTGTTGTTGCCGCCGCCATTCACGTGTCCGGGAAAACTCAGTGCCAGCAGAGCACACACGAGCAGCGCCAGAGTCTTGGGGCGGGCGAGAGTCATCCTTCGATCCTTCGATCCACTCTCCACAATCCCCACAATCGGTTACGTTCTTCCTTCTTCGGTTCCTTCGGGCGTGAGAGTCTCTAGACCCTTGACTCGGACATGCGGGCGTGTGTGTGTCTGCTCCTTTTGGCCGTGCACTTTTCGGTTAAGTCGTTCTCGTCGCTCGCGATTTTCGTTATTAAATTTGTATTCCTTTGAGAATCGGAATCGGTCACTATTTTTAGTTGATAATGGTATTTCTTCTTTCGCAACTTATTTTATGTATAACAACTTTTGGTACACTGATACATATACACGGTGCTCGTATATACACAGCCGAAATATATGTGGGGTATATATGAGAAAAATTAGATTATATATGTGGCTTCGCTGCTATTAATTGAACGTTTTCCGCGGACTGTTCTCTTCGCTTTTCTGACTTTGTTCCACTCCGTGCAGAGGTCCGCTCGCGACTGAAAGTATTTTGGTGGAAACTCGGTGCCATGCAAGAGGCCTTGCCCGAGCTTTAGGGATCGTGCGTTCGGGCTTTCCGCACATTGCCCGCTCCCCGCGAAAAGCTTTGGAAAGGAGCGCAGGAGCGCCACACTGGCCGATGAAAGATCGTGGGATGAGTGTGGTGGAATCACTCCGATGAGCGAGAGTTTTCCCTTTCTCAGTGCAGTTCTCTGTTTATGCATTTCTTGCATTTGGGCTGGCGCACAAATGTTCTTTACGAATGGATCTATAAAAACAAACTTTGAGAAAAACATTTTTGAAGTGCAGCCATCCTCCGAAATGTGTACTGAAAATGGTTTGTACTGATTCAAAAGAACTTGGAGGAGCTACACACAACACACACAATTCTCAAGCTGCAGAAACCTGAGGAACGATAACTCATAGTTACATTTATTCTTGTTCAGGATCGTCGAGATTAAACTATAAGACTACAAGGGCTTGAATATTCGAAATGTTATTGACAAGCAGCCATTTTGATGTACCAACAGATTGCATTGATAGTTTCGACTCTAGTCATAAATTCGCAAAGAATTGCGTTTTTTATACCCTTGCAGAGAAATTTAGAAGAAATCAAGTCGATCTGATCAAAAACAACGGCGTTAAAATTTTTTATTTCATTCTCTAGTATGGGAGGTATCCGATAAAGTCGGCCCATCCGGCCCGTTCCGACTTTCATATATACTGCGTGCAATAACTACACAACTTTTGGGAAAGTTTCAGCAAGATAGCTTTAAAACTGAGAGACTAGTTTGCGCGGAAACGGACAGACGGACAGATGGACAGACGGACAGACGGAAAGACGTACAGGTATTCCGATTCTGCTCGTGATGCTAATCAAGAATGATGCTGATCCAAAATTGTAATATGGTATATTATTCTACATTAAATTATGTAACTTTTGACTATTACACTTTCTTACAATTCCTTTGTTTTTTTCCGACTTTTCGTGGTTTTAAAAAAAATGGTGTTTTGGCGATTTTCAAAAATGGTGGGGAATCGTGGGCCACCCCCGTATTTGAATGAAAATCAAACAATTATGATGCAAAACTTTATTCAATTAGTAGAAATGACAAGTTCAGTTATTTTAATCGAGAAAATGGAGAAGGGTTATGCACAATCAATCTGATACGCAATTTGGGCACGTAAATGTGTTGGCGGAGGTAGCACATTTTGCATGGACATCTCGACCACATTCCATGCATGCAACTGAATTGTTCTTGGTCAATTTCTTTGGCATTGACTCCAAACAAAGTATGCAGAAGTCAACATCTTCATCGTCGGAAGAATCACGTCGCGCTGGTTGTGATCTAGTTCTGCGCTTGGGCGCAGGTGTCTTCTTTGCTTCCTCCTCTTTTTTGCGTTTGATTGCAGCCTTCTCACGTAATTCAGTGACAAATTCAGGCGATGTTAAGATAGCACTTCTCATCGGTTTGCGACCACGATTGGACTTTTCAGCTGGTGTTCCTTTTTTCAGTGGGCCAGATTGTCGCAATTTGTGTGAAAGAGAAGCAGAAGAGCTGGTACCTGATGTGCTAGCTCCTGCTGAAGACTCAGAAGTTGTGACTTTTTCATGTACATCACGATTTGTTGCATTGAGCACAGAACGAAAATTGTCAAAGAAGGCATCGACTTTCTCTTTGGTAAATGCTTTCACACGATTTTGGCTGACCTGCTCCGGCTTGCGCAACGACAAATTTGGATGTCGATTCATGAACGAGTAGTACCAGTCCTTACTTGCTTCCTTATTCTCATCCCACGATTCAGGATAATTGCGTTTTATGGATACTGCGTATTGGAATGCCAAAGCCCGTAGTTCCGAAATACTCAGGCCATAGTAAATGTCACTTGCGTGGAGGAGATATTTTAGTAATGTTTGTTCTTCTTCATCACTGAAAATCTGAAACAAAAACAATTTATTATTAAATTCGTATCAAAAAGTTATAGAAAAATTTAATATTCCAAACATTCATAACGAAATTTTATAATATATTTCACAAGCTACTTTCATCATAAGAAAATTGTATATTGATTTTCCATTTTCCATATTTCATACCTATCATTTTTATTTATTTCTTTATACCACATTCATTTTTTATTGAAAAAAATTTGATTGAAAACTCACCGGTTTTGCCCCTGTTATAGTAGTTCCTTTCAGAAATGTGATCATCGTATCATCGGAAGCAGTGGAAACATCAATATTTGCGTCTTGCAACTTTCCCATATAACGGCTCAATGTAGCTCGTGGTACATTATAGGTTTTGGCGATAACACGTATAGACTTTTCATTTTTATCCATCTGTTTGATAGCCTCCACAACAGCTTCATAGTCAATTTTCTTATCATATTTTCCATAATATCGTGGCATGATTGCTGAAAATTAACAAAGAAATAGGAACATTTAATACATAATATTTATTTATTGTTTTATTTATTGATTTACAGCCTCCATTTTGCACAAAACATCATAAACACAACATACCAATGTGATTGATAACAAAAAATTTAAAAACACGGGTGGCCCACGATTCCCCACCAAAAGTGGCTCACGATTCCCCACAAGCTACTTTTTGCAAAATAACGGCGTGTAATTGACTTGTTGAAGTGTCATGCAAAATTACTTTTGTATGTTGAAAAGGAAAGGTCTAACGATAATGTGAAACATATTTACCTGTGTTTTGTCGTAGCAATTCGTCCAAAAATAATGGAAATAAAACACACACAAAAAAGTGTTGCCGATACTTTTTTTGGGCAAGTATTGTGCAAAGCGAATAAAATGCGTGCGTTTGTCAACAACCAATGTAAAAATGATTTCAGGTTAAAAGAAAACGATGACAGGTGCATTTCACTCTCTCAAAATACTGCCGACAGGTGGCGGTGGCTCACGTTTCGCCATGGCCCACGATTCCCCACTTTCCCCTATACTTTATGGGGTCTGAGGATTGATATTATAATACCCTTTGCTCTGCTAAGGTATAAAAATTATAACATTGTTGTTTTTTTTATCAGAAAAGCCAAATTTTTGAAATATAGAGTCTTCTAATGACTCTTGAATTTCGATTTAAATTTCATAACAATCGGACGATTATACCATGTAACTGTCATATGAACAATCGTCGAAAACATAGAAACTTTATAGAAAAATCGGCATATTTAATGTTTGACATATTTGATGACGGCAAGGGTATAAACGCTTCGGCTCGCCTAAGTTAGATTTCTTTCTTGTTAACCTAAAAACAATTTAAATTATGAAAGAAATTTAAGATAATTTTCATATTTTTGGCACTTAGATTATACTTAAGAATATTTTTAAAGTGCGTTTTAATAATTTTAATAATGAGTGAATCTTTTTTTGTTTGATATATGTATGTATGTATATATGTAAATGCACGACCGGGAATCGAGCTATACAAATTTTTTAGTTTTTGCAGCGAAATGGTTGTCCAGGCTGTTTTAATTGCCGCAACTAAAGTTGATTTGCAATGAAATTGGCTGTCTCCATCTTATACACCGTGTACGATAGCAACCCCCATACGTTTACCATTATATTATGGTCAAGTGAATATGGGGGCCATTCAAGCAAGTCCACATTTTGAGCATTATTCCACTCTTTTACCACCCTAGCTATGTATATGAATGGGAGCGTTATCGTGCTAGTATCCATTTGATAATGAGAAAAATATTGGAATAATGAAGAAACACTGTCTGTATTTGTGGGTTTCCGCTTTCATTTTGGAAGTAATAACAAGTTTTTTCCATCAGAGCCGCACAAGGAGCAGTCGCGATTTTATGTGAACCTATTCAGTTGATCAGCAGTGTTTGTTTGGCTTAAACTTTGGAACTTCGCTCGACGAAACCAACATGAAATGATTTTGGTTCTCGAAAATGCCGCCAGAAATTGCAAGGAAAGAGAATCGAGATTGAAGAGTAAAAACAGAGTTGCATGCCAATCAAGCCGGTGTTCGAACCAATGTGATTTGGTGGATGAAAAATGTTTGGGAGAAGTCTAGACATTTTGTTAGGAATTCATGGTTGGTGGAGAGAATTTGGGAAAAGACGTTTCCCTATCTGGCAACACTGCTTTACTTTTTCGTTAGGGACGGACGTTCGTGCTGCGCAGCAAATCTTTTCGGCCCTTAATGCAAATGCAAATCGCTTTCGCGGCGTGTGTAGTGCATTCAAAATTAACAGTGAGCCCACGGAACCCGTAGTTCCCCATTGCAGTGCCCCGGATTCAATGTGACCGGGACCCAACGGATACGGAAGAAACTCGCGCCAGGGTGTACGAAAATCGATCGTTGACGAGGTTCAAATCAAGGTAACCGCGATATCCATGAATGAAATCAGCCTTTTCTACGGGCGTTTCCGCCTGCCGGCCATATACCTGGTATATCGGCTCACCTTGAACCAAGAATTGCAGAAGGGGCGCATACCAAAGCCGATCCCCTCTGTCTGTGTGTATACCAGCGCCCCTTCCGCGTATGTGTGCATAAACATAAACGCCTACCCACCCGTTAAACAGCTGTTCACCCGATTACTCTTCACGCCTTTCAAGGCGAGCGAATAGAAAATCTAGTAGGGTAATCGCAGAAAGCCCTTTATAATGGGACGCTTCTTATCGCGCACATGGGCGTGCGTTGTACAGGGGGTCGGCATAGTGGCAAGGCGAAGGTGAAAGTCATCAGCTGTTGTCGGCCAACCGCCTGCAAAACCCGTTATGCAGAGCAGCTGTTCGACGCCAAGTAAGTGGGGCAAAATCCCCACCGCAGTACTTAAGAGCCGGGATTACTGGGGCTTTCTGCCCAGTTATAGCCGGATACCAAACACTATTGCAAACTGCTGTAACTCAGAAGCTCTCGCCATGCAGCTGTAAAACCTAATTGAAGATTTCTTTGTTCGTTTGCAGGCAACACGACACTTTACGAGCGTTTATGTTATTATTACTATGAAATTGGATGAAATTGTTGGATGGTGAGCGAACAATACTGCATTATTATCCGAGTTACCTAATTCTCTGCTTTTGTACACAGGTACCAGAAAAAAATCGGCACCTATGACAAGCAAGAATGGGAAAAAACCGTCGAACAGAGGATCTTGGATGGCTTCAATAATGTCAACTTAAAGAACACAAAGCTAAAGACAGAGCTAATCGATGTGGACTTGGTGCGTGGTAAGTCTTTCTTCCAATCTCTTTAAAAAAATGTAATTAATAAGGCTTTAATTGTTAGGTTCTACATTCCCTAAAGCCAAGCCCAAGCAGTCACTACTTACTGTGATTCGCTTAGCCATACTACGATATGTGCTGCTACCTCTCTACGCCCAGTGGTGGGTCAAACAGACCACGCCCAACGCCTTTGGCTTCATCCTGGTCCTCTACCTCACCCAATTGTTCAACTGGGCTATCTACGTGCTGCATAGCAGTCGCATAGTGCCGCTGGTCTACGATAAACCTTCGAATGACACCCTGCTCCAGGCAGAAGCAGTCGGCGATGTCCCTGATGCGGAGGAGGACAAACAAACTGAGGAGCACGCTGATCTGCTCAGCGCTCTGCTAATCCCCTGCGCTCTGAGCCTGCTGATCAGCTTAATCCACTCGCAGATCGTAGCCACCAACACCGCCACGGGGGGAAGCAGCAAGAACAAGCTGCGACGCATCTCAGCAAGCTGCTTAGGTGAAAAGGCCACGACCCGGGAGCATCGGGTGCGGCGCCGCAAGAAGTTTGTGCGGTAAGTAAGGCGGATGTTATAAGTGACCCAATTAAATTTTCTCTCCTTCAGAATTCGGCAGATGGAAACGGATTTGTCCCAGGCCAGCAGCAACACTTCATTACCAACCAGATGGAGTGCACCCAACTCGATCGAAGCAATTCCCAGACCGGTCACGCCCTTGCCCTCCCCCCTCAAGAAACTGCGTGGTGGTTTCGGATCCTACTCTACCCTCCACGCCACCGCCCATCGTCATTAAAAGAAGTATCAATGAGGAAACCTTTTTGACCACTACTGCCATCAGCGCACTACCCCAACCGTTGGCCCCCACAGACGCACGCTTCGATCTCAGCAGGCAGACGGGTGGAGTGGCCCCCGAAAGCCCAAAAAAGCGCAACGTCAACTGGCACACGCCCATTCAGATCTATGCCACTTACGAGCGCGTCGAACAGCCTTCCACAAGCAGGACAAGCGGTGAAATTGCAGCTGTTGCGGATGCAGAAAGTAAGGTGGAATCCCTCAAGCCAGCTTTCCAGTCGCGGCGCAACATTGGCGAGGATGACGGCTTCGAAAGCTTAAACGGAAAGAGCTCCAGCGGTGAGGACAACAACCACTCGCCTCTGCCCAATACTGGCCCAGTATCGGTGCCACCCGCTCCTGTCCAGACCAATCAGCTGCGCCTGCGTCTAAACACGGGGAACGGCGGCTCCAACAGTGCTCCTCCTATCGAAAAGAAGGGTCAGCCTCGAGGCAACGAGTCCACAACCAGTTGTGCAGAGTCGGACGAGTGTGATGATGCAGACATCATATCCAGTCCTACCTCTGCTTGCAACCAGGACTGCACCACCTCTGCCACCGACTGGTTGGGTGTGACTACCAATAGCGAAGACTGCAGCTACACCTCTGATCTGGACCACTCCGACGGCGGGTTAAAGCATACGGCCTGCAGCGATGAGGATCCAGGCGAGCTGGACATCACGCCAACCACAATACTAAATCCGCACAGCAGCCTGGACCGTAGTGAGTATTTAATCTTTGTTTTTACAATTTGATTTCAAGCATAATTTTTTCGACTGCTTTTACTTTTACCAGTTAGCTGCACCATTTGGGATCAGCGAGACACCAAAAAGGCGCAGCTTTCGGTGCTGGAGATTGCATCTTGCATAATCGAACGTGTAGACTCAATGGGCGAGACTCACGACTATATCTACATTGGCATGGTCTTCTCTTTTCTACTAACACTAATCCCCATTTTTTGTCGACTCTGCGAGGTATCAAAAACTTTTTTTTGCGAAGCTTAACTTGTTTATAGCATTTAAACTCCAACTTTTCAAACTCTTTGAAGGTTACTCTCGGGAGCGATGCGGATAAAGCTAGTGAAATTAGCTACCTTTATATGCCGCAGCTGTTATGGGAGAAGTCGTCGGCCTCGTTCTACACTTTGTTGAGCTTTGCCTTTGGCGATACCCAGTGGGAGCGTACCATCCTGGCGCTGGGCTTTGTACAACGCCTCTGCCTGACCCTTATCCTGTTTATCATATTTGCCGTGGCAGAGCGCACCTTCAAGCAACGCTTCCTTTACGCCAAACTCTTTTCCCATCTCACGTCGTCGCGTCGGGCTCGCAAGTCGAATCTCCCGCACTTCCGTCTAAACAAGGTGCGCAACATTAAGACCTGGCTTAGCGTACGGTCCTATCTAAAGGTGAGCTAGATATATCAGAGAATATATTGAATAAAGTATTTTAATTTGTTTCCACAGAAACGCGGACCCCAGCGATCGGTGGATATTATCGTTTCTGCCGCATTCATTGTAACTCTTCTGCTGTTGGCCTTCTTAAGCGTGGAGTGGCTTAAGGACTCGGTGCACCTTCACACTCATTTGACGCTGGAAGCTTTGGTCTGGTCAATTACAATCGGGATCTTCCTGCTGCGCTTCATGACTCTGGGCCAGAAAATCCAGCACAAGTACCGCAGCGTGTCGGTGCTGATTACGGAACAAATCAATCTGTATTTGCAGATTGAGCAAAAGCCGAAGAAGAAGGATGAGCTGATGGTGTCAAACAGCGTGCTCAAGCTGGCCGCCGATTTGCTAAAAGAACTCGAAACGCCATTCAAGATCTCTGGCCTCAGTGCCAATCCATATCTATTCACAACCATTAAGGTGGTCATCCTGTCGGCCCTCTCGGGCGTTCTTAGCGAGGTTTTGGGCTTCAAGCTGAAGCTGCATAAAATCAAGATCAAGTGAATCAAGAAGGGCGGAGATCCATCATATTTTTGTAGTACAACTTTTTCGAAACGCTTTAAGAGAAATCTACAACTACACCTAACTTTAAACTAGTTAAGGGAATAAATTTAAGCGAGCCAATGTTTATGCTTGTCAAGTGATTGTTTAGCAGCGTTAACAAGCCCTTACTGACTACATAAATAAATATACATAAGTATTTACCACCTACCATCTAGAGCGACCTGCACAATCACAAATCATGTAAACTTAAATTGTGTAATGAACCGTATAAAAGTTCATAGAACTTTAGCATAAAAGCAATGCACCTTTTGTAGTTGGCTGTTTACTCTGTTACACAGTCTCAAGTTTAATTCCTAAAGCGGTCTCAGCTAGAATTTTGAAATTAATAAATGTTAGCAAAATATTTCAAAACGAGCATTAATCAAGACTTTTGGAAATGCATAATAGGCAAAATTATGTGCCTTCAGTTTTTTTAAAATTTTTAGTTATTACGGGAAAACAAAAAAAAATTTGATAGTGGTAAACTAAAAAAATTGAATGCAAAGCAAAAAAAAAAAAAATTATAATTCCCAAGAATGTTTTTTCTTTATGAAGGTTCACAATCATGAGATACATATACAAAAGCTGGATACATAATCTAATGCTGGAAATAGAAAAATGTTTTAAAATCTAACAAGTACAATAATATTCTTTTAATACTTTCTATATGTTTAAATTTCTGGAAAATATCCGAAGTTAGAGAACATTATCGTCCTGTTGTGAACAAATAATCATATTAAACAGTATTTTCTTTTTGTGCAACTAGCAACAGTTGTTTTGCTTAATCGATAGTCGACACTATCGTGATCAGCCAGCTGTTGCTGTGTTTGTTATCGTAATCAGCTCGCCAAAACTGACGTAACATTCGCCCCCTGCTCGCGTGGTAAATTCGTTTATAACTCCCGTAAAACCCTTTCCCCAATATGATCCGGCTAAATAGGCTATTTAGGAGTTCCGCGAAGATTTTGAGCAGTCAGGTTCGATTAATCCACGTGGGTGAGGCCAATGTTCTGTCCACCGAGGTTGACAAACAGTCCGCTGAGTTCAAGGTATACATCAACACTTTCATATTTATGGTTTAACAACTTTTGAATCTTAGTTTTTTTTTTACTAGCAAAATGCTAATGAGATGGGCAAGTTGGTCGGGGAGCTGAGAAACTTTACCAGCCAGGTTCTGAAGGGCGGAGGGCAGAAGGCCATCGAGCGACACACCTCGCGGGGCAAACTACTGGCCAGGGACCGCATCAACCTGCTTCTGGACAAAGGATCGCCCTTCCTGGAACTTAGTGCACTGGCCGGGCACGAGTTATACGGAGAGGAGGTGGTCAACTCCGGGGGAATCGTGACCGGAGTTGGTCGTGTTTGTGGGTAGGTCACCTCCCCCTACAAGTTTTTAATAGACATCAACCCTTACTAAGATACAAATTCTTGCGCAGAGATAATTATTAACAAGAATGATTGGAGGGCAGTTAAATGGAATTAATTAATTCCCTGTTCTGGCCAAAATGTTTTTTATAGCAGAAATTAGCAAAAGTCTGATATTCAGTTATTTTTTTATTCAATTTTGTCATTCAAATGTCTTTTTTATCACATTGCTTTACACAGTGAAAGAAAAAGTTATACCTTATAATTTTGAAAAGATTTAAAAATATTATTTACAGAAGCGCACATCTTATTGTAAAAACTAAATTTGCGAGATATTCATATACACCATTAAATTATTTCAGTACCGAGTGCGTGGTTGTGGCCAACGACGCCACGGTAAAAGGCGGAAGCTACTATCCCATCACGGTAAAAAAGCATCTTCGCGCTCAGGAAATTGCCCAAGAAAACCGCCTGCCTTGTATCTACCTTGTGGATTCGGGTGGAGCCAACTTGCCGCGTCAGGCTGATGTCTTTCCAGATAAATTGCACTTCGGACGCATCTTCTATAACCAGGCGAACATGTCGGCCCAGGGAATACCCCAGATCGCGGTGGTGATGGGCAGCTGTACGGCCGGAGGAGCCTACGTTCCCGCAATGGCCGATGAGAGCATCATTGTGAAGAAACAGGGAACAATTTTCCTAGCAGGTCCCCCACTGGTGAAAGCAGCTACTGGAGAGGAAGTGTCCGCAGAAGATCTGGGAGGAGCGGATCTACATTGCAAGACCTCGGGAGTCACGGACCACTATGCTGTAGACGACGAGCACGCCTTGTATTTAGCCAGACAGATTGTGAGCAATCTGAATCTGCCCGCCACGAATTCCTACAACGATCAGCTGATACACTCCAGCCGAGCCAACTTCAAAGGAGTTAGTCCGGCAACTGCCATAGAGGATCCGCGCTACGATCCCCGCGAGTTGTACGGCATCGTGGGTCCCAATCTCACCAAAAGCTTCGACGTCCGCGAGGTGATTGCTCGCATCGTTGATGGAAGTCGGTTTACGGAGTTTAAGAAGCTATACGGCGAGACTTTGGTATGCGGATTTGCTAAGCTATACGGTCACACAGTGGGCATTGTCGGAAACAATGGAGTCCTCTTCTCGGAGAGCGCCCTCAAAGGTGCTCACTTCATTCAGCTGTGCGCACAGCGCAAGATCCCGCTGGTCTTCCTGCAGAACATAACTGGTGAGTTGCTGATGGGCTTGGCAGACATCAATTTTCTAACACTTTTCATTTAGGTTTTATGGTGGGACGCGATGCTGAGGCCAATGGTATTGCCAAAAACGGTGCCAAGATGGTCACGGCCGTGGCCTGCGCCAATGTGCCCAAGTTCACGGTGATCATCGGCGGATCATATGGTGCTGGCAACTACGGAATGTGCGGACGAGCCTATTCGCCACGATTCCTTTACATGTGGCCGAATTCCCGAATCTCGGTGATGGGCGGTACTCAGGCAGCCAATGTTATGGCTCAGATCACCCAGGATCAGCGCAAGCGAGCTGGCAAGGAGTTTAGCGAAGAGGAAGCTCAAAAGCTGAAGGCTCCCATTGTGGAAATGTTTGAGGCAGAGGGCTCTCCGTACTACAGTACGGCTCGACTGTGGGACGACGGCATCATAGATCCGGCCGATACGCGTAAGGTTTTGGGGCTGAGCTTAAAAGCATCCATAAACAATTCCGGACAGGACACAAAGTTTGGAGTCTTCCGCATGTAAATCCGATTTGCATGAGCGTGAAAGGAAATTATGAGCATTTACAGGCATTTAATGCCGACTTTTATTTCGAAACTGTTGCATTTATTAGCGTTAAGTGAATTGTTAACTGTGTAATATACAATGAGTGTCTATTTGAATAAAAAGGTATTTTGACAAATGGTACTACAACTAAAATAAGAGTCCGCAAGTGTTGAATGGTGGAAAATAATTCGTTTTTGTTTTTTGAAAGCATTATTGACTTACAACTGAATAAAAATAAGACTTTAAATATAAACTTGAAAAGAATATATAACTTCGAATCAACGCATGCGGAAACTCTAAACACTGCTTACAACTTATATTATAAAATGCTTTTTTATTTTGGCAATATAGTAGAATCCTGTTAAACCGACTCCGCTTATAGTGTCTGTCAGACAAAAACTCGATGGCTTGTGTGTGTGCTTATACATTTTTGAAATGTTTAATCTGCATTAGCATCTGATTTTCTATTTATTCTTAGTGGCTTTGAAATTAAAGTTCAAAGCGCAACACAAAACAAAAAATATAGCTTTTAAGTTAAATTAAAATTTATAACATTTTTAGAGAGAAAGCTTGTTTGGTTATATACGTAGAACACAGTGTGCGGTCTTCCCCTAGTTTAAAAATTACCGCCTTTATTGGATGTAGCACTCGCTAACTTTGGTTAAAGAATTCACTAGCTTAGGACGGCTTAGGTTAATAGGGTGTACACTGTACAGTGTACACGATAGGGTAGGAGGTGTTGGCTAACGCAAAATGTTAAATTCTAGAGTTGGGAAAACACCGATTATCGAAACATCGAGTTTTCATGCAATTTTAAAACATTAACATATCGATGTTCTCACACCTCTATTTCACATCCCCAGCTCGCTCGCTTGTCTGAAGACTGTTCGTCGAAAAAATTAACGTCTCTTTGTTAAAGTCAGAAATCACTTAACACGCCCTCGACCCAAAGGACCACGACTATCTGAGAGGTGAGTTTGTCGGAGGATCACCGAAATTGCCGGCTGAGTGCGTCTCTGTATCCGTATGAGTCAGTGAGCGTGCGTGTGTGAGTGTGGCTTCTCGAGTTTTCGCAAAAAAAGAAGAGAAGAAATGGCAAAACCTAGAAGTAGCGTCAGCAGAAAAGAAAGTTCATCGGTATGTGGCGGATTTAAAATAACTTTGCCGAAAACTTCAAGTGCACACTTTGAATAGCTGTACACTGCGGCGCATCCGTGCGCCTGTATGCGTGCGTGTGCGTTATGTACATATTTAAATGTCGCCTGCTGCTGTTTCTTCCTCCAAAAATAAAATTTCCTATCCTGGCTTCGCATGAGTGTGAGTGACTGTCATCTTGCCGTGCAAGAGTGAGTGTGTGTGTAGAGTGCTTGCCACAGCCGCAAAAAAGAGGCCGCAAAAATTCCGGTGCAATGTATAGTGGCTAATGTGCCCAACCCCTGGTGGCCTTTACGTCTGGAAAAAGCGGGGAAACCATATTTTCTGGACTCTTTCCGGTTTTAGGTGTTGTTGTTTTGAGCCTCTAGTTTGATGACGTCACTCTTCTCCGTTTTATCTGTCAAACCCCCGCATTTTACGGTGTGCTTGTGTGTGTAAGAGACTGCCTGTCCAGTTACCAACAGTTCTTGGACTTGTTTTGTTTTCTTTTAGCTTGAGTTACTATTTTTATTGGCTTAATTGAAATCTGCTACGCCGACGCAGCTTTCTGGCCTCTAAGTTATTCCAATAGATGATTGCCGGTTTCTTTTTGGTTTCCCCACTCAAAAAACCATACTCTTACACGCTCTCAAGCAGATTTAGCTCATATTGTTGGAATGTTTATTTGTTGCTCAAACAGCTTTGTGTCGTTGACACACTTCTACTCTGATATACATAGATCGATTCACATTTGAAAATTTTTAAATATGGGTACAATTTAATGGGCTAAATGGGAGGCCCCTTTTTAGGCACTAATCTCCCGTTTTTCGCTGCTCTTTTCTGTTTTCCTGGTTCTGCTTAATTAGTTCGCATTCAACTTCCGATGCACGCGCCCACACTCGCACACATGTACACTTACTTATCGACAGCCACAACAAAACATACACGGCAAAAAAAATACAACAAGAAAATAAGAGATTGGTCATCCATTTTTTGGTTTCTCATCAAAAATTGACACAAATCAATGAGTAACCAATTCGGAATTCAGAAATTTGTTTTGATACCCTATTTTATCTTCATGAGATTGATTGCTTTTAGTATCAGGTAAACGGATTTATTGCAAAGAAAGCTTATTGCGTTTGAGAAAATGCAATAAGGAATATTATTTGCTGACAGGGCTTAAAAAAGGAGTCGTTGGATAACTAAAGATTTCCGCCATTTTTTTGTATTTTATAATCAAAAGGCTGGCATATCTAAATGCATTGATCAGGGGCAACTAGCTGAGCTTTTGTAAAGTTTATTTAAACATTTTTTTTAGTTGTACAGTATTGAAAAAATATGGTGATGGCCCCTGATCTTTGGAAATAATAAATTTAGATACCTACAGCACTTCAGATAGCTCTGGTTTGAATTCTTATTCGTTATGGTTAATGAATTACATTTTTGTTGGTTCCCAGAAACTAATAAAGTAAATATAAATGAAATTTGCAACAAGTCATGTCATAAAATATACGATCGCATTTGCGATTGGAGTTTTTTATTTGGAGCGAAATGGCCAGTCAGTTGATCGTAATATGCATTTTTTCCTGTGCACGATTCCCAACTCGTTGTATTTGGGGCATGGCTATTGTTGTGCCTTCTCCTGGCGGGGGGCACTTAAATCAATAAACTAGCAGCAAATCGCTCCGCATTTGAATTGAAGTTCCGCCCTTTCGGGTCAATGCACCCAACACACTCGCACAGCCTAAAGGTGGCGAGGCAGAATGTTACGGAAACACCGAAAGGCACACGACCAAAGTGAGTCGGTGTATATTTATAGGCTGGCTGCCAACTGCCGGCTAATTCTTTATCTCACTGGCCCACGTTCGCATTGCCCATGTTCTATGTTCCTGCTGCCCAGCCTGACATTGATAATGCCAATGACGCGGTCCATGAGTAATCTTCGTCTTCGAGAAAGGAGCAACGATGTCAGCGAAGCGGAGCGCTGACGACGAACAGTACAAGTTCATTGTTCGCCCATTCCAGTATCCGCGGATTGCCTTCCTTCCACTCGCTTGCCATTTCATTTGATTGCCGTTTACGCTCTCGTAAGTATTCAAGACTGTATTGAAACGCCTTTATCTCAGAAAATTCAGAAGAGTATCCGCAAAGGCATTTCTAGCTCTTCGATTCTATAGTATTCTTCTTTATCGTCAACATTACATGCATTACATGCGTACTGTAGCGGCTGGAATATTTTGTAAGTTTATTTAAATGCTTTGTATAGAGTCGAGTCCCGATAATTCGAAATGGCAAGGGGACCACTTTTTTTATTACGAATTAGACGGGAATTCGATTTATCGAGACTTTTTTCAAGGGAGTTTTTTTCAAGCGAACAGAATTTTTTACGAATAATCGCGATTTTCGATTTAGCGGGGTACGAATTATCGGGATTCGACTGTATTTTTAATTTATTTTCCAAGTGTAAGGTTGTTCGAACTCTAGGTAGGTTTTGAAATTGGAAAAGTCCTTAACCTAGGTCGAAGAATTTGTAAAGTTAATATCGACCAAAGTTGGATCCTATCTTGTATTTTGGCTAAAATAACGGTATTTTTTGTCTCTTAAAATTGTAACCACTTTATATTAAATGTACTCAAATGTTAAATCTTTCCGTCTATAGCTCTGTCAATGAATTATGAAAAACTGAAACCATCTATTGTGGTTTCCAAGTCCATAAGGTGCCAAGAGGAGTGCCGACTAAAAGTATGCCTTGAGGATGTTGCTTTTCAGTTAGGAACTCAACCTAGGGACAGTTCGGAATTGCCAGTAGGTCTTAGACTAGCTTTGAAACGAAACAAAAGGAAAACAAAAGTAACTTTCACAGTTCTTTTAATTCTGCGAAGTCGGGTTAAGCAAACGAGAGGATAGATAGAAGAAATTTGCGAGGAGCACATTAGATATATAATATATACAACTGGTAAGTGCATTGAACATGGTAAATACTTAAACGGGTTGTCTCTCATTCCGGGAAGTAAGCTAATTAGTTTTCGGTTTGGAAAGGCCTTTCGTGTGGTTTTGCAGCAGAGAGCCAAACAATCGAACTTCTCTGCAATAGGCCAACCCGCCAAACAACTTTCGAGGAACATATTCTGCAGATTCGTGGAGTGAGTGTGCAACGGTAACATGTCCAATAACAATCATTTGGCGTTCCCGGTTGCCGCTTGCCTTGCTGATGATTATCGTGATCTTGATATTGAGCACGCACATGGGACACGCTTCAATGCATCCAGAGCCAAAACAATTATAAGCTAGCGTAATTAAGAGCCGTTCATGGCAGTAGCACTCCCACACGGAATTGAATATACGTTGAGCCGCTCGAAGAGCACTAACCAGTCTTTTGCATCTTCGTTTTTAGAGCCGCTCAATAAACCAGAGGACACCACCATAATGGCTGTTAACGTTTACTCTACAAATGTGACGTCTGAGAATCTCTCACGCCACGACATGCTGGCCTGGGTCAACGATTGCCTCCAGTCGCAGTTCTCCAAAATCGAGGAGCTCTGTACAGGTAAGTGGTCTTCGCCTGTCTCAAAAACGCTTATTGGGATCGACCTACGCTTCCACTTCTAGGTGCCGCATACTGCCAGTTCATGGACATGCTGTTCCCCAATTCAGTGCCCGTAAAGCGTGTCAAATTTCGTACAAATCTGGAGCACGAGTACATACAGAACTTCAAGATATTGCAGGCGGGCTTCAAAAAGATGTCTGTGGATAAGGTAATGCTTGCTCACTTCTCATAGTTTTGTTTTCTCCGAGAGTTTTTATTTGATTTAAACACACACAACCCCGACCAATCCCGAGAATGTAGAGTGGACATGGGCACGGTACAGTGGAATCGCTCGAGGCGAACGTTTCTTGCTTCGAGCATCCCTACACTGTACCAATCAACTCTGTATGTTGTAACTAACTACTATTTCCGTTACAAATCAACAACACGACCACGCAAACAACGACGGGCATAGATCATACCAGTTGATAAGCTGATTAAGGGACGCTTTCAAGACAACTTCGAGTTCCTCCAGTGGTTCAAGAAGTTTTTCGACGCCAATTACGATGGCCGCGAGTACGACCCGGTTGCCCAACGAGCCGGCGTCAAGCTGGGCAATGGCAACGGACACGGAAGCAACGGAGGCAGCGGCGTGGGCAGCAGCAACAACGATCTCCACCTGATGCACCGAAGGCCGATGCAGGCTCCAGCCGGAGGCGTCCGCATGCAACCGCGGGCCATCGCTCAGACTGGTACGGTTACGGGTGTGGACTGAGATCTGTCGAGCCCACGAATTCCGGTGTTGGGAGCGCGCCTTTGCTTGCCATTTCATATTGAGTTGCGAGGCGAACGAACGTGAAGCACGCAGCGGAAGCGGGCAGAACTGGAATGCCACTACACACCACTTCACACAAAACTCCACCCTCTGCACGGTCTTGAGCAGCAGGCGCACCAATTATTACCAAACAAGCACACACATTCAGTCGCATCTTAGCACAAAGCACACGAGTCGGAGGATCTGTTCTTGTCCCACACCCAAACCCACTAATCCCTCTTCATCCTCGTAGTCAGTGATGGGAATTTCCTAGGTCCTAAGTTCGTTGGTTTTCTAATCTAAGGAGGTGAGGTCTCTAAAGAAACTGTATTTTGTTTGTTATATTAAGTAAAGGTTTCTAGATTTTGTGTAAAAACACTATACATACCTACCACATCCGAGTAGGATGTAACTTTTAACATGTTCTTTTCCTAGGTCCTTTCCCATCACTGCTCATGCCTTTGCAAAGTGATCATACGATATTGGCCTGCAAGAGTATGTTCTATTTGCTTTGGCTTGCCAAAGAGATCTTTGTTTGTCCTAAAGTCATGCTGTGTGTTTATCCTACTTTTGTTCCCATTGCATTTGGTTTCACCACACACTCTCTCACCTGTCTGCATATTTCTCACCCATTTTACTTTTAGATTATACCCATTGACAAATTGATCAAGGGGCGCTTCCAAGACAATTTCGAGTTTTTGCAATGGTTCAAAAAGTTCTTCGATGCCAATTACGATGGCAGGGAATACGATGCCAGTGCGGTGCGCGAAGGAGCCCCAATGGGCTTTGGCTCGGGGGCGGTGAAGTCCCTGCCCGGCACGGCGGCCAGCGGCGTGTCCAGCAGCTATCGACGTGCCCCGACGGCAACGACGCGCCCGGCGACGACGTCTGCAGTGAAGCCCAGTATGTTGTTTTGGTTTGGATCCCAAGTTTACCTCCTATCGCTATCTTTCCTTTCATTGTCATAACGCACATGGTCTGACAATTGTACATACCGCATGCCATGGTCTATGTAGATGGCTACTCATGTTTATGCACCTCCTCCACGTTAACACAAACATTAACACTAAAAGCTAAGCTGTCTGTGCTTCGCGTTTGTTGAATACATGAGCTTCTACTCCCGCGACCCGATTATTCATCTACTAACCTCGCTCCGTTTCGCCCATTCAAGCAGTCTCCAAGGTGTTGCCGCGCACGAACAACGCTGCGCCAGCGAGCAGAATTACTGCTGGCGCCAACAACACGGGAACGGTCAAGAAGAACGACGCGGCCAACTCAGTCAACAATCAACAGATTGAAGAGATGTCCAACCAGGTGGGTGATGAACAAGACAATAAGCAAAGAACAGTTACTAACGTTAAGGATCAGGTCATGGATATGCGCATCAACCTGGAAGGCTTGGAAAAGGAGCGCGACTTTTACTTCTCCAAGTTGCGGGACATCGAAATTCTGTAAGTTCCCAAGACGATCCGTTCGCAACCGAGCTCACAGTCTTTCTCAATTCTAGTTGCCAAGAAGCTGATGATGGCGAGGCGCATCCTCTGATTCAGAAAATATTGGACATCCTATATGCGACTGAGGTAGGACATGACCGTGGTCTTCTTCGCAGGCCTTGCAATTACTTTATATATTTCCTTTTATAGGATGGCTTTGCGCCGCCAGATGATGCACCACCAGAGGACGAGGAGTATTAATTTAAAACAAGAAAAAAATCAACCCACGAAATTCATTTGCTGCATACATATTCAAAACATAAGTCAAGAAGCAAGATGAGGGGGTAAAAATAAAGTTTATTAGACAGGAACCAAGGAGACGTTAAGCAAACGCGGAGACTTACGAATGCATATAGAGTTTAATTCCCAAAGCCGAGATTGACGACAGAAACGCTAAGTGATTGAGTCGTTATTTTTCAACCATTATTTTGATTTGAACATGCCGCTGCTCAAACGATAGAATACGGGGATTATTTTTATATTATACAGATCTTTCGATTCAAAATTTTTCTCGCGGCTGTTACCCTGCAACCTGCTGTTGCCGATGAGTGTGAGCGTCATCATAAACTATTGCATATTTAAATTGTTTGTGTTTTAGCGGAATAAAAAACTATAATCTCATGCTGACACTTTTCAAAACTCTTTGTTGAACACACAAAGACCTAATTAAGAAAATTGTTTCAACATCTCCGATTGGTATGATTTAGCTCACTCTCTGTATCATATGCTTTACATAATTAAAACAAGTTGAATATATTTTTATTTTTTGTATAAGTCAAACTTTTCTTTGCTGACTAATCGTTTTGAGTGTTGTATGTAGTGGATCTTAGGAGCCGAATTTGTATAATTTGATAATATATCCAACAAACAGATGTCATTTATCAAACGGTATCTCTACTTTCAATTTTTACTCCTGATTGGCTTCATAACGACATGATTATATACAATAAGTGATTTTTTGCTCTCCGATTTTTTAAGTTCAATATTTATGTGTAAAAACAGGTAGAACTCGTTAAAAAGTTTAAATAAAAAGCGAACATCTTTCTATTTTCTAAACACACTTTTTTAATTGTTGGCTTTGCATTGAAGTCTTGACATGGTCGGAATCTTATGTATAACACACTGTTCCCACCCTCTTTTTTTCCTTTTATAATCATTGTAAATAATTTGTTAAAGCTTGTAACAATAACTAATTATATATCACATAACAACAGTCAACACGTGCTCTCGTCAGACGCTTAAAAATTGTATGTTTATGTGCTTGCACAGCATTAATAGGATGTACCATTTACGTTCTATAATCTAGAATAAAAAACATGTGTTGCTTGATTCAAAATTAATGCATTTCTTATTTTCACACACGAGTACATCGACGAAGTTCTGGACTATTTAACGGCTGTCTGGATGTGCGGTTGCTTGTGGGTTCCATCGCAAAAGGGTCTGTGGGTGGTTTGTTTGCAGTTGCACAGCCAGTAGTCCCCCGACTTTTCCACTTTAAAGCGGATGGGCCTGCAAAATGTTAAGTATTAAATTGAAAATACACTCTTCCTAGCGACACCTGATTGTGGTCTTACCTTTGTTTGATCTTCAGGAACTCATTCTTGTGCATGCCATCGCAAAGGGGCTGAGATTTTGACTTGCCGCACAGGCACCAGCTGTAGGTTTTGTCTGTTGGGTCGCAAGTTGTGGTTATGTAAACACCGTTGGAGACCTTTGTTTTTTTTTATATTTGTAAGACATACCTTTGTCCAGGTGTATCTTAAAGGGTCGCTTGTCGAAGATAGCTCCGTTCTCCTTTTGAAGAACGGCTGTTTGCTTATCCTCAAGCAGGTTTTTGGGTATTGTTTTGGCAGTATTACCCGATTGCGCGTTGGAGCTGTAATAGGCCTGCAAACAGTAATACTTCCAATTTGGCAAAAGATTTTCTCAGACTATTAGAATATTACCTTCAGCACCCAGGACGCCCGAAAGTTCCGCTTTAATATTACCGACATGGTGCGGAAGATTTATTTATTTTATGAATTTATTCAGCTGCTTACGCGAATGTATCGATTGAAATATGTTGAATTCATCGATTATTTTTCGGGTCACAGTGCTCTGCAAGTTTAGTTTTTTAGGTAAAATTTTTGTATTTTCTGGTATGTTAAAAAACTAGATTTGAAGCTCAGATTTTGTCAAGACGGTGCTCCCTGGTTAAAGGAAAATTTAAAATTCAAATCATGTTAGGGCTGCCAGACACATTCAAACCTGAATACAGTGTTGTATAACTCTGTTGGCGAGGTGTGTGTTTGAACCGATGCTCTATCTGCCGTTATCGCTTCCCAAGGTCGCACTTTGAAATTTGATTTCGCAATGCCAGAATCTGTTTCACTGATATGGAGAGATATGATTTGGATGCGCCTGTGAAATGTCTCTTTTCGTCGTAGGTATTAAAGCCACTATCTCAGACGTTCATCTGAATGAAAGCTCGTTATATACCCAATACTGACTTGGAATTCTGACTGGCAGAAGCACACGCCAGATACCCCAGATAACGCCGATTTATCAAGCGGCCCCGTTAGACAAGCTGATTAGTCCCCAACCGCCCAGAGATTTTCTACGTAATATACTTTATTTTACAATACAAATACTACATATGCGGGGGTGTCTTAAAAACCTGTTCCAACCAATAATCTAATATCGGTGTCCAGAAACCATTCCCAATTTGAAAGCACCGTTTCGAAAGACGTTATTCCAAAACTTGTGCACAAATTCTGGTGCACCGACCGATTATTGGGTTAGATCCAAAACCGACAGCCCCTAAACCACCAGAGATTTGCAAGACACCCCTGATGGCGTTTAGAACTCATCGTGGAAAGGGTAGAACTTGTGCCCGGCCATTCCGGAGAAGGGCACCGTGCGCTGCCCCGTGTGGTACTGCTCCATGCTGGCGACGTCCTCCGGACTCAGCTCGAAGTCAAACACCCGGAAGTTCTCCTCGATGCGCGCCTTGTTCGAGGACTTGGGCAGCGGCACCACGCCCAGCTGGACCAGGTAGCGTAGGCAGATCTGGGCCGTGGTCCTGCCGTACTTCTTAGCCAGCTGCTGGGCGTGATCGTCGTAGAGGAAAGGCGGCCAGTGGCGGGCGGGCTGGGGGCGTGCCAGAGGGCAGTAGGCGCAGATGACCAGGCCGTGTTGCTTGGCGTGGTCACGGAGCTGACGCTGCTGGAATCCCGGGTGGCACTCCACCTGGTTCACTACCGGTCGAACGCGGCAGTTGGCCAGCACTCGCTCCGTCTGGGCGGCATTGAAATTGGACAGACCGATGCTGCGCACCAGGCCCAGGTCAACCAACTTCTCCATCTCGCGCCAGGTGTCCAGGTAGTCCACATCCGTCAGCTCCAGGGTGCCGTGCACGTTGCTGTCGTTGTGGAACTTCTGGCCCACGGGCATGTGCATCAGGTAGAGGTCCACGTATTCCAGGCCCAGGTTGCTCAGGCTCAGGCGGCAGGCGCGCTCCACCAGCGCCGGGTCGTGGTGAATCCCGCCCAGCTTGGTGGTCACAAAGACCTGCTCACGGGTCACCACTCCCTCGGCAATCTTCTCCGCGATCGCTTGTCCCACCTCCGCCTCGTTCTCGTACACGAAGGCGGTGTCCAGGTGCCGGTAGCCCACGTCGAGGGCGTGACGCGTCGAGTGGTAGGCGTCAGACTCGAAGGACTTCCAGGTGCCCAGGCCCAAGATCGGCATCTCGCGCCCATTGTTTAGCCGGATGGTGGGAGCCAGATTTGTCATCGTGTCGCTGGCGCTGATAATTAACGCTGTGCAAATTGGACGCTTCTGAATCGCTGCGATTATGTATTTGTTTTTGGGTCTGGAACGGCAATCTCTGTCTGTTCCAGCACGTCGAAGGCTTCGCGGACAACTGTTGGCCCGCTCAGCCGGTTTCGTTGATTTTGTCACGGCGGCGAAGCAGCTGCTGTGTCATCCGGTGACGTCATGGACGGTTATTCCCAACCGGCAAAAGCTCTTTCAGAGAGCGGAGCGAACGGAGCTTTGGGCGCGCACTTGGGCAACATAAATCGATATTCAAACGTGACCTGCAAAGGTGATCTGCGTTTCCCTGCATTTTGCAAATTATGACGAATATAAAACTTTTTCAGCGCTGGATAAATCACATGCACGACGATTTTGTTGACATTTGCTTTTAAAGGCTCTGCGATGATATTTATTTATTCACTCTTTGTGAGGAAAAAGTGGGCTTAAAGACAGCAAATTTCCGATGTATACTAAGCATTCTTTTGTGACTATATTTTTTTTTTGCTACTATAAAATTACTGGGGGATGGGGGAGAGCATATCAGGCAAAGTGTCTGATTGCATTCAACTTGGTGAATGCCACGTGGTTCTCCCTGGATTGCCATTCAACATCCGTTGAGTGGCAAACTAAAGCGCATACTCGACGTGCGATCCTGTCGGGGTCCCAACATCAATGGTCGGCATTATCTTGTTGCAGCTAAGATTCGCACACGGTTATGTGTTGCGAAGGTTGCACGTCGAGGGCTGCTGAGAAGGCTGGACATCGGGCAGCTGCAATCACAACAGACAAGACCTGAAGACAACAGCGATCAGTGGGCGCTCATATCCCACTCCCTGCGAACTTCCGCAGAAGAAGTCATTGGATTCCAGCGCCCCCCAACAAGGAATCCATGGTATGACCAGACCAGGAGTGTCGTGACGTAGCAGCTGCAAAAGACGCCACCTACCGAAGAACACTGCAAGCTGGGGCTACACGGGCTGTTGTTGAGGTCTACAGGTTAAGGAGAAGAGATGAGAAACGCCTTTTCAGACGCAAGAAAAGAGAACAGGAAAACCGAGAGTGTGAAAGCATAGAGAGCAGCAGAAGCCGAAATTAAGCTCGTAACTTCTATCAGAGGGTTAAGCGTCTGACCCAAGGTTGTAAGACTGGAGGAGTTGCATGCAAGGACAATGTCGAAGACCTAGTCACAGATGCAGAGATTGCGCTGAAGTTTTGGAGGGATCACTTCTCAAGCCTATTAGCTATGAAGATTATGATCCACAAACCCCAATCTATGGTACTGATATCGATGTACCCCCCCAAGCCATGCCGAAGTCAAGGATGCAATCCAACGACTTAAAAACAATAAATCTGCAGGTGCTGATGGCCTGCAGGCTGAATTGTTTAAGGCAGCTGGTGATATGTTGGTAGGGAGCATGCACCAACTAATCAACTAATCACGTTCCGCCCCGTAAGGTGTTTGATGCGGTAATTGTCGGGAAACGGAGAAGAGGACGACCCCGGACGCGTTGGCAAGACCAGGTGATGGAAGCCCTGTCTACATCCGCTGCTGCCAACTGGCGAAGGCGCGCAGGGATGCGTGGAGGCGAGTCGTGCAACAGGCTGTGACCCGTTAAGGGTTGTGATGGCCAATTATTATTATTATTATAAAAGTACTAGTGAAAGAATTAAGTAATTGAACCTACAATAGGGCAAAAATGTAGTAATAATAATCAAATTAATGAGATCGAATGCCTTTCCCAATAGTAGTCGTTGATTGGTGAAAAGAGGTTTCCCAATCAAAGACATTGCCCCTCAAAATATAATACAATTTAATAACAAATACCAACTCGCTAACACATAAATCTTTATTCGAATATTAGTTGAGTTCAAAATGTTAGACATTCAAAGATACATGCTGGTTTACACTTAGCTTCAACGGTTAGGGTTTGCCATTAAAATATCTATCTGCTTTGCATAAATCTCACTTCACTTGTCGCAATACGGGTGTACATGTAATAGTATTTGTTATCTGGTAGTTCGGTTAAAAGATCTGCTAAACATATACAGGCCTATGCCATGCTCGATGGATTAATTACTTCTAAGTGGTTTGTTGGTGTTGTCTTCTTACTGTGAGCTCTGGGGAGCCATCTCTTTCGACCCGTTACGAACTATTTACGTTACTCTATTTTGCTATATGGTAGATAAGTAAACTTCGAGATTGTTTTGCGTTAGACATGTAAATACTGATTTGAACATTTAGTGGTTAGTTCTAGTTACGGCTCGAATATTTACTGACTGATTATGACTGATTGGCATTAGTTATATTGCGGTAACGGAGGTATATACGTATAGCATGAATATATCTGGTTCTGTGCATCCGTGAGTTACCCGTTGATGATAAATTTATGCGAAGTGCCTATTTAATATTTCGGAAAATAAAGTTCGTAGAGTTATGTTTTGAGATTGTCAAATCGAATCACAAGTAAAATTTGAAAATTTCCCTTTTTCGAGTACTTGCCTATATATTTTATTGGTATATGTAGGTATTTGGTAATTAAGTATGTATATCTGCAGTATTGAAAGTGCACAACAATAACATTAGTGAATGCGTATTGTTGGTTTTACTTTGACGTAGCAGTACTCAAAAATATAGAAACGTTTTGGCTTTGACACATAGGGTTTCCTTGGTGTGGAAACGATTGCTTAAGACTAGCATAGGTTCCACGAACTATATTCTAGAGTTATGAATACGTTAGATTAATATTTCGTATATAAGAGTTGTTTTTGTGTTGAAAATTTCCTCAGAGGACTGTAAGGTTGCGTCGGGTTCATAACGCCTACACAATTCTATGTGGATGATTGTGTTAGGTTCTACCCGTTTCCGTAGCACAAGGTGTAGATAAAGTAATTAAAGGCTTTCCGACCCTACTTACAAACTGCTCTGTACTTAAATTGGTGTTGCGTTGCTTGTAAATTAATACGAAACGTTTACATTCCGTTAACTATAAACTAAACAATATTATTTCGTTCAAATCGGCTCGCTATATCTATAAAAGTTTTATTGAAAATTCGTTTGCTCTTGCTTTGTATTACTTCTTTTTGGGGGAGAAACCACTGGATACTTAATGTCTTGAATTGTAGTTGAATATGCTTTTTGCTTGATTGGTTTTCGTAAAGGATAAAATATTTTAACACGACAAATATGTTCTACGCATCATGGTCGAAGTTTTGGTTACATCTAGGAATGGTTTTTAATTATGTGATAAATCGTTGTTTGAGAGACCTTTACTTGGGAGAGGAGTTGGATTAAATGGTAACTACAATTAAGGTGTTATCTACAATATTCTTTCCGCCTCTTGTATCAGGCAGGGTATCTTTCTACGGACTTCCAGCTTATCACCAAATACCAGAGACCAAACGTTTTTACTAAACGTCAACATATAAAAAGAAAACCATATATAATCGGATCTCCGACTTTGGGATACTCGGTAAAAATGCTCGAGGGTTTTTTTCGTTTTACTTTATGCTTTTCATAATTTTATCATTCTTAATTAAATCGATTAAAGAAAGTTAAATTGGCTGCGGTTAATGCTATTCAGTGTACAAATTTGCCTAAGCTCATGTACATTTATGCTGTCGAAAAAATATAATTTATAGAGTCGGAACGAACCACATACCCGTTTTGAAATTAATTAAAATAATTCAAAAACCCTCTACATGTACCGAGTATATTTATAACATCAGATTTACATGAACAGTTGTGCTCAAAATAAGAGTAGCTCCCAAATACAACGTCACATTTTTGTTTTTTATGATATCGGTAACGATAAGTCAGCCCACAACATGCAAAAATGCTATATTTTACAAGTTCTTAGAGTGATCGTTTTCCACATATTGACGAATTGGCTAATCGGTTTCAGTATAAAAAGGAAGAATTGTTATTCCAACAGCATTTACACGAAAGGGCCACTCTTCTTTTGAACACAATTGCACTTGTCTAATGAACGTGAGTGGTTTTACACGTCTATATGGTATGTACAAATCTACAACTAATAAGGTCCCTCTCCAGTGTTAATGTTTTGCATGCAGCTGCATTTGCATATTTAATAGCTTACTTAAAATCAACAAGGTTTAAATATCCTACAAAATAAAACAAATAATGGTTGTGTAAATAAATATTTATAAACGGGTTGGTATTTTATTTGCGGATGCATTACTTAGGGGCGTAACGAATTACCAAACGAAAGTCAAATTTGAAGACATAAATAAAATAACTTATCCGCTACGTAGTTTACATGTTAATAACTAGCTTCAACTAGACTGTTTAATAGTTGGTTTAGTTTAGGGGCTTTAAAAAAATAGATTCCATGCTCTCGGATACGTTATACAATTTACAAATTATTTTACTAGCTGGCGTAGGGTTTATATAGTAAAGTTTTGTAGGAAATTATGCAGTTTAGTGCTGTTTGTTTTGATGTCGCCTCCTCTAAATGTTTAGTATCACACACGTCCAAGTTTGTTTTATTCGCTTCGGTGTCCGCCGGGATTGCCGAATTTAAAATTTGTTTTCCATCTTTCGTTTTGTACTAAAGCAAAAAGTTTCTCGTTTGCATTGAAATGCGTTTGGGGGTTTTAGTTCATTAGAAGATTGAGATAGTTCTAGTCGGGTCACATGTAGATACACTGTAGCTTATTCTAATGCGATTGCGGATGCGGATGCGGATGCGGATGTGGATGTGAATGAAAGTTGGCCCGGGTTGTGGTGGCCGTGGCCGAAGTTGGCTTCCCGAAAACAACCCGGCTAAGCTCATAACTGTGCAGCTAATTGCGGTTCGATTAACACGCACGCAGGGTTAGACACTTAATACGGGCTACGGCTAATGGGGTAACTTAGAGCTTCCTGGTGGGCTCCACCTTCTGCGACATGGCGGTGAGCACCCGCTGGTTGTCGATGACGCGGAAGCTGCTGATGTACGACCGCACCTCGCCCTCACTCTTCGGCGACGGCGGCTCGAGTCCTGCGGCAGATCGAACGGAATGAGAACCTTACTTTCGGGGGAAGTGGAGGTGGCGGGGCAGGCTTACCCAGACTCCTGGAGCGGCAGAAGCGGATGGTGCGCATCGTCTGGGCCATCATGTGCATCTTCTCGAAGTTCACCAGCCCGTCCAGGCTGGTCTTGTTGCCCTCGTGGGCGAAGGTCATGTCCTTGAGCAGCAGCGGCATGAACGGGATCAGCGGCGGCTGCAGCTTGCCCACGAACACGCGGTACGCCCTGTGGTTCCTGCTCGGGTCGATCAGGGCCTCGAACTCCTGGAAGATCTTCCTGAACTTCGAGGGGATCTTCTCCCAGGTCTGCTGCAGCCGAGACACCGCCATGTTCGAAAGGCCCATCACCACGGCGAAGAAGGCGTTCAGGTTCTGGTACTCCTTGCAGCTGCAAGGGATCAACTCGATTAGAATTGTGTCTTTTATTGGACGCGAATTCTGATAAGTTTTAATGAAATGTTTAAGGAACGATTAAGAAACATACTAACAATCAAATATGTGAGTTAAGAGTTCTCCAAGTATTTGAATATCATAAAACCAATTTTAAAACTAGTTTATTTTGGATAAAACTCATCACATTGTATTGAACTTTTGTATTTTAAACAGGCACAGTTACTGATAAATATTTTTTAAAAAATATTCCCACCATTTGATATAATTTTTAATAGATAAATGAGTTAATTATACAGTATGGAAAGGGCTTATTTCCATCACTTACTAGGCGGCCAGCTTGATGAACTTGCGGACGAGACCGACGCGTTTGCTCAGACTGGGCGTGGATACCAGTTCGGTGACGATCCAGTACTGAACCTCGTTGAAGCGGCGCAGAAAGACATCCAAGTTGGCGGTAATCTGCGAAGGGGAATGTGAGACTCGATCAATTCACTTCGAGTTGTGCCTGCCAAAAGTTGAGCCAAACACTTTGGGGCACCTTTAATGCGAGTGGCAAAACTCTCGGCTAACTTAATTTGCAGGCAGATGACAAATGGCAACAGTTTTGCGGCCAGAGCCTGGCAGGCTAATTACCCAAACGAGACTTCTGAGACTTTTTGGCAGAAGTTGGCCCCCTTACCTTGCCAAAGTGGTGCCGCCCGAAGGTGTGGTAGAGCAGCTCGTACTCGTGAACCGCCCAGAATAAGTCCCACTCGAAGAGGGTGATGTGGTAGGCCAGCTCCTTGGTGCTCAGTATCTCCAGGTCGATGTCCACGCCCTCGGTGGGACACTCCTGCTCCTGCAGCTGGGTCTGCGGAACAGCAAGGATAACGAATGGAAGTGCAACCTTCCTCAACAACTGCTTACCAAGGCATCCAGGTGATCCTTGACGGAGACGAACAGGCGGCCGTTGAGCGAAAGACCCGTCGGTATGCTCACATCGTTGTCCTTGAACACGGAGCGCTCCCCGTTAGACTTCACCTCCACGAGGACGAGGTCCTCGGGACCTCGGTTCAGCTGCAATTTGTCCGCAGCACACGCCTTTATGAGCTCCGCCGTGGTGTGCATGGGGAAGCGCAGCGTGCAGTACGTGTGGTCGGCGCAGTATACCCGGAAAATGACTGAAACGTGAAGCGGAGTTTGGGAACTTTAACTGGGAAATAAACCTACACTTAGGGAAAGCGGAACTGCTGTTCTCCTTATTCAAAAAAATTGTCGATTTTATCTTATAAGTAATCAACTTTAGTATATGCTCTTTAAAGTAACAGGTAAGCGTTGCAAATGAAATTTGTTTCTGAATTATTTCGGACAGCTATGTTTAGACGTTGTCATCTGAGTTATACAATTACAAAACTTTTAAAAATATTTACAATATTTGTGGAGTAAGAAATATACAACTTGAATTAAAGTCAGCAAAACCAATAAAGTTATGTTCTTAAAATATTTTTTCGTACTGGAGTAATGTTATTTTAAAGTAAGGAAAGTTTTCAAAGCCGATTGCACATCCAATATTAATTTGATGGTCATAATATCACAAGTTATTTTAGAAAACATTTAATAATTTGTAGCATGAAATTTCTGAATTTGTAGCACGAAATTCTTAATATTCCTCCAATTTAGATGATATTAGCAATAAGGTGCTTTGAATACTGGGTTATAGCTGCGATTGAGGACTCAAAGGCTGTAAGGACACTCACTGTCATCGTCGGGTCGAATGACTGTCTTCGAGGGCGTCGCGTTGCCGCTGAAGAGGCAGATGGGCTGCCCGTTGGGCGGGAGCTTCCACTTCTGGCCAGCGTTCTGGTTGCGGTCCTCCTGGTAGCGCGCCATCTGGGTGAGCACGTTGTGCACGATGCTGGTCTCCTCGTTCAGGTCGGGATCGGCCTCCACCTCGGCGGCGAGGTCCTCGATGAAGTCGCAGACGCTGGGCTCCTCGAAGGCGGCGTGGCGCACGGCCATCACCCACTTCTGCATGAACTGGATCACGCGCTTCTTGAAGTTGATTATGTACTCCCGATCCTCGGGAGTCTGGGCGTCCTCGTGGGCATCGCAGTGGAAGGTGCACGGCGGTTAAGGGAAACCAATTTCGATTGGGATTGCGAATCGGATTAAGTGGGGATTTGGGGTTCTTGGTTTCTGAATATCTGTCCGGCACAATCAAACCGGGTCAGCCAGTCCCAAGGTGGGTTTACCGTCTCGGGGAATCTGGATATTGATTTCTGTCCCACGTTCCTACTAACCTGGATGCTCAGTGCGGCCTGCTTATTAAACTCATCACGTATTTCGATGCAGATTGTGAGATTAGTTTCAGGCATCATTGACCAGAGTCTCCCCCTTGACTCCCCAGAACGCCCCTACATCAACCTTTTACCCCCATGAAGGCATTCGGAAAATGCTGACCCAAGTCAACTTTGTGGCTTTGTTTCGACTAAAGTTGGATTGTTCGTCCTGCGCCGAAACGGAAGCGTTGCTTGTTAGCATTTTCTGCTACACTCGAGCCCAAAAGCCACCCAAACTTGCCCTTCCCCTTCCCCACCCCCTCCTCATCCGCACCCCTTCCCGCTGGCCGAGATCAGGGTCATGTGTGAAGTGGCTTGCGTGCTGGCGACACTTAAACTGTCGCTCTGGAAATGTTTCGCTTTTCCACCCAGGGGAACGTGACTCGGCCGCGAGAAGGTCTAGTGCCACAATGCGTTTTTCCCCACTTTTGAGTGCAGACCCGCCAAGAGCCTAGCTAAACGGAGCTTGGAAGCTCCAGAAGTGCTACATGAGAATTTAAAGTGGTCAAAGGCTTAAACTCTGAGACGTGGTCAGAATCGTAGGGGAACAGAAACCCGGCTTACAGAGTTTTTCGGTGATTTTTGTGTTTTGAAAAGGATATTAATTGGCCAATTCATCAACCAGCTGCACGACGGGCATGAATACGATGTGCGTGAGCAGGAAGTCGTCCAGGAAGGGGTCCATCCCGCCGACCGACTGGCCCAGTCGCGTCTCCAGCAAATGCTCCAGCATCTTGGCCGGAGTGCCCGACATCACCGTGTATCTGGGGAGGAGATAAGTTAGATAGTTTTAGATTATTTTTTTCGTAAAACAATTCGACCATTACTCTAATTTTTCAAAGAAAAGTTCTTCTTAATGGTTCCTTTATAAATGTATGTGTGTGTAATTCTGTTTTTCAGACATAAGCAAATGATTGTATACCGTGCGATTAAGTAATAACTTGACGCATAAGATACAAGCATACATATCGAAACATTTTTAAAAAGTAAGAATAACCCATGGAAAACACATGGACAAAATTAACATTAAACAGTAAAAAGTAGGGATTATATGTTGTCTTAAGTGTCGATAAATTGCTATAAAAATCGGCATTCACGAAGAGGAGCAGCCATAAAAGGCCAAACACAAGCGAGCCATCAAATCAAACCCTGGCCGGGCTTTCAATTAAATTTAAAGGCACATTAAAAATTGATTAGACACTCACTTAAATGCTGAATGCTGTCCTCGTTGCTTGGCCACGCGCTCGAGCACTAAAACATCCTTGCCGTGCTCCTGTAGTCTCAGGGTGTTGGCCTCCACATCGCGCAGTATCCTGTTGAAGTGTTCCTTGTCCACGCGCAGCAAGTGGCAATTGTTCTCCTTGAGTACGATGGTAGCAGCTCTGCCGGAAATTCGAGAAACAGTCGGTCAGCTTTTAGCAACATTTTGCGGAGATCTAGTCATTAATTGGTTGAGCTTTATCGATTGGTTTATCACTTCAGGCTTTAATCCCGCAGAGCAAACAAGCGTTCATCAGCTGGTTGAAAAAGTGCAGTAAATGCGTGGCCGCATAAATAGCCATAAATATGGAAAATGGATGCACTTGATGGCATGCACAGCTCTTGGCCCCCCACTACGGAGCCAGGAAATATTTTAAATTGGATTCCGCCGACGGCAGCCTGGAAAAATGCACCTGCAGTTGGCAAACGAACTCGATCGATATGCGGAATTATTTACCAAAATGCGGACATGAGGACGGCCCGTGAGGCGGGATTTATTATATTTGTTTATGGCAAACAAGCTCTCTGACTATTTTAATTAACCAAAAAGCTGGATGGAGGCTTAAACTAGTTATCCTTTCGTTTTAAGCATTAAAATCGGAAACGCACGCATATAAATTAATAGTGCTCAGCGCTGGTTTTTCCACCCATATTAATACATTTATAAATGTGCTTCCGTCGCCAAGAGCTGGATTTCCTCTATTTAACCGTGCTGCAGCACTTTTTGCTGTCGAACAATGGAAACGAATTCCATTCACTAGCAACTCTTTGATAGTTCCCTTCCTTTGCGTCCGGTTTGCTCAAGCGACAGCTTAGGAAACGGCTTACAAATTGGACGTGGGCCTTGGCTAATATTTTGTTTCAATTTTCAATTGTTTGCTCTAAATGGCACACAATGCCGCTTGTTATCTGTCGCTGTTGTGGAGCTGGTGGCCAGTTTTCTCGTCCGTTGCACCAACTGGTCCGTACTATTGGCCGCCATTGTGGCAACATGGCCATTGTCGAGCTGTCAAGACCCAGTTTGTCCGAGGCCCAAGTTGCCTTCTCAAGAGCTCCAATCGTCAGCAGATGGCCCAACCATTTAGGGGTTCCCCAATGGAGGCGATTCCACTGGCATCACTCACCTGGGTGCGTCGTTTATCAAGGCCAGTTTGCCGAAATCATCGCCGGTCTTTAGAGTGGCAACAGTTCCCTTGCCGTGTATCACAACGTCCACAGATCCCTTGAGTAAGATGTACCAGGAGCGTCCTTCGTCCCCTTGATTAAACACTGTTGTTTTCGTTTTTTAATGACCATAATGGGTAAAGCATGTAAGGGAATGAAAGTCGTTATTAGTACTTATAATTGCGCATCCGCTGGAAGGGCTAGCTCGATGGCTGACCCGTTTATTGAGACATAATTAGCCGGGATTTAATTAAAAAGTTTCCCGAACTTTTCCGCTCTCGCACTGAGTGAATCATGGAAGTTGTGGGTTCTGCGGCCGGATACTCACATATTGTTCCCGCCTGGGCGTGAGCCTCGAACACGAAAATCGCGGACAGCTCCCGCTTGATGCTCGTCGATAAATGGGAGAGGGCGGCGATGTGGACCAGCTCCTCGAAAACTAGCTCCAGCTCCTCCGAAGTCCGTTCGTGCGAGCTGTGGACGGAGTATTGGGATAGCATTAAACATAAGCATGGCAGATTGCTATCGTTGGGACCCCTAAAGCCAGTATCCGTTAGTCTGCGATATAATAAAAATTTCCAAGGCTATGCTCAGGGGCGGACGCAGGGGGTCCGGACCCCCCAAATCTCAGACTTTTTTCAAAATTCCCTTACAGCATACGGCCTTTCAACCATATAAACTAAAAATTTTTTTGATCGGACCCCCGCAAACGAAAAATTTTTTGATCGGACCCAGTTTAACGAAAAAATTTCGATCGGACCCCCCCAAACGAAAAAATTTTTCGACCGGACCCCCCCCAAATTTTTTTTCTGCGTCCGCCCCTGGCTATGCTCATGACTTTTATCGACTCAATTGCACAGTGCATTATGAAATGTTCAATAGAACCTTTGGGCTCTTCTTTAATTAGTCAAAGAGCAGTAAACATGGTTATACCTCCGTGGGTAAGATAATAAAAATAAAATAAACAAAATCAAAGCGCTCTTGGCTCAATTCAGTTTGTTTCGATATTGCAATAATCGATAATTGCTGTTTTATCAGTTAAAGCTTTCCCCACTAACGGTACAGAAAATAAGATGTACAATGTATTAGCTCATCCTTAATTAAAGGTTTAGTAATATTTAATTGAATTTGAAAATAAAATATATTATTAAGTCGATCTGATCAAAACGCCGTTGTGTTAGAAATTTTTGTTTCAATCTCTAGTATGGGAGCTATCCTATATAGTCGCCCGATCTGGCCCGTTCCGACTTATATACTGCGTGCAACAACTACACAAATTTTGGGAAAGTTTCAGCAAGATAGCTTTAAAACTGAGAGACTAGTTTGCGCGGAAACGGACAGGAGGACAGACGGACAGACGTGCAGATGTGCAGACGTATTTGGATTCAGATCGTAATGCTGATCAAGAATACACTTTATGGGGTCTGAGGTGTGTCTTTCACTGCGTTGCAAACTTCTGACTGAAATTATAATACCCTTTGCTCTGTAAGGGTAAGTTTTGAAAAATAGTATGCATATATGCTGTACAGTACATGTAACTATATGCTTAGTCAACTTGAGGAAATTGTCGAAAAGTCGGTACTTATTTGGGTTTATCCCTTATCCCTGCACTTGACTTACGGCTTGCGCAATATCATACGCAGGGTGGCGTCCGGACCGCGCTGGAAAAGGGCGCTGAGCGTCTCGCGGATGTGCTCGTTGGCCGCTCCGAGGTCCTCCGCTTGGGGCACGCCCGCTGCCGCCGTTCCGCCCTCCTCGTCGAGGCGGAAGCGGTACAGGAAGCACTTGTCCTTGAAGGGCTGCTCCTTGTTCACTGCACCGGAGTGGGAATGTCAGTGAAAAGTGGTTAGTTAGTGGTTGGGGGCGCTCACCGTGTGCGAGAACTCCCTCCTCGAGGAGAGCCTGCCACATGCCAGCCGCCTGGGCGCGGGTGTGGACGATGGGCGAGAGGTTGACCAGCCAGTCGACCAGCTCGGTTCCGGGGGCGCACTTGCGGATTAGCTTGCCGGAGACCTGTCCGGACGGGATAATTAGCATCGCAAAGGTAAAGGCGCCGACCCACAACTCACCTTGCGATCCTTCAGACAGCTCGAGTTGTCGGCGACGAGAAGAGTGCGGAGGGCCCAGCCCATGCGGTTCATAGCAGGACTCGGCGTCTGCAAGGATTTCAAGTTTCTTTAGTTTCCACACCACCGAAGGTCCGGCTTTTCGGGCGCAAGTGTCAAAGCCAGAGGAAAAGCTCAAAGCGTGACCTTTCCCCGCAGCCCGCACTCATGAATAACGCATAAATATTTTGTAATTCCCCCGACAGCTTCTCGAGCAGCAAATTAACTCATTTGTCGTCGTCAATGTCGGGACATTACATTTATAATATTTATGTGAGCTTCAAGGTGGCTCTTCTTCTGCTTTTTTTTTTTGTTGTTATCCATTATATATATTTTTTCCTTTTTCGCTTACCTCAGTAATGGGCAGCGCTGGGTTCGGATGGTCGGGGCTGAGGGGTCTCTTTGTGGGCGAGGTGGCCGCTGCTGTTTGAACACTAGGACCAAAACCTGAAAACGCAGCCATGGTAATTAATTATTGTTATTCCGACTGAATGGCCTGTTCAATGCGAGTTTAATTAGCTAATTCAATTATTGGGCGCAGCCAGCAGAAGTTCGTTTGTTTGCCACTGTTTATTTTCAGTTTCCAAACGATGATGATGCCCGCGAAATTCTTTAAGCAACATTAAAGGCTTCCAAAAACAAAAATCAACTAATCGTTTTTTTTGAAAGCAACCATTCGCGATAACGCAAAATTGTTTGCTTTTTCAAACTAATAAAGAGAAAGCAAGTGAAGCAGACTCAATTCAAAACCATTAATCACCGATCGAAGGCATTGTGCTGAATGTATACACTCGTATGCAATGTTAGTCACGCAAACAATTATTATTGGTTTTGGATGGGTTTGTCGTTTACATACCGTTCTTCAATTTGCAGTTGGTGAAAATGTCATTCATTAGCTCCTTGTTTTTCTGCAATGGAAAGTGGAAAGAGTGGCCATTAAAATGCGTGGTTCGCTGTGGGTGCACTGTGCGGATTCCAATTCCAATTCCAATTACGTTGCTCATTTCGAATGCCGTCGACTGCGGACGCGTCATCTGCCCACGATCCAGCCGCCTTCGCCGCTTGACGGCGGCGGAAGTGGCGCCAGCCGTGACCTTGCTGGCCCCGCCTGTGGCCGCCACCTGCTCCTCCCCTCCGCCGCTGTGACGTCGGTAGCGAAGCAGGAGAACGCCGGGGTTCCGCTCCTCGCCGGCCACAACTTGGGAGCTCCAGTGCCGCTGGCCAGCTGCCATGTGGAGAGAGCAGCCCTCCGGGTCACTTTCACTCGCAACTGGAGTTCGAGCCAGCAGGTAACTGCTGCCAAACGCTCCTTCGCACACTGATAGCCTCCCAGAGTTGACAAACACACGAACGCCGCTGTTTGCAATTGCTTATCAGGCACACAAGGGTTGTCGAGGCCCCGAGATCGCACATGTGTCTAACGCTTTAACCCTCTGGGTTAACACGACACCCTTGACAGTTTGAGTTCCCTTATACACATCTTAGATATAGAACCTATAACAGAGCCCTCAGCGTTCATTGTGCAGTACAATATATATTCAGTTCATATTGTTTGTTTTTGACCACAAACTTCAGTTTCCCCCTGCTTCAACGTTGAACGGATTTTAAATAAAAGATTTACTTTAATCTCTAGGGGTTTGAAAGCACTTACGAAAGAGTGTAAGAGTATGCTTGGGAAAATAGTAAACAGTATTTTTACGTTTAGCCATAGGCATTAGGCCAGCTTAAAAAAACATCGTAGCATACTTTTGGGAATCATTTAAAGAGGTATTAAATCTCTAGAGATTTTTGTGCCAATTTCGCGTGAAACAGTATTCATTTCCTGGCAAACAAATAATGTTTAGGAAACAAATATGTTTTAAATTCTTATTGGTTGGGCAAAGAAAAATACTCGAAATGCTCTTCTTCCAGGCAATCTGCCTGCATTTTGTAAAAAACTAATTTGTGAAAGTAATAAATAAGAAACCTTGTTTATCAGAGGAAGTTTTCAAAAAGTTTTTACTAGTGCTTGACACACCCAGAAGAGGTGTTCTTCCAAACTTGAATGTTAAAATATTAAACAGCGAAGAGTTCTGTGGTAGTTTTAAAGTCGGTACACTTTAGTTTGAGTTACAAAACATCAAAGTTGAATGTTGTTCTTTCCGACTGGTGTTTGGGCTCCTTTGATTTGCCGTACCTAACGAGGCACGTAAATGGGTTAAATATCGAAGCCAAGACGCTTGGCAACACTTGAGGTTCCGCCTGCCGATAAGCGACAAACGACAAACGCTGCGTTGGCGTCGTCGACGCTAATTAAACTCGCTTTGCTTATCAAACGCACAGCACGCTAAAATGAGTACCACCCACTGGGTGGGAGAGGGAGTGGGTGGTCCGGGGTTCGAAAGGGGTGGAATGGGTTGCAAAGCCTTCGCCTTGAACGCCAGTCACATTAATTGAACCGTGATGCTTCCTGGCGAGTTCTGCGCTTCGAGGAAAATTGACACTGCCTTTGAATGTTTAACCAAGCGAGGGCACTAAATCAGTTCCCAGTTGCTACAAATGTATATTATCGTATTTTGGAATTTATTACGTTCAAAAAGGAACAATTTATCAAACATTTAAAATCATTTTCTTGTCTGTGGCTGTGAAACATTAGCCACTGTATTCGGTTAGCAGTCCGCAATAAACAAATATATTTTAAGTTCGCTGGCCAATATTCTCCAGCTCTTAAAGCTATTTGTTTACAACTTTCCCAGGTGCTTCATAAATTTGTACAAAGAACAAATGTTGAAACGGCTAGAAACGGAGCGTGGCTACTCTGTCAGTCGAAATGCAAACAATTTTAAATGAGACCTGGTACGTTGCCGTTTTAATGGTTCTTCGACGATAAAACAGTGTTTCGGCGAAAAGAAAACAACTATATTGCCAGCTGCCCCTGGTTAAAGTGAGTAAGTACCCCCTAAAGCACTGTCGTTTATGGTACTTTCAAGACGTCTGGATCATTTAATAAAAAGCTTGTCTATGAAAATGTTTCAACCGCATAATTTCGTATTTACTTTGGCAGCTCGTGCTAAAAACAATCAGAGCCACGGAACAACATAGAAAAGCTCTTCGTGGTTGTTATCTGAGCTCGTTACTTTCGGTCCGCTGAGACAAAGAACCAAACTATCTGCACTTGAATTTCTCTTTTAACTTAACCAAAAAGAAATCAGGGTAAGTCACTGCCAAGGAACCGCAGAGTCCTGAAGAATCTGCCGAGTGAATCCTGTGGACTTACCAGGCTGAGCTGAGTGTTCATTGAGCAGCGTTCGCATCTAGATGAAATTTAAATTGAGCCATGCAGCGTGCACTTCGATGACCAAAGTGAATTTGTCTCTGCCAAAGGCTCCGAAATCCTTCGCTGATCCCTGCCACCCCCTCACGCCCCCTCCCTCCGCATCGTAGGTTCACATGTGCAACTTGTGTTTGTGCATAAATAAATAACCCCGTGACCGTGGACATGCAACTGTGCATGCCACGGGGCTCTCAGCGGACTCGGCTGCAATATTTATGGGTTGGTTATTGCACAGACCACATGTTTGGCAATGCGGCGGTTGCACCAGCCGCCACCAGAACGGCGTGTGGGGCACATACTCGTACTTATGTACATATATCTATCTATGTGTTTTATAAAGCAGCCCGAAATTAAATGCAAATGCTTAGCAATCAAGCGGCAATGAACCGCATTTGGCATAGCACCCGCCAATCGAGTTATTTTCGCAAACTCGGCGCAATCTGGAAACTTACCGCAAGTGGCAAGTGTAATTTCCGCCGTCGACTTGCATCCGCCCGAGATTCGAGATTCGAGAGTCGGGAAGCCACTGCATTTGTCCAATCCACTTGCAATTCCAATCCCAGCTCAAATCGAAATCCGAGTGGATTGCCAAACGCTTGTCCGGAATAATTGGCAGCCATTGAATGGTAAGTGGCCCTACCAACTGCGCGTCGCTAGTTGGCATAGCTGGTTATTCACTTCTGTGCCCCCGGGTTTCGTAGAAATGAGACTGGTAATTAACCCGAAATTCCCTTTCACCCGCCATGTGGGAATACAATGGCTTTCACTGGCATTTTCAATTCGGCCCACTCGAGCAAATATTTGCGCACAAATCAAATGCTCGACTTCTGAAAAGCAAAGGGCGAAGTGGGCGGGATGGGGAGAGAAAAGGATGACAAGTTCCATGAACCTTACTATATATTCCTTACACTCCTGCGAATGCTTCTCCTATCCCCTTTCAATTCCCCCTGATTTTATCGCATTTACGCAGTGCCACTCGCACTGCCGGCAAAATTCCCCAGTTCGCATTTTTACGGCACTGCATCCAAGCAGCCAAGCATCCAAGCATCCGAGCATCCGAGCATCCGCCTTCCACTTTGGTTCCATTGTTGCACACTGCGTATACGTGATGTGTGGTGGGTCGGCAGTCGCAGCTACTTTGTTGTCGCCCAGTTCCAGCGGCTGCCTTTCGGGTGAGGCGGTTCTGGCATAATGTTGCGAATAGTATACACCCCAATTTGGGTTTGGCTCCTGCTCGTTTTTCCTGCTGCTAACAAATAAGGTAAACACACGTCCCTCACTAATTCTGCTTCTGGGTTTATACCTTTTGTGGCTGCCGCAGGGAATGGCTTGGGCCCCCGGCAGAATGGCATTGTTAGTGGGGTCCCAGAGTTTAACACAGAAATTCACGTTGGGTCCGGGCACTGGCAGAAATAAAGTGGGAGCATTGAGGGCCCTCGGCAAGAGGTAATCAAATCGAAGTGACTTGAGAATGCCAAGGACGCTGGTTTAATTTGGAAACCACTCCGTTTTGCCCAGTGAACTTTTTGCCGACTGTGTGGGCCTCTCAAATATTTACATTTTGGCATATGTAAGCCATGTTGTGGTTGACTACGGCCAAAAAGATGCTTTGCCCACTTTGCCCTGGCTTTGGCCACATTCTGCTTGTGGTTTGCCTAATGCAAATATAATTCCCTTCTCGTTCGATGGCATTTTCCGTAGCAATTCGTCGAATCGATTTCGTTTCAGTACGGGATAACCGGTTTGGGTTAGTTGCTTTTCCAATTAATTACCCAATGGCCTTCTCCCCCGAGTCCTTCCGTCCAACTGCTCGGAAACATGCAACGAGGACATTAATGATGCACTGCACCACCTAAGTATGTCATAACATTCTAATGCCGCCTCCACATAAACAAAGAACTACTTAGCCCAGGAGGGGGAGGAGGAACCTGGCTTAATTCCCCACTCTGCGGCAAAGCCAAAGCACTTAACACCGGAGGCCCAAATTGCTCGCCATGTGTTCGGGCTTAGGCCTCCAGGAAATTCATTAGGAAAAAGCTGTCCCGGGATCCGGCCCTTCCCTCCCCACGAGCATCATTAAATGTTAATTGAAATTTTAATTAAATATTTTCGACAATGACGCAGGAATACCGCAAATAGTCGAGGCTCCCCTGCCCCCCTGAATGTTTGCATATCATTTTGGCCAGTCATGCACAGCTGCTGATTAGTGAAAGCGACGGAGAGCAGATGGATTGGATGGCTTGGATTCTCCCGACAGGATTGTCGGTTCGAGCAACTTACCTCCCAAATGAGTCGGAAGTCCTGCTGCTCCACTCGCAGCAACTCGCAGGTCGTCTTCGTTACCACGGTGCTATCCCGCGGCAAGTCGTGCAACACGGACTCCCCGAATGTGGCACCCACGCCCAAGTTGCAAAGGGTGACGGCGCTCTGCAAATAAATAAATCCAGAACACCCAGTTAGACAGTGCTTAAGTTGTGGCCCAAGTGTGGTTCTATACCCACTAATCCTCAACTGTAGTGGAGTATACTGCACTTGAAGTGGTAAAGGAATTAATTCTTTTAACTATTCTTCTTAATAATTGTATTCTTAATCCACTGTGTTAGTTCATCATAATTCAGTTTCTTTTTACAATCTTAGAATTGATAAAAAGGTAAGTTGTTTAATACACCAAAATGTAATAAATAATTTTCCTAATTCGAATACTTCTCGAATTGAATAAATTTGAAGACCAAAATGTCTAGAACTTTCGGTTCCCTTAAATGTTGTTCTAAATCAGCACACTTTTGCAAGACTTTTATTTCGAAAACATACCAATTATTGAACTTTTATGTTTATGGGCCACTTTATTGGCAGTTTAAAAAGTTCAGGGACTTTGGGCGGGGTAATTCTATTTACCCTGAGTCACCATACTTAGAGTGTGGGAAAAAAATGATACTTCAGCTTACTTTCTGTTCAACCTATTTTTTTTAAGCAAAAGAAAATCGAAGTCTATAGCCCTAAATTCTGCGATAATATTTAAAAGGTAGTCTTCCTACACACTCAACTTAATAGACCACCTTTCCCATTGAATATGGTGAATTAAGTGACGAGTATCCCAAAGTCGAGTCCCCGGATTAGGAGCACGACCCTCGGTATCTGCGCAACTTAAACAGTCCACAGTGCCCTGACTGCTTGGCGCTTGTCTTTCTCTGGCTTCTTACACAATTAACGCAAATGGCCGCAATTTGCTTGTGGTGGCAGGGACAAACATTTGCTTAAAACTCGGTAACCACTTCATTTTCGCAGTCGGCGGGAAACCGCAGGCGAGGAGACATTAGAGCAGCCGAAAAGAAAGCGGCGAATGGGAAAAGGCGGAAGTGCAGCACTACTAGATGTCTCCGGAGCAATAAAGGCGGTTTGCAACTGTCCAACCACAACGTGGCAATGACATTTTCAATTACCCAGCCGCGTTTGCATCTGCGTTCTTCCTCTTGGCTTTCCCACCAGATTTTCTGGAGTTCTGGGCCCTGCTTCTTGGCTCTTGGAAGTTGGTTGAAGAAGCTCCATTTTCGAGAGCGGGAAGAACCAGCCCGAGAAGCCGGGAATCCGAGCCCGTCCGTGTAATTGGCTTAACAAGACTGCGACGACCGCAGAAATTGTTAAACTCGCATTAGCCGACATGTGTGCACAGTTATTACACCGCACAGAGACCATAAAGTATACTTTAATTAATTCCCGCTCCGTGTAATTACAGTTTCTGGCGTGCCAGCCACCTTTTCTTTTGGCCAACTCCGGCACTCGCAAATCTCATTCGCTTTTCTTGTTGATTTATTGCGGCTTTTGTTTTTTGACAAGCGTCAAAAAGAGTCTGCAGCGCCGACGCCCCACGCCCCTTCCGTGCCCACATTAAATTTGATTGCTTTCTAATTTATTGCAGCATTAAAAGTTGACCCACAGACACGGAACGAGGAAAAGCGGGAAAGGGAAAGAGAGAAGAAGTGAAAAGCGGGCAGCCGACTGAAATTTGTCCACCAGCATTTCCCTTTTGTAATTTCCTTAAGCCGGCGAGAACCGAATTGAATTTGCCGCCCAAACAATAATATTTGGAAAGCCCGACTTTGTCCGCTCGCCAGTTGGGAAAAGCAATTTGTAGGCGGTTGCCTGTGATGTAATTTTACGATTCGGACCCACAAATAAATTTAACAAGTGTAAAACAATACTCTGATTTCTATACCCTAAAACTCATTGGGCTACTGCGTTTTTTTAAATCTTTAACCAACTTCGACTATCATTGGCATGAATACTTCATGATTTCATTACATTAAACTGCTTTTAGTTTTTATAGTCCCACAACGAAATTTATGTTGTAAAATGCTTAAACATAAGTATTTTTTCCGCTAGAAGCCATATTTCACATTAAATAATATTAAGTAATATTTTCTTCTCGTTGAGGTTGAAAATAGTTTCCCCTCGACAGTTTTTTTTTTATGCTCGAGCTATAAAATTTGTGAGTGGTCGTAGCGGAAAACAAATGGTTAAATGAAGAGAAAACTCAATTGGGCATAACAAAAGTCTGAACAATCGTCTATTATCTTTCAGTTTGCGAGGTCTTGTTATTCATTCACAGTTTGCTAAATGGATTATTGATTATGGTACATAGTTTGACGTGAACACAGAATACCCCTTCACTCCACTAGTAGTGGGTGCTCAAATTACAGGAATCAACAGCTATCTGTTTTCTCGATAATCTCCGATTGACATCCAAGCTGATAGCAGAAGCTCAAATAATACAACGTTTCAGAAACAGAAACATTTTTATCGCTCTGCAGCGAGCACACAGCTATGGCCAACTTGTATCTACGGATTGGTTTTCGTATCTACAACCGACTGTGAGTAAGCACGTACATTTCTCTCGCCTCGTTTTCGCCACCGGATCTTTTACATAAATGTGGGGTTTGCAATGCAATGTTTTACCTTTGCATAATGTCGCGTTGATTGCTCCACGTTATACGTACAACTGCGACGAAATAGCATTTTCCCTCTTTGTCTCTCGCGATTCTCCCTCTCACTCACTCCCTCTGCCACTGGAATTCGGTTTTCAGTTTTCAGTTTTCTGATTCAGCTTTCGGATTTCGGACAGCCTGCCCGGCAGTTTAGCATATTCAAATTTGGCTGAGCGACATTTGAAAATATGAGCAACCCACAAAAAATACAAACACGTTACCCGGATTAAATGGAATTGTTGGCGTTTTTATTTTGTCTGCTGGCCGCTTTTGATTGCAGGTCGTGGACGTGAGGTCAAATAAGGGGCGACCTGCCACCAACTAAACCGAAAGGCAACGGCACGCGCTGCCGAAAGGGGGCCAACATTCCGGGTTCACCAGCCCGCAGTTGCCATTGATAAGCGATGCAGAAGCGTGTCACGACGGCCCAATTACGCATTCTTTTCGCGAATTCCCCCCGCGTGTGGAGTACATATATGTGCCGTGCCACTGAGATACCCACACTCGCATCCAGGGGCAGCTTTTCCGGCAGCCTCGAATTTATCAACCGCGCGGCGACGACTCGCAAAGCGAACTGAACTGAAATTGGAGTTGAAGCCCGCCAACTGACGCCAACTGACGGCGGCAGCAGCTGAGAAATCTGCGGAACAGGCAGCGACTTTGTTGCATGCACCCGACTCTTTTGTGCAACGCTGTTGCAAGTTGCTCGAGTGTGGCCGGCGGCAACCTGAGCGGCAACCTGAGCAGCAACAACGTAGAACGAACCGCAGGTAAATTGGAGCCTTTCCGCGATGACAGCTCAATTGACCGTGTCGGTCCCAAAAAGTGAATGTCGTTCGCAGACTGACAGCCGAAAATTCGGAATCATAACTGGAGCCCAAATTCGATTTGATTTATGGCGCTGAGATTGATTGGTCCGAGATTTATTTCCAACGAGCACAGCTCCATCTCTCGCATTCTGTTTGACTCCCAAAAGAGGGTAACCTCTCTTTGACTATTGAAGAAAACATTTTTCAATGGGTGAATAATAACGATTTTATCATAGAATCTATTTTGATTCAGAGGTGAATGAAATTCAAATTTGATGAATTCATATTAATTGTTTGATTCTTCGGACGCCTTTAAATTTTATTTTTTTCCAGTTTTTTTTATTTCTTTTAACCATTATGATAAAATCATTTAACTGAGTGATGTAAGTTTTTGCTTCCTTCAACCATTTATTATTTATTTCGCTCTGTATTTATTTATTTCGCATTCTTTTCACTATATTCGAACTTGTTGGTATATACATACAAAGTATTGAATAATTTAAATAATAAATATTTTTTTTTGTACCTTAACAACCACTCGAAATACTCATTTGTTTGCTCACCAGGGCGATTTACCAAACACACAATGCAAATAAAATGCATTCAGCTCAAAAGTTCTGTTCGAACTCAAGCAGCGTTTTCGGGCAATATACGAGTATACTGCTTATAATGTAATTTAAAAAGTTAAAGAATAAGTCTCACAAGTGGAAAGCAAATATGAAGTGCAGTAAGAGCATTTCAAATTTGATGTGCAACTGAAAAGGTTTTATTTCACAATTTGGCTGCGATGACAGCTTCTGCTGTCGTTTGATGCATGCAATTAATCCGCGAACAAAAAAAAGCTCCGGGCCAAGACCGTGGCCATGTCCATGTCCATGTCCATGTGCAACTCCGTGTCGGCGTACATGCGCGTATCCATATCCACATCGACATCCACATCCACATCCACATGCACATTCAGAGCCGTGGCGAAAGCGATAGTGGCAGTGAAACCTAAGCCCGATCCCTGGCCATGCGGCATGCACCTCCGGCATTGTTTTTGGCCAAATGTCCAGTATCCCAGGTCCATGTCGACTTTTTGTTCGCTGCCGCGCTTGAAAAACTTTTTACGCACATATGAGCACGCTTCCGTCCGTTGCAAGTTGCAGCTGGATTGGCTAGAAATGATGTTGCAGCTGCGGCGCTGCTGTTGTTGCAGCGACAGTTGCTGCTGCTGCACTCCGGAGTCCGGCCAATTCAGTTGGGCAAACAAGGATGTGGACTCAACTTTGGGCGCTGGCCGTGCGAATGACTTGCTTTGATGGTGCTCGGGCTAATGGAATTTCAGATGAGATGAGGCTGGATGCGAATCGAAAGTTTTCAGCCAAACAACCCGAGAAGCTGTCGCTTCAAGCCGCCGAAATACTTGGTTGTTCGGGTTGAACAACCTTGACACTTTTATTTCAGTTATGCTTTATGTTTCGTGGCTCTGCACTTGCTTTTGTTTTGGCTCGGCCACACTTGTTTCTTTCGGCTAGTAATTAAATTTATTTCGCCCTCCTACGGTGAAGGTAAAGAGCCAACATCCAGACCAAGTCAATGACTGCTCACAATGCTCCAAGAAATTGTTGCTCAAGCAGCGTGTAGCCGCAAGATACAAGTACCACATATCTCATCCGCAAACTGTTTGCTTTCATTGTTTTAGGTGTCCGAATAAATCACCTGACGCGTTTGTTTGTCTAAATAATTATGCTAATTAGGGCATCAGTTATTAATTGGAATAACTGCAGTTGTTTGTGGTTTTTAATCAGTCTGAGAGTTCATAAAAAAGGCTTCATTCGCCGAACGATGAGCTAATGATGGCGGTAAGGCGGGGGATATAATTAGTTTTATCAAATTGCATTTTATCTTCGCATTCGCACAACCGTTAAAGTCGCGCTCATTACGCCGCGATTTTACACGCCCTCAGTTCTCTCAGTTTTCCCAGTTTTCCCAGCTTTCGGCACCTGCCTCAATTTCCACGCGTTGCATGCGGCGGTGACGTTAGATAAACATTTCCCTACCTGCATAATTAAAAAGTTCACGGAATTTTATAAATCCAAAAGGGCATGAAAAACATTTTAAACTGCCGTCCCATTTCCTGCGTAAGAAGGCGACCCAAAAAGTCGATTTCTCGTTCAGAAATATTTAAAAGAAAGCTCGAAGTTTTAAATTTATGCATGTTGAAAAGAATGTTTGATTGCCTTAAATTCCTAACTTGTCCGCTGATGCTGGAAACTTTCGTTTGAATCTCATTCCCCACTTGCATGCAATTTAAGGTAATTTTATTCGTCCTAATAAGCTCGAAAGCAAGAACTATGCCTTGGAATGAATCAGTTTGCCGGAGAACATCTTGAGCGGAAACTTAAATCACTCAATCGAACAGCAAATAGGAAAAGTTTCTGAGGCGGAAAACACTTTCCCAGCAAAAAGAAATGGAAAAGGCTTTCTGTCTAGAAACTTTTACTAAATGCAAAGGAGAGATAAGAACTGTTTTCTTTAAGTGCTCAAAACTATTTTTTCGATAGGAATTTCCCCCTTGACAGCTTCTAACTGGATAAATTTGGAATGCTAATTTTTTTTTTTTTTTTAAACAATTTCGATATCTCGTTTTGTTGCTTTTGCACAGGATAGGTAATAGCAACCAAGTCCACAGAATTATTGATAACGAATGTTTATTATTAACGATAACAAGCTCGGTTGCCAACTATTCGTTTTATGAACAGAATAGAGTTAAGTGCTATCATTTTGTTTTATTTAAAGAGCGCACTTTATTTTTATCAACATGTTGAAGAGGAATCTTTGATAAGTTCCAAGGTTTAAAAATAAGTGCTGTTCCTTCTCCTTGAGAAGGCATTGACATTTGTTTTCGCTTGAGCATGCTTGTCTCATTATTTTTGCCCTATTACGTACTGTTTAATCAGGTAGAGCTCACGACAATTAGTCGACTCGTGTTGCATGCTTCGGCGCTATATTTTAATTTGGGGTTTCCACCGCCACGGTTGAGCAAGCCAACGTGTGGTATGCAAAGCATTAGAGCGTCTGGGAATATTAATAAACTTAGCTCAGCAGCTCGGAGGCAAGTCATTGACTTTATCAACATTATAAGTAGCCACAAGACAACCCGCTTTGCCCCGAATGCATTTGCGAACTTGCAATCTAATGTGAACAACATTTGTCTAAATGCATCTTGTCGGATACCAAATGAACAGCAAGCATATGATATTTATCAGATTTAAAATGGCTTTTCATTTAGCACTTAATGTCGAACTTGATATTTAATGTGGCTCTGACGAAATAGGTTAATCTCAACCATTGTTATAATACAGTGCACGACTTTCCTCACTTTTCGTGAAGGGATGTCAACTTTTGTTGTTGCTCTAAAATAAACAACGATACTTGAGTAATGTTGAGTATTATTGCATCTTTTTCTTTGTCTTAAGCAGTTATTACATTTTTATTAATATTGGAATAGTACCATAGGTCGCAATATAGACCTTATTCTCTTAAAAAGCCTTATTCCATTGAATTGAAGCACGAATGTTGTATTTAATAACTCATGGAGTTCGTTCTTGTCATTCATAACAAACTATGTAAACTAAACTCTATATCACTATCAAAGTATTTACAATGGTAACAGAAATGCAGATCAGATGCGCTCCAACCGGAGGTAGATGCCCCCCACTGTTCCCAGCACTAAGGACATGGGGGAGTAGGTCAGAGGGATCTCCGTCTGGTCGCACACGGACAGCTTGAACCTGCTGAGGATCTGGGCCAGGCCCACGCGGACCTGCATCTGGCCGAACCGCATTCCGATGCAGTTGCGCGGTCCGTCGCCGAAGGGCAGCCACTCCACGGAGTCGCGGGCGGCCACCTTGTCCGGCGAGAAGCGGTCCGGGTCGAAGGTCTCGGGGTCCGGGTACAGGTCCTCGTCGCGGTGGTAGGCGCAGGCGGGGATCACGACCTGGGTGCCCTTCTCGATCACGAACTCGGGGTGGCCGGGCACCACGTAGTCGTTGAGGGCCCGCCTCTCCAGTTGAGGCACCAGGGTGTACAGCCTTAGGGTTTCTGGAAGGCGGCATTAACTAGGTCAGATGTGTGCTCTTGGGTCAAGCAACCTTGTCACCCACCTGAGATAACCTGGTTCAGGTAGCCCATGGCCTTGATGGACTCGTAGGTCAGCTGGCCCTCGTGCTCCTCCAGCACCGACTGGATCTCGCTCCGCAGCTTGTCCTGGATGCCCTGGTTCTGGGCCAGCTCGTAGAGGCAGTAGCTCATGGTCGAGGAGGAGGTCTCGAAGCCGGCCACGTAGAAGACGAACACCTGGGCGGCCAGCTCGCCGATGTCCATGCCCTCGATCACCTCGCCGTTCTCCAGGGTGACGCTGCCCTTCTGCTTCAGCTCGATCAGCAGGTTCATGAAGTCGTTCCGCTTGAAGTTCTCCCGCTCCCGCAGCGCGATCGTGTCGTTCACCAGCCGCATGAAGAACTGGTGCACATCCTCGGGCACCATGCGCATGCGCAGCTTCTGGGCGAGGTCGGGGAAGCTGAAGGTGAACAGGGTCAGCAGGGCGCCGTGCCGCAGCTCGGTGAACACCTTCTGGCCCATGGTCCTGAAGTCGGACACCGGATGGCGCAGCGTGTTGCACTCGATGCCGAAGGCGCAGGTGCCGATCACGTCGGTGGTGAAGCGGGCCATCAGGTCCTTGATCTCCAGCACCGCTCCGTTCGGGGTGGCAGGCACCTGCTCCGTCATCACCTTGACGAACTCCTCGGACACCTTGATCACCGTGGGGAACATGTACTTCATCTTGCCCGAGGTGAAGGTGGGCGAGAGCCGCTGCCGCATGTCCCTCCACTTCTTGCCGTCCAAATTGAAGAGGTGCTGGGTGAGCGGGTCGTCACGCCCGTTGTGAAACTGGCCGCGGTCGGCGAAGTTCGAGAAGTCCTTGATCAGGATGTTCTTGGCCAGCTTGGGGTCCACGATAAAGGCGGCCGGCTTGTGCAGGAAGTAGAAGCCCACGAAGGGGTTGCCGCTCCGGCGGAACTTGTTGTAGTAGTCGTAGAAGATGTCGTGCATCACGCGGTTCTTCCGGAACCCGACCATGTTCCCGTACAGCGGGTGCGGGGCATCGTGGGCGATTCCCCGGCGCTTCCAGTAGTTGAAGTTGCGGTGGTAGAGGTACGCCAGCAGCGACGTGACCGCGATCACCAGGTAAATTAGAACCAGCATAGTTGACCACTCCCGATTTGCATTCGCCGTGCTCGACCTACGACGATTTACTGCCCACCGAAACAAATTCCTCCGCTTTTTATACGGATCGCGAGCCGGCATAAGCACGGAAAATACAAGCGTTCGTCGACAGCTATTGCTTCTGAGAACATCAGCGTGACTCCGCAAATAAGGAACTGGTTGTCATGATTACAGGCTTGGCCGATAAGGCCGGTCACTTTTACTGGGGAAGCCTACCAGGCCAAAAGTGTTCTAAGAGCGCCTCCCAAGAGATATTCAAACGTTCTCTTGGCGCTTCGCGATCAAAATATAAACAAGCGATAACGAGTTTGTTGTTAAACAAACCGCTCGCCTAAAAACTAATTCTCATCAGTTTTTATCAGTTAAAAAAAAAAAGGTAAACAATAACATAAAAGAAAGATTGCCTCGCCAAGCCGTATCTTACAAGTATATACTCTCTCATTTAAAGTGAAAAATACAAAACTTTAAGATTGTATACAGGCATTTGTTTTCAGCTTTATTTCAGCTATACGCTTTAGTGTGTATCATGTATCATGTACAGCATATACTAATCGATATCTCAAATTATAATGATTAAAGCAGGTTATGATTAAAGCAGGTAATACCAGCTAGCTCTAAAAAGAAGGAATTTGTTTGCTTAGAAACAAAGCGACTGACTGATATACCCATTAATCATATTCCCACCGATCGAGTATGTATGGCGTCGAAAGTTGAAGCAATCTGATGACTAAAACAATAGTACCTTTTTTAAGGGTACAACAATTGTTTTTACTGGTAGGCCTTAACTAGGTTTCAACCATTATACCGTCATAAAATCAATATGGCATATATTACATAAGTATCTATATGGCATTTACTTTAGAGAAATGTGGATGCGTTAATCTTAAGCGCTAATTGATTTTTTCACGTTCAATAATCGAGTTCAAATGCTTTGCACGTTTTACTGGCGATTAGGTGTGTATGATCTAATCATTTAGGCATTATTATTATTGTTAAAAATCATTGGTAGTGTAGTAGAAATGAAACGTTAAAGGCATAAGTTATAGTTGAAATTGTATTATCTAAAATACTATTATTAAGAAGTGCTCAGTACGTTTCTCAGCCCCTCAATTGTGGGCTCCGATTACGCCGTCGGTTAACCGCTCCGTGAGTTGCGACTTAAAGAGATTTAAGCCGATTGGGATGTGCATTTGTCGCGGGTAATCCCCATTTTCTTCCGGCGAGGAGAAGGGGGAACTCTAACGCGATTATGGCGGATTTACTTTCTAGAATTGTCGGAAGGGGGCGAAGGAGATGCGCCAGCAAAGCAATATTGACCTTGTGCATCACTTATCGCAAGTTACTTGAATTATTGGCATCGACTTGGGGTGGAGAGAGTCCTTGTCGAGGAGGGTCCTTGCCTGTCATTGTCTTTTAGTGTCTTTCTGTGCGAGTGCCTCAGTGGCTTACATGTGCAACTGACACTCCTGATTCCCGCACTTGTCCCGGGAGTCCGGGCTGCAGTGTGCCGTGAAAAAGTGAGCAACGGATTCAATTTTCCCGTCGCTCACACTTTAAGTCCTCTGGCTTGACCTTGGGGTGGGCAGCCTCGGCCCACATGTGTCACATTCCTCTCACGCTGACTGGCACTAAGACGGGAAACAAAAATAATGCAGGCGAGGCGCTCTCGGCATAATGAAGTACACAAAAAGCGAGAAAGAAAGCGCCGAGGAGACGGACGAGGAGAAGGAACTGGATTGCCTCCTCTGACTGCACTTATGCGCTAAATAAAAATGCAAATCTAAATGCAGCCAAGAGCGGGCAAGGGCCGGGAAGCCAGCGAACACAAAGAAACCCCACGCCGTCGGCGCACAATGCGGATTCTTGAGGAACGCTCTCGAGGGCTCTCTAAGTCGGCATCTGACGCAGTTGCTGGATTGCAGTTGTTGGATGCTAGATGCTAGATGTTGGTTGTTGGCTGCCGTCTCCGGGGAGACAGCTTGGCTAATTGCAGATGCGCCTCAGCTCGGGAACTGCTTGTAAACAGTCGGCTAATTGTTTGCTCTGCAGAGGTGTTGGGCTCCGAGCACAGAGCTCTTTCAAATGCAAATGCCAGCGGAATCGTCGGCTGAGTCGGCTGAGTCGGGGTACTCCACTCCAATCCCCGATCTCCTCGGGCCACAAACTACATGTGCGACAACGTGCGCCCTGAATAAATTAGTTTTATTTGCGTCTGGATGGCGGCAATCCAAACAAATCGAGATGCGAAGACGAGCTCGTGCATTTCCTGTGGGGTGACAGAATGATGTTGCGTCTGCGTATTATGTAAATCACAATAAGAAGCCAAATCGGAAAATGGGAGGGGAAGGGGAAGGGCAAGCTGGAAGGAGGCTGGGAAAATCCCTAACATCAATACAGAAACACACAGGAAAATACGGGGGAAGCGCTCCAGGCAAAACACAACCTTTTGCACCGCAATCATCGGAGCACTGATGATAAATTATAATAGGCTTTAAGCTTCTCGAGAGGGCTTATGGGAGAATGGGACCGCGCTGAACAGCAATTAAAGCGGGCATAATTAGCTGACAGGACCCCATTTTGTCAGGGATGACAATGGCGAATTCCTCGGTGGGATTTTTCAATCACAATCGAATCTGGAGGGAGCGGCAGAGCCGTCAGGCTGATTGAATTTCTGGGCTGACATATTCGAGCCGTGATTGTCTGGCGGGTGGCAGCTGCCGCTCCGTATTGATTCGATGCTGATTGTGTGCCAAGGGCCTTGTCTCGGCACCGCCGTCTTCGGCGGAAGCCATAAAAAGCAGCCTGCTCCGATGCAGTGACAAGTGCTGGGTCAATGTGTCAGAAGAGAGAGCCCGACTTCGCTGTCCATCAGGCGGGATGACACAAACTGTCGCTCCAACCGGTGGCCAGGTTGCAAAGTGTGACTTGTGTCGCTGCAACTGGAGCGTGGCAGCTGAGGCTGCCGAGCTTCGCCTTTATAGGAGGCGATAAACCGCTCGCCCGAAAGCGCCGCGAATGTGTTTCATGTGCCGAATGGCACCACGTGGCGTATACGCACTTTAAACCGAAATTGCCTGTTGTGCCGTGAATACAGAAGCAGAGCCAAGAGCAGCCGGGCCCAAGGGGCGGCACAGCTTTGGCCAAATAAATGACAAAGCCATTTGTAATGAAATATTAAAGCCGGCAATAAAAAGAAGGGCTGAGGGAGCCACAGCGGGAAATGGGCCGGAAAACATCAGCATAATACTTATTCATTATGCTGCTGGTCTAGGCTAACGCGTGGGTGTACTCATATTCTGGGTCCGAGTCGTCGTGGGAGGAGCGCCTCACAAATTTTATTGGACACACAGCCCATAAACATGTTGCGGATCGGGCATTAGGAACGTGGAGCAGATGGCCCCGAAGGCAGGGGGAAAATCGATATTCATATGTGCGAAGATCCAGGGAAAGCTGCAAAGCCATTGCACTTTTGAACGATTCAGATGGCAAAATTAAAATGGATTCAATTTAACGTGTCGAAAATCAATTATTCAAATGAAGCCACACTCACGCATCAAGTTAAATTTCCACTCGAGCGAAAACAAAGCGTGTTTTCCAAAGCAAACTAAATGGTTCTGCCTCCCGATTTGGCAAATCTAGTTTGGCCCACAGCTGAAAACAAAAATTTAACTAGATGTATAAGATGGAAACAGCAAATCACGATTGCCCTTTATGGGCATGCCGAGAAATGAGGAAGGAGTGCGATTGTGAATAAAAACCTTTTGAAGTTGTCACTGCTGGAGTGGCTGTTGACTCGGCTTTTACTGCCAACGGGTCGCAGTCTTGGCTTTCCCTTTCCCTTTGCCGCCCTCCGAACCGCAAGCCCCGAAGAGACCCGCTTTTGCCACCGAATTGTAAATTGGGCAAAACGCATGCCGAGCAAACTTTCCCGTGGCTGGCGGTAGGGAAAAAAGTCGATAAGAACATTGTTTAACTCAATTCCGCACGCGAATCCGAACGCAACCCGATTTTTGATAAAAAACGAAGGAAAAAGCGAAAAGGCAACAGAACAGTCGAATCTCACCCCTTGGCAATCAAATTGAAAATTCTCCATTGTGCAAATATTGATTTTGCTCGCTGCATAAAGTTTTATGCGCCGAAAAAGAGATTCCGCCGAGCAGAGCGAGGGAAACTCGCTTTCTAATTTTCACTGCGGAGAGCGGAGCGCAGAGACATTCCTCATCCAGTTCAGAACTTGGACTGCCACAATGCCACAAGTGTCTGGGACAAGGTCGAGTCTCTTTTTGCGGCAGTCTCGTTTCGAGTTTGTGCCACGGCTAATTCGACGCCTTCTGTCTGTCGAGTCGTGTGTTCCGAGTTTTATCTTTTTCTCAACATATTATTTATGGTAATCGACATCAAATGCTGCCATTAAGCTCATTGCCATGGCAAGCGGCGGCGGCAAAAACGCTCCCATACTTTTTTCTGCTGATTTTTTTCGTTCTTAACATTGCTTCTGCTCTTTATAGGCTTCGAAAGCTAAAAATATTACACATCTGCATGGATGAACTCCAAAGCTGGAAGGTACTGAACTGTACAATCAACTTTTCAATACCCTTTTATGTTTCCAATTAAAAATTTTACTCATTATTCATAAGCTATACAAAAAAAATCGAGTCAAATTGCATTATTTTGTTAAAAGCAAGCGTAATCAAGCTAAAACCATGATATGACCTCTTTTATCCATAGTATAATCATTAACTTACTCAGCTCAACAACTTAACAACAAGTTCATGAACAGGATTCAGGATTTATTGTGATCTTATTTAACTAGCTATTATATGTTTATATATCATAAATATAAAAACATTCTTCAATGAACTAGACTGTGAATATGTCACTTCATTGAATTTTAAGAATTATTATTTATTTATATTGTTGACTGTATAAATTTCCAATTTTAATCTGCAAATGAAGGTTTATTTTTAAGTCCATGCAAA